ACCGCCCTTGTTCTCGTCCTTCGACGATGTTGGTGGATCGGCTCACGCAGCGCGTCCAGCGCAGGAAGCGTCGGCAGGCGGGCGGGGCAGAGCGTAAGAAATGGCGAGAGTTAATGCAGCAGGGTTCAGGGATGCGTGGTCAAGGGTGGTAGGATGGGATGCTGCGGTCGACGCTAAGAGGGAGACCATTCGCCTGCAGACGGCCTCGATCAACAGCGGTTGCGCTGAATTGGCAAGACTTGGCCCAATAGTGGTTGGGCGTCACCTCTCACACCAGAGAAATCGGTCGAACCAAACGACCGCAAAGGTTATATCAATCTAGTAAAAATCAGCGAGGTGGTCAACTGGTACTCCGTACTCCGTACAAAAAAGAAACGGCAGTGGTCACTGTAAATCCAGTATGCTGCATGAGGTACCTATCAATCATGTCACGGGCCCGGGGAGTTTAGGAACAGAAAATAAAGAAAAGAAACGACAGCAAAGATAGGAGAGGCAGAGGGAGGGAGGGACGAAAGATAAAAGCGCCAAATGCATAACGGTTTTAGCATTAAGACTTCATCCTCCCAGGTTGTTGCGAGATATAAAATATAGTTGAGAGAGTCAAGCAGGTCGAGCTGCAGCTCACCACTCATGCATATTTTCCTTCGCATGCCCCCATGTAACAGACATATTAAGGAGCTCAGGCTAGAATCACTTCTATCCAGGAGCTTCACCGCAACAGACGTCCTCGATTCCCAACTGGAGTGTTTCACGGTTTGGCCATCCCTGGAAAACAACCACGAGCTCATCCTTATCCTTCTTCGTTGGGCTGAAACCGGTTTATGTCACTTCCAGCGTATACTCTGCATGTACGAAGTACTCCATGACCAACTCGGACACGCTGTCGTATTCCTCGATCCCTTAGTTATGTCATTCATCCATTTTCGCCTTCCCACTTGGCCGATACGTTGGCACCCCACGGAAGAAGCGAGCTTCAAGCTGCAAGCAAGCTTCACTCTGACAGAGGGTTGGCAGGCAAAGTCTCCCGATTCTGGGGACTAACCACGCCCGAAATATGTAGGCTGGAGGTAATTTTTTTTTAAACCCTTGCATGGCCATGCTTGCTGGCTGACATTGGTCGCTGGTGGCGCGCACTCTTATTGGGGCACGATCCGTCCTCCATACAATTTAATATTGTCCCATACTTTTTTGTTGATAAAAATAACATCTGGGATGGATATTTGTCCCTAGAACCTGGATGACCCCTGATTAATAAATCAGATACATATATTCCGAGCTTCGGATACGTATGTATGTCCCTTCGTACTCCAGAGATACGATCTCAGGATGAATCCACCCAAAGATCAGGGACCATCAGCCGATGTCGAGCTTCACACAAGGCTGTCTTAGGGCTGAACTAAAACGGCTGCATGTTGACTCCAGCCCTTGGGTCAAGATACATACTTACATGCTCCATACCTACCCTTGCCGAATCGCCACTACCACGAGGTAAGTAGGACACCAGCCGTGCCAGAACCAGCCTCAGCCTCAGCTCGTGAAGCACCCAGTGCTGCGTAACTTGCACAGCCAGCATCGGAAATTATCCAGAAGGTAGGTAAAAACTTGGTGTTGTCAGACTCTCGGGAGCGCAACACGCGCCGTACAGAGCAATAGTTATCCGTGGATTTTCAAAAGAAACAATTTTCTTCGGAATTGTCACCAGTTCCCGGTTTTCTAGCCTCGCGGTTGATTTCATTCCTTTTTCTTTCTCATCCCTATCTTGGAATTAACACGTTTGGCCGTTCAGTTGTCAGAATGTGAGTGACTAGTCATGTTACCTATCACTTTATAGACCCATATACTCTTTTTCTCTCGGTTGTTATATAGGGGTAGAACGGAGTTATTTAACTAGTTAGTGGGCCCGGCCATGGAGAAAAATCGGCATTTCAATGTTTCAGTCTCCCCTGCGAAAATGTGGTGATATTGTTGCGCGTCCCTTTATTCCCCTTCCCCTGGTTGTTGTTCTGTTCGTCGTCGTCGATTCGATGGTTTGACGTCGTCGGTTGGAATAAGAAATTGTTTGTGTCAGCCGAAAGAGGAAATTTTGACCTTCTACCGCAAATGTCGTTGCTCAACTGCCGCGACATCCAACACAGCCCCAAGCGATGCGTTTCCCGTCTTTTTTACCTTTCCTTATCTCGAAGGGCATATTTTTACCGGCTGGACGCAGCGAGCAGAGAAGAGAAGATATATCCGTACCCTCGTCTAAGTGAAGCTCTGTGACCGTGGAAGACGACTTCGCAAGCGAACTGGTGCATTGCCTCCCAAACCTGCTATCAGTAGCCAGCTGTTACAGGGTCAGGCTGAAGTATCTACTTTCGTCAGGGCGATAGAGAGCAACCCCCAACGATCCCCAATCCCCATGGCCTTTGGAGGTAGGCTTTTAGCCGTTTCAGCGAAGCAAATTGGACGGATGTTAAGTTAACATTCAATGTCGGCTTCGTGCCCAAATATTACCCAAATACCCATCTGCTTTAAGGCTTATGGCCGGTCAGCATTCAAGGAGATCATCATAAGTACTCGAAAGTGCATGGCGTCAATGTCAACGTCAACGTCTGCCAAACCCGACGTGAATACGTCACACCGAATAGTCATCTTACGAAGACTGATGGAGGAGAGAGTACCGGGCGATGGGGATGCATCTCTGGCTATCATCATGAAGTGCATTAGATTGACTTGAATGGATTGAATCATAACTCCCTTAGCCCGGGGAAAATAGTTATAACTACTGCCAAGCCCTGCATATTATTATGAATCAGATGCAGTTTACCAAGTTATAGGAGTGGCATCTAGAAAGCTGCTACTGCCTCTTATGCAAACTTCAATTTGTACAAAAACGATGGCGTGTTGGTTACACTGGATGGCTACTGTGTTATGATTCGATAGATGGTCGTAATCTGGCAGCAATACGACTGGCGCCCTTCGACTTGTAAGAGGGAGGAAAGAATATGCATGATCCCTGTAGTTCGTTCCCAGGCATCAGTATATGTACCCCAGCTTCCAACCTCCTCAAGTTAGTCCTAACAAACGCGTTTCGCTCCATCTAACTTGGGGATAAACAAACCACCAAAATGATAGCTCTCCCTGTGCGTATACTCTCGTTGGCAGCTGGTTTGGCAATAATTATATATGTTTCTTCATGCATATGGAATATCTTCGCTCGTCGCCAGGTCGCGCGCCGTCATGGCTGCCAACCAGTGGCAAGATCCTCGAATAAAGACCCTTTCCTAGGACTTGATGTTATACAACGAGGAGTCCGGAACTTCAGAGAACACAAATCCCTGGAAAGAATGGCCGAGAATTTTTACAAGTTCGGAAATACCTTCCGATTGAAGGTGTTCACAACTCCCGTCATCGCCACTATCGAGCCAGAGAATATCAAGTCCATCCTAGCGATCAATTTCAAAGACTATGGAGTCCAGCATCGCTTACAAGTACTCGAGCCTCTTTTAGGCAGAGGCATTTTCGACACGGATGGCGATCATTGGGCCATATCTCGAGCCCTGATCCGGCCAAACTTTTCCCGCGATCAGGTGGCAGACCTTGCCATGTTTGAGAAGTTGATCCCAGACTTATTCGCATTGATACCTCGAGATGGAAAGACTGTAGATCTACAGAAGCTGTTCTTTCGCTACACTACAGATTCTGCCACCGAATTCTTGTTTGGAGAATCAGTCGGAACTCTTAAAAAGCCGCAGCCGGAGTTTGGCTTCAGCCATGCCTTTGACTATTCTTTGAAGAATATTCTCCATAAGATTAGGCTGGGGCCACTAGGCCTGCTTTACTATGACCCGAAAGCAAAGGAATGCAATAAGATTTGTCGTGAGTTTGCGCAGCAATTTGTCGACAAGGCGGTTCTCACAGTCGAATCCGACAAAAACAGAGACCAAGAAGACTCCAAGGCAAACGGCCAGAGATATGTATTCCTTCATGAATTAGCATCACGTACATCCGACAAGCGCCGTATCTTGGATGAGGTTATGAACGTGTTTGTCGCTGGACGTGATACCACGGCCAGTCTTCTGAGCAATATGTTTTTTGTACTGGCTAAGCGTCCAGAGATATGGGCAAAGATCCGTACAGAGGTATCTAGTCTCAATGGCCGAATGCCTACGTACAATGAACTACGGAACCTGAAATATGTCAGGTATTGCTTGAACGAGTGTGAGTGGGGCGGACTATAGCTATCAGTTCCAAGTTACGGAGTATTTGCAAGTCTAACTAGCCTTTAACAGCGTTACGTATCCATCCCGTTGTACCGACAAACGACCGTATCGCTCTGCGAGACTCCATCCTTCCGATGGGAGGAGGTGAAGATGGTAACTCTCCAGTCTTCGTGCCAAAGGGAACCATAGTCAACTATAGTATATACGCAATGCACCGGCGGAAAGACTTCTACGGGCCTGATGCAGATGTATTCCGTCCCGAGCGCTGGGAAGATGGACAACTCCAGCCTCGCTGGGAGTATTTACCCTTTAATGGCGGACCACGAATCTGCATAGGCCAACAGTACGCGTTAACCGAAGCGGCCTACGTTACCGTCCGTATGGCCCAAGAGTTCAAGACACTGGAGAGCCGAGACCCAGGACCCTGGGTAGAGTCATTAACACTGACAATATGCTCCTTGAACGGGACGAATGTGAGCGTCATCCCTGCGTAGCCTGAATATCCCGAAAGGAATGGAGATGATACTATCAGCATGGTTAGCTATCCACCTTCTCAACTCCCTCGTTTTCCAAATACTTGTAGTTTAGGTCGATGTCAACACTCAGCTCTTGCCAAGATACACACGTTCCTTACCTGAAAAATTGATCCAATCAACTTACGTAAAAAATAGGAATTAACTTAAAATTTTGAGATTTGTTATTTTATTGGCTCAACAAGCTAGGCTAGTCTATTAGTCATCAAATGTATCAAACTATAATTAACGGCGAGGAGCAAGGAGAACAAAATTCATATTACTAGGGATATTTCCGAATCCCTAGGATTATATTCAAATACATATCCTGCATGCGATGATATATATTTTCCAATATCCCATCTGGACCAAATAATGCCGCTCGGTATGCATCTTTCATAACCAGCGCCGTCTGGATAACATGCATCGCCATCTCTGCAATAGCAGCCCTATCCTTCTGGGCCTCCCCGGCCTCCATCTTCTTCCAAGCCGGATATTCAGTGATAGTAGCAAGGATGTCGAAGGTTGTGAGAAGTTCTATCGGACCACTCTTCACAATCTCCATGGCTGACTCGAATGTGACACAATAAGCACAGAGGAAATCGTGCTTGAACTCAGCTACATCCGGCATTCCCTTTTCCGCTGCATAAAGGATTGCCGCTACATCATCGACGATGTCACCTCCATGGGTGAGCTCCTGCGTAACTCTCCTAGCTACCATTTGGTTTTCACCAGGGATTATATCTTCGATTCCAGAAGCGGAGGACTCTGTCTCATCTTCCATCTCCTCATCAGAGTCAAGGTCGTTGTCTCCATAGGCAAGCTGCTTTCGTCTCTGGAGTATTCGAATACGCCACGCTGGAGTCTTTTTGTTGATATACTTGACAATTCGCTTCAGGTCTTGAACTCGGGACTTTGGTTCGGGGTACGCTATGGGAACCGATGGAAGAACGACTCCCTGCCTGGCAATCTATATCAAAGAGGGGTCTTGGTCAGTTGCAATGGGGAGAAGATACCGGGTTGAATATCGACATTCTACAGTGCATACCTCTCGCAGGATTTGGGTGTGGAGGTCGTCGACCTCTTTGCTTAGCTGGACATTCCGTTCATGGAGCTGTTCAATTCGGGCCAGCGGTGCAAAAACGCCTCGACCCACATTTGGTTCCATGACTTGATGATGTTCGACTCTTCTATTATTGATATCCACAGGTCCTGTTATCAAGCACTGATAACGATAAAGATGAGCGTTTTTGGGTTTATGAGTGTAAAGCTAAAGCAGGCTCACAAGTGCTGCGTCAGTTTTTATATTGCAGTTCTCGGAACAACGCAGTTGCTTGAATTGAGTGAAGGTCAACCAAAACACAAAGAATACTCACAGGATTTATCCTGTATGAAGGCGATGGCCACATAGTAAAGGCCGGATATCACTGATGCCCCCAATCTAGTAGCTTCCAGCTAGAAATGGATCCATGGGGCTATACCCACTCTTAGAAGCTGGTGGATACTACTGATTAATGAAGTATTGATTTTGATCTATATATGCAGCCTGGGCAGGGAGAATACGAGAACCAATATGTAGATTCAAAGCGAGTAGACAGAGAGAGTCACTATTTCGTCCGAACTACACCACCTAAAAGCAAGAAAATGAATGGGAAGGGTAAACAAAACAAAACAGCATTGCGCACTTCTGCCTAAATGCCCAACCGAAAAACAAGAAGAAACAAGATAAGAGAGAAATAAAAAAGACGTATTAAGGAAAAGGGGGTTGGTTGGGCATTCAGAACAGACGCGGTTGTATCAATCAAAGCAAAGCAAATCAAATCAAATCAAATCAATCAAATGGAACAAGGAGGGGAAAGGCGTTGACAATAGCAAAAGGCAAGGAAAGGGAAGGGCAAAAAATGATCATAACGAATCAAAGCGATCTATACGAATTACCGGAATGAAGGTACGCAAAAAAAGACCTGCGTAGCAAAAGAGAGATGGTACTGGAAAGTGGATAGATGGGGGGAGGGAGTGGGGCATCGTATTATTAGAAGTAGAGTTGAGTTGGTAATAAAGCCAGAAAAGACGATGTAGTTGGGTGTACCTCTTGTTCAACAAGAGGTATAATAAACCAACTGGGTCTCATCAATCAGCCAACCAAAGAAAAATGGGGGGCGCGGGAGAGGCGGGAGAGGCGGGAACGAACCAAGGAAAGCAAGGAAATCAAAAGAAGAGATATATAGCGAGGGCGGCTAAAAGGCGGCCCTAAAAAGGTTGAAGAAAAGGTTTTTTTATCAGCCATTGGCCAAGAGCTGGGGCGAACGGAAAGAACATAGTTCATTAAACGTAATGTTCCATCATGGGGATATGCTTTTGAAAATAAAAAATAGCCCCATTGCAAGAACTTCAGAGATGTTTTATTGGAAAATCCGCATTTGAGAAGATTAAGAAGGAGCCATAATAGCTTGACGCTGGGGGCGAAGGTGAAATGGGAGCAAAACCGCTTGGCTACAAGCTCATGGTCAACCATTCCCATTCTTGGCTGTTGGTTCTTGTTGCGCCAGCCGCCAAACTGTGGTGAGCTGGGTTGAATGCTGCTGGAGGTTGACGGGGTTGCTGGGGCGGTGCCTGGGTCACTCTTTGTCTGCCTGACAGGTCTTGCTCGGGAGGGTTTCTGACATTGGCGTACATCCCTGAGACTGACGATTTATCAAGACACCGTGGCCGACCTGGGATGAGTCGTGATGGTGTGCCGGAGGCTGTGGTAGGGGTGACGTTGACGTTGCTGCCAGGCGAAGTGATGGGGAGAGTTTGTCTGGGGGGAGCAGCGGCTATTGGCACGGTAGTTCTTGTAGGCACAGAGCTAGATGTAGGGGTGGTTCCTGTGCTGGAGGGCGTGCTCGAGATTGGAGTCGGGGGCTGGGAGAGGGCCGATGGCCGGGTGGGGATGGGGGCCGAAGATACAGAAGTCTGGTTGGTGGAGTTTTTGCGGGAAGTCTTCTTGCCAGCTCTAGCTCCAGCGCCTGCAGCGACGTTGCTTCCTCCACCACGATTGCGTTTTTTGATGACATCCGTCTTAAGAGCGAGGGGCCGTACGACGCCGTGGAGTTTGAGGAACAGGCCACAAGCGTTACATAGGAATTGGCCCTCGGCATTACGACGCCAGAGGGGAGTAGTTTGCGTGAAACAGTTGGAGCACGACGTCGTTGCACCAGCGGGTTCGGCGTTCTTCGTGGAACCAGGACTAGGACTTGCAGGCCGGGAGGGGGAGTTGCTGTTAGGCCCGGAGCTGGGAGAATGCGGTGATTTGAAGCCGCTGTTGTTTGCGTTGTTGCTGGCAGTGATGCTGTTGGTATTGTCACCCCCTTGTCGAAGGAGCTGGGTAGCGTTTGGAGTAGATATTGTGCGAGGGATCTTTTGCCTTCTCGGATCTGGATCGCGGTTACGCAATTCGGTTACAGACGCGGCTGACCCGTGTGTTCGGTTTAGACTTCCAAGCTGAGCCCAGTCACTGCTTCTCTCGTCTAGATCGCCTGCGCCCATCACTAGCGGTTTCGACGGTTGGCTGTGGGCGGACGGCATTGAATTAATGGAGCCGGTATAGCTTCCCTCCCACTGCATACCCGAACCAAAGTTCATAGTAGCGTCGTCGAGTATGCTGAAGTCCGCAGAAAGGTCCATGTTACGGTCCAGAAAGACGTTTCCAGCATCCTCTTCATTATCTGAATCTCCGCCAAAGCTGAACACATGTCCCTTTGCCGAGGATAGACTGGTTGACGGCCGAGCAGAAGAGTCAGTCATGGGCTGACAGGTAGATGGGCTAAAGTGTGGCTGCTGCTGCTGCTGCTGCTGCTGTTGCATGCTGAATCCGGACGGGTTGACTACAGAGGACGCTCCACTACTGCCAGCCATGTTGAACGACTGGTCGTTGCCGGCATGGTGGTACATGTACCGGGATGTTGCAGGGGCCGAAAGGTTCGAGAGCGAATGTGAGTGGAATGAGCCTACCGGGTGTTGGAATGAGGCGGAATGGTCCTTTTCGAAGGCTGGCTGGGGGGTTGAGACAGCCGAGTGATAGCCTGAGGCCGTTGAGGAGAAGAAATCGGTAGAGTTGATGGAAGAGCCTAGTGGGGTATGCGAATAGAGGTTGGAGAACGCTCCACTCTGGATATGGGACAGTTCTGTGGGGGAGAGCTGGAAGCCGGTGGTGAAGGATGGATGGTCCAGGGCATTGGCAACGTCGTCAACATGGAAGGAATCCAGGTTCAAAGGAGCAGGGTGAGGTGGATGGCTTCCCAGGGTAAAACTGTGACTATGGCCGTGGCCGTGGCCGTGGCCATGACCATGGCTCTGACTATGACTTTGACTTTGACTGTGGCCGTGGTGATGGTCCAGAGTGAAGTCAGTCATGCCTGCATCAGGATCTGGATCATGGGAGATGATCAATCCATGCACCGGGGGAACATGAGGAGACGACTCTGCTGGTCGTTTCCGGGCCTGAGGTATCATTATATCAGTCTATGAACCGTAACGTATTCATCGTAGTAAACCTGATAAAAAGACCAAAAAAAGAAATAAATAAATAAAAGACAAGAAAACATACGATTCGTTCGTCAACGCTGGTCTTTCTGACTCTGCGCTGGACATAGCCGAACTCGCTGGTCTGAGTCCCGACATGCGGATGATGAGGGAACGAGGCAGGCATGACGATGCCCATGGGGGAGTCCTCTTGCTCCTCCTTTGCATTCCTGATAGGAATTGCCGACGCCACGGCATGCTGGGAGGAAGGATCTTCACTCATCGAGGGAGAGAAGCCCGTAGGCGAGCTGATGGAGGACGACGGAGCCACGAACGAGTCGACGTTCATGGGCTCAGCAGCGGAAGCAGGCTCCTGCGATCGTTGGGCTTCCTCGCTCTGCTGTCCCAGCCTGCCACAGCCAGTCAATACATCATCACTAATTTTTTTTTTTTAAAATTAAAAAGGAATAAAAAATATAAAATAAAATAAAAAAATAAAATAAAAATAAAAACGTACCTGGCCTGCGCCTGTTCTCGTTCCTTTTCCTTTCGCAGACTGACGGCCATCATGCGCCAGGTCAAGTTCTCCATCCGCTCCTGGTTCGGCAACTGGGTCTTGGTCCGGCTGTACAACTTCCATATCTGCGTCGCTAACGGGTCGTTTTTCTGCAGCTCCTCGGTGTTTTCCAGCGCAGTGCCATCTCTCCAGTCCGAGAATACCGACTCGCGGAGCAACCCCCCGCGAGTGACGCTGTCCGGCAGCTTCCGCTCCAGCTTGTCGTGGGCTAACGGGGGCAGAGGAGAGGAAACGGGGACCACAAGGAGGCGCCTCTGCGGGTGCCTCTGTCTCTGCGTCTGTCTCTGGCTCTTGTCTCTGTCTCTGGCCGGGCGGGACTGTGTGTGAGGGAGCCGCCTTTTGTCACTCTAGGTTTCTCGCTCGCTCGCCGCTGGTCTCTCAACGCAAGCGCAGCCAACGCCCGGTGGTATCGCCAGAATCCGGCTGCAGCAGACAGGAAGGCCGGGCAGCTGAGCGTCTCGAGACGGGGTGAGCCTGTCGCTGTCGAGGGAGGGGGGGGGGGGGGGGGAGAGTCGAGTTTCTCCTGGGGGGGGGGGGCTGGAAAGACGGTATGCCGTCGTCGTCGTATCACTCTCGCTATCAGGAGGCACACACGGGTGTGAGAAGGCCCGGGGCGAAGGGCGAGCTGCGTCTATCTCGGAGGCAGCGCCAGTCCACGGAGTCAACGCTGAGATTGGTCGCAGGCGGGAAGAGGGAGTTGCAGTGCTGTCTCGATCTCTGATCCGACGGTTGTTTTTGTTTGGTCTGGCTCTCGCTGGCTCTCGCTGGCTGGCTGGCTGGCTCGTCCGTCCTTTTTCTGAGTCTTCAGAGACTAACTTTGGCGGACCAAGTGGGAGTTTTTTGCCCACAACATGTGATTTCGGCTCGTAGGGCGAAGAGACGGCAGGCAAGTTAAAGAGAGAGACAGACTGACTGACTGACTGATAAGTATATTATATAAAATTAGCAGGCGACAAAGTAATAATATTTTAAACAGGCCAAGTAGGAGCGTCGATGGAGTCAGGTCTGTCGAGGTCCTCTTTTCTCCTGTCCTTCATGCAGGCCCTGCAGCGGCAGTTGGCTAGCGAGAGTGACGATGCCAGTTAAGCTCCTCGACTCGCAGCCAGTTAGGTATATCTCTGATGCTATATAGATGTCTGTCTAGGCGGACGTCCCTCTCCCTCTCTCTCTCTCGCCCTTTTGCCTCTCTCTTCCTCTGCCTTTTCCACTCCCGGCATGACCTTTTTTTTTCTCCCTCTTCGCTCTTTTCGCCTTCTGCCGCGTCTCTGCTGTGGGACCAAAGGAAGGCCGGGGCATGGGCAGTAACTCAGAACGCAGTAACTAGTTAGTGGCTTTTTTTTCGCATCTCGCCGCAGCCCGTTCGTCACTCGAAAGGCAGACAGACAGACAGACAGACAGGCCCTGCGCAGGCTTCTCTCGCCTTTTCTCTTCGTCGTCCATCGATTCTACCATCTTCTCCCCTTTCCTCGTCGCCGCCGTCGTCCTTGATATCAACTTCTTCGCCGTCTCTTTTTTGTCTTATCAAAAAAAAAAAAGGTCGAAAATACGAGAAGCCGGTAATGTAACTTTCATGACAGTACATTACAAGCTTAGTCATCTCCATCTTAAAAAAAGACCTCCTTTTCCATCGTCATCAAAGTCTTTCTTCTTCTTCTTCTTCTCTTCTCTTCTTGATTCTCCCTCTCGGACTTCCCTTCGGCTTCTCTCTTTGGTCTATCCGGGCGGCAACCAAGGAACAGGAACCCAGAAACAAGAAGAGGCCAAGGCAGACAAGAAGTGCGGCCTGCCGGGACAGGCTCATGGCCTCTCGCGGTTCAAGGCAGGGATGAGGCTTGAAAGGTCGAGAGCACATCATCCACTTATATATGAAGTATATACTTATACTTAGACATCACCGATCAACGTCTTCTCAAAAGGCATCCACCCAGTGCAGGCTTAGTGACCTGGCCTAGCTAGAGCTAACGCACGAGATGCATGCAACAAGTTGAGTGTGCTTTCGGCTTAGGCTTAATTGTCGTTTGGTTAATGCAGCACCTTCTTGTCCCTGGGGTGAAACATCTGCATGTAAGGGCCCCTCTCCATCTGCCGCCAAGTGTCCATACAGGTCCTCGATCTCTTCACGGCGCCTCTCCCTGGCATGGGTCCTTCGGAGTCTATAAGATGTCATCGGCTCGGCTGGCTTCCAGACGGCGGTCCAGAGCCCTAGCAAAATAAAAAAGGTCGTGGGACGGATGGACGGACGGACGGAGTGCGGAGAAGGCCTTCTCTCTCTCTCTCTCTCTAATATTAGGAGATTAGGAGCTGTGACGGATGATCTCTCTGCGCGCACAGCTACGGAGGACCTTCTGCCGTCGACTGCTGCTCTGTTTCCCAACCAAGAGAGGTCACGAGAGGCAGATATGTTTCAATCTCAACCAGCAGCTTGTTTGCCTGCCACTTGCTTGTCGGGATCGATCACTCTTGGCCCCCCCCAGCGCCCGTTCTTCTGCATGCCTGGTTTCGATGCCCTTCTCGTCGTCCATGGCGTAGCTGAAACAGGCCTGCTGCTGCTGGTTCTCATGATGGCCATGTAGAATATAACAACTATAACTATCCGTACACATAGCCAACGGTGGTACGACAGACAGCTCAAGGATAAAGCTGACATGTCTCTCTTGGCCGGCCAGCTGAGAGCTGATCAAGCTTCCCTTCCCTCCCCTTCCAGCCTGGTCTAGCTCGTTATAAGTTAGCAAAACGGACATAATGCCAAATCCAAACCCTTGGGGCATCCGGGGAGGGTGGGAGGGGAGGGGGCGAAGAATGCTCCAGGTACTACTCTCGCCTTAACTACAGAAATACTTTCCATGACCCTTGGTGGGTGTGTTGGCCACGACGGTCTTTGGCCGATTCAGCTTCACCGCCGTTCGCCGTTCGTTGCATGCGATATCGGCAGGTAACTAAACCATGGACACTCTCCTCCCTCCTCCCCCCCCAGTTTCTGCCCTTTTGTCGACGCCCGTCGCGAGATCCCAGCTTCGGTTCGGGATGGGTCCTCTCCTCTGTGCCTGCTGTGTGCCTGTGTCCGTCTCGTCTTCCCTTTGGTGGCCGTCACTAGTAACTCGCGGATGCAGCTGGTCGGCTCCGTCTAGGCACGTAGTCAAATCTAATCAATCGCCCTTAGACCGGGAGATTTAGGAAGCCGTCCGGTCGTCATTACCATACGATACAGACATCCCGTATTTGTGGCCCCAACCTCGGCCCTTTTTCTTCTCTTCTTCCTTCGACTCTATCAAAAACTTCCTATCAACCAACCTTCATCCTCCTTCGACTGGACGGAGCGTCCAACGGGAGAACAAAGACCATCTTCTGCCCCCGACTGTGCATAGGGATCTCGATAAAGACATGTAAATCCCGCACTGTCTCTCGTGATGTTGTTGGTCTTCCGCTCTTGGTTAGATCCGCTGGACAGTCGGGTGCGCTCTACCAAGCAGAGCCGAGTGCGATATCCAATGATATGATACCCAAAGCTCAGTCAAAGGCCAGTAGTTACGGACTACTCGTCTGCACTTGAGGTCCGTTCTATTTTAGCTCTAAGCAAGAATTAACCTATAATGGCTATGTGTCTTTGTTGAAGGCACCGTGATACCCAATATAGCGTTAACAAAGGTGTTAACCGCTAAGCTGGAACGAGGAGGCCCGCTAGTTGCCAGCAGATGGAGAGAGTAAACTCATTTGACATAAAGATAACGGATATAACTGTAGAGAACCATGTTAGATGGTCAAATAAAGACCATACCCATACTCAAGCAGACGGCAGTCTAGAGACGAGGGTCCCGGGATGCTTCTCTGTTGCCCTCCACCCATCCGAAATGAATCATTTTACGCTGCATTTAATGAACACGCTTGTTCATTTTTAACTCGCAAGCGCCGGTCTTCTGAATGGCCCAGCAGAGACGTCATGCTCTTTGACTCAACCCCGTCTTATAGTCTCCATTTCTTAGTCTTCTCCGAATGTGACCTTTACTGTTTCCCCGTTAATGCCTCCATTCTGTATTCATTCTGTATTTCAGCATCCAGTGGTCTCCAAAAACAGCTCCACTACTCTTCCCTTTCCCTCCAACTCCGGAAGCTAGGTGACTTCGTGAGCCTTTCACACAAGCCACGCAGCCCTCGTCTGTGCCTTTCAATTAAACAACTATTCTCTCTGTTGCCAATTGGTGGGCCCTCCTTTCGGGCTCAGCAGTTTGACAACCAGCCTGCAAGATACATAGCACAGCTGACTATATACCCCCCCCCCCCCTTCATTCACCCGAAATCGGGAACCATCCCCAGATCCCAGAATCCTCTCCATATCCTACAATAGGCGCAGTACCCTCTATCTACCATAAAACTCCACATTATCTCATCTCCTTGTTCTCTGGGGCCCCGCAAACATGCAATAGTGTTCCAGCTATGGCATTAGACCGATATCCGCAGGTTCCATGGTTCCTGTAAGGAAGTACAAAGCCTTGCTGAAACTATTCCTCGGTCATATTCAGTCTAAGGTACTACATGGTGTAGTTTTTTTTGGAGCCACTGCAACGTCTAAGCTGACATTGTAATGTGAAAGTATACTCGTGTGCAGGGTCGGAATTACTGGACATCACAGCAGTCCAGATAATTGAATAATTGACACTCCTGGGACCTGGCTTTGATTAGTGACTTGTATTTGAAGATTTCCCTACTTCATCAATACCCCGGCAAGACGAGCTTCGCATACCGCTCCATGGTCTCCCAGATGGGGTCTGAAGATCCCTTTTTATTATTTATTGTTATCAAAACATAGCAATGAGAGTCTTCAGTACCATATGGAGCGTATGACTAGGCCAATTACTAGTGATAGAGATAAAGAGCCCAGCAGAAAGACTTTTGTGCTGGCGTCTCTGCGGCTCTATCATGGAGGAGCCAACCTGCCAGTGTTGATGTATGGATACTATCCACTGTTTACTTTGCGGTTACTCCTTCCCATCACCCATGCAGTCTTCGGGGGTTCCTTCCCTCCTAACAACAGCATTGTTTACGTCAGGTTTATTGTTTACATTCACCAGGGCAGCTGCGAAGATGTAGCTATCGGGAAAGTGGTATCAACGATGTTTACCCAAGGAAACAGGGCTCCGCCGACTATTATCTAGCTTGTTCCTTATGCCTATCAGCTAAACAGCCTTTAACATCCTTGACCTTGACATGAAAGATTCAAACAGCTACGTGCTTATAGAAGTCATAAATATCTTAATAATGGTGTCTTCGTGTCCCGACACGGCGTGGAGTGCCTGCCAGAAAGCTAGGTCATCACTCCAAGAAAACAACCAAGGTTTATTATTAGCATGTGTATGCTATGAATATCATCTCAACCCCCAAGATACTCATAAATATCTAGATATCCGTGGAATGCTCCTTTTACGTAAGAGATTGGAAGAACAGATAAAAATAGCAGTTACCAGATGTCCAAGGGATAGATAGGGAAAACAACCAAGATAAAAAAGTAAAATGAAAACAACCCCAACTCCACCTGGTTATACTCGCAATCTTTCAGCCTTCGGCCACGAAAACACCACAGATAGATATTTCATCCTGGCCTGGCCATGAGACAAGGCTGTCCGTCCCACCGAAATACTATTCATGGGCAGTTTCCAGACACTTGGTACGAGGTTCACTTGACAAATTCGTGGAGTCCCCGTTTCATCAAGGGCCATCATGTACTCCGTGCAGGAGGACGATCGGGAGATACGGAGGCCAAATGACCTGCATACTTAGTACATGGAAGCTATAAGCAGGGAAAAAGCGAACAGTATCCGTATTTCGTCATCATATTTCACTTTACCGCATCATGGGTGCCGTGTGCCATTTTGCCCCATGCACCAGGTTGATGGTAGTTAGTTGTAGAAGTATGGGCGAAGCTAGGAATCCTTCCTCCACGATGACGGAGTTGCCGAACCCAAAATCCATTCCATGCCATTACCCCTGTTGTGCACTCACAGACGCAGATGCTTCCCAGCCATCGACTTGTTGAGTACGGGGCATGTGTACTTCAAGGTGCGAGAGGGTGTACGAGGTAGAGTGGCGTGAATGTCTAGCTTTGAAATGATAAAAAAACAAATCTAGTTGAGTTGAGGGGAGGCCAACCAATAGAGAAGTGCGATACAACCGTACCCCTGCTCAATCAAGATGTTTATATGAAGAGAGAGGGGATTGACGAGAGAGAGAGAGAAGGAATATATATAAATACATATATATTGCGTCGGAGCAGCCCCGTTTGCGAGATATGTGAGTATTCTGCTCCACAGTCTGATGTGATTGGGTACGTGAATGCTCATGAGAAGAATTGCGCTTGCGGAGAGAGATGGCCCGACCTCGCAGAAAGTGTGCGCAACTAGACTTTGGGAAAAGAGTGGTTAGCTATATTGTCCGGCGTGCAAAGTAAGGTTTTCTACCCTTCCCGAAGGCAATGAATTCGAAGCACGTTATTTAGTAAACATCCTGCATATATTGCACAACGTAAATACTTGCATTTCGTCCATATGGAACGCCAAACCCAATGGGATATTTGTTTCTGATTGGAGTGTTCCATCAGCAGCAAGTTTGCATGAAAAGAAAGAATATGCAAGAGAAATAGATGCATGAGCAAGATGCAGCCACAGGAAGGCATGCGTTGGCCATGTCTGTAAGAAAAAAAAAAAGTTTCCTACTCCGTACAACTAGAGAAGAAATCAGACCCTGTAGGGATGTGTTGACCATCCATCCCTAGGCCAAAAGAAAATTGGCAGAAAAATGATTACAAACCGTTGACCGGAAAGTATTTTGGTTTCAACTTGCTCTTGAAAAGCCCTTTGGTGCTTGTCACATGAAGTGAGGCGAGAAGAGAAAAGAAAATATATGATACTTCCAGAAGAGAAGTCTCATAAAAGAAAAATATGACCAAAACAAGCCCTGTTGAGAGAATGGAGTATCATCTGTGCATACACCCTGGGCATATCCAAGCAAGGGATTGACCACTTTGCGCTCCATATTTCATATCATCACACAAAGGGCATTCATCCTTTGCCTTCACTGGGGGGCCTTTGCATATCTTAGGCATCAAGTTCCATGCTGATCTTGAAATTAGGCGGGATTATGTCAGCCCAATAGTGGCCAGCTTCGCGCAGCATGGCTTTCTATTTGGCGTTTTGAGCAATGGAAGATGAAGTTGAGTTTTGCTTCTTCATCACCATCCACTCCTGCTGGCAGCAGAAGCTTTTTACACTTTAGACATACTTTCTTTTTATGCTTCATGTGTCGCTGGAAAGATGTCTGAGCGCAACATGTAGAGCGAACCCAACTCTCCTTTCGGCATCGACTAGTATGAGGACCGTGAACTTCTGGGCCTGAAGATGTTGAGCATGTCCAATCATCTGTCGCCAATTACATCCATTTCGTCGGATGACTTGACTTGGCTGTGGGGGTGTTGGTTTTTCAAAAAAGCAAGAAGCGGAAGTTCTTCTTTTGGTATGCATCCGTCAGGAAGAATTCAATACATCTGACTGCACCGTCCTTAATCTTGAAATTGCAGAGGGGGTATTTGAGGGCGAAACAGCTCGTTTCTTCCTACACCTGAGAATCCCGAGGCATGGACAGTTTGTTCACCCACCACATCTCCTGTGGCATCGGTTGCTTTAAATCGGAAACGCTCTCTATGGAGCCGTGGCGTGCAGAAGTGCATGAACAGAACCAGAGCAGTGGGAGTAATGACCAAGCTGGCTGATCAATCTCCGGTTAGGACTCGTGGCTGGTTTAAGTAAGGAAAAGAAAAGAGGTAAAAATTAAAGATAAAAAAGGAAAAAGAAAAGAAAAGAAAAAGAAAAGGTCCTTGGGTTTTGGCTGAGTTGAACGGCGCAGGAGATGCTTCAAATAATAAAATACCAAGGAGAGGATTTACCTAATCGGCGACTGTCCCCAACCCTAACGATAAAATATTAAGCATAGTTACTTAAGGGGTTGCTCCTACCTAGGTAAGGGTAAGGAGGCCATCCCCCATCCAGGTCGAAGCCAACGTGGTATTTTCTTTCCCTTCATCTTTAGCGTAACCCTTAATTTACCGTCCAGTCCATTCAGATGGTGTGAATAATGAAGCAAAAATAGGAGTTTGGCATCGTTGAACAGGGACCCATCCCCCTGCAACTCAGGAAATTAGGCTGTCGTAAGCTTGTCCGATCCACCTATGGAGACTTTGTGAAATATATTCTCAAGCACAAGTTGACCGCATGCGCCATTTTTTTCCACTTTTATTTGTCGCCTTCATGGCCGCGTCTTTCTTTCCACTATTAAAAGTGGTTTGTTCATGCTTCTTTGGACGTCTCTTTTCGAGGCAGTGCTCAGCGGTGCTCAGCGGACTAGGAAGAGCCATTGTAAATGCTGCAAGCAGGTCGATTTCACGACACTGGTCGCTCGCTTCGGTGAAGTGTCTCCTGTGTTGAGGACAAGTTCCGTCCTGCGAGATGCATGTAAATATAAACACATGCTATACGCAAGGGATCCATATTCATAACTAGTAGATTATGCATATAACTTACTTATACTACTCTCCGTATGCGGAGGGGGCCCAAAGCTTGGGGCGAGATAAAGTTATTCCAGCGACGTCGGTAAATCTCTCAGCCCCCAGAACCATCGCTTGAGTCTTGACGGTGGAAATTCCTCAAAGGAGAGATAATAGGAGCTGGCAAAGAATAAGCCAAAGGATTGTCGATTGACCTGTTGCACACTTCGGTCCACATATATTTTTTGGTGTTGCGGCCATAACATCAGCCAGGACAATAAGCAATTTCCTTCAAAGGCTTAGAACAGTCCAAGAGTGGAAGTTGTTTACGACAAAAAAAAAAAGCGTAACTTACCTAGCCAGAGAAAATATAAAAATAATATGGAAAGTTATCGTGCGTCTATCTTGCGTTGCACACAGAGTATGCTTGGACGTACAGGTGGAGTGGTGGATAAGCCCACAGGCTTGAATAATATCTGATTGATGTTCGGTCCACCAGTGTGCGTCCGTAGCAGCCAACCAGCCCGTACTTATTCTCATAACACCTTTGGTCGAGATCCGGTGTGGACGACTGCTAAAGTAAAAATACCAGACAACCCGCCCTGGCGTTGAAAAAGAAAAGAGCAAGGGTAAAAAAGGAATGGAGGTTCATGCATCCTTTCTTCGAGCTTTGACTTGCTGACCTGATGGAGTAAATTCGTTATTTTGAACAATATGCTCCTTAGAAAAAGGAGCGAATCTCCAAGTCGCACTGCAACAGAGAACGGAGGACACATCCATTATCGTGCTTTTTCTCCGAGTTAATCTTAACCTCTGATCGGAGTTTGCTTCCGTTTGGCTTCAAAGTATGCGCTTCTGATAGTCACTCGCAGGTTGATTAACGGAGAGATGACCCGATCAAGCATCCATTTCTTTTGTGCGTTCTCTCCCTTGTCATTGGACAGGAGAAGGGGCTCGCGCTGTCCTCCGTACAACCGGCGATGGGCCCTAGCAGGGATAGATGTTGGTGTTCTTTCTCATTGTTGGTCCTTGGCATAATTATGAGTGAGTGACCACTCCTTACACTTTTGATGGCCGATAGTTTTATATGTATATCAAATTATACGCATGCGCTCCGTACACACATATATCGGTGTACGCCGTAAACAAAACTTTCAATGACAGGTTGAGCGCATGCAGAACGAAGATAAATGAGCGAGAGCTGGTCCCTTCACTCTGAAGGATTTGATTCCAGGCGTGTTTTTTTTTTGTCTATAATTGTCGATGGTCCATCGACATCGACATCCGGCTTATAGACTTTCGTGTATGCGAGTGCCTGTCTGCTGGATGTATCCCCTTGACGTTTCAACATGGGGAGAGAAAGTACCACTGTTCTGCCTTGCGTGTGTCCGGACTGTGCAAGGTGACTTGAATTTTTTTGTTTCTTTTTCTTTTGATTTCTCCCTCCATCTCCCTCTTTCTGAGTGCATGTGTGCGATTCCTTTCTTCCCCTCTTGGTCTCTGTTGCTTTTCGGGCTTCTACCCCCTCGGGGAGCACTCCGGTTGCATGGGATGCCATGTGTGAGTGCGCTGCAAATGTTGGTGGAGGTGGAGTCAGGCTTTCTTCCTGTCAAGATAGGCTTCGGAGTATTTCTTAGAGTTGCACTGCATTTGCAAAGTTTCGCTGTTCGAAAAAGGAATATATATCAAGAAGGAAAAAGAAATACCTACAACCAAACAGCAAGAGACAGGTATGGTTGTCCTCGAGCGAAAAGCAAAGTCATGGAGGGCAGACCGGGTCGCCACTACTCCGTATCTGCCAGCTGTATCTCCATTGCTGTTGCTGCTGCTGCTGCTGCTGCTGCTAATAATGATGATGATGTCGTTGTTGATGTCGTCGTCGAGGCGGAGTGGATGTCTTTTGGCCGTCTTCGTCCGAGTTGGGAGGAGAAAGCCGCCGCACTACGCGTGTTGTTAATGACTAAGCAAAGCAACTAGAGTTTGCACTATGGTGACTCAGCACGAGCTAAAAGCGGCGCAGACCAACCAACCTCAAACGCCCTAACTGCTTTTAGTAATCCCCTTTTGGCTTTTTTTTTTTTTGGGTTTTTGTTTTTTGACACTTTTTTTATACGATCGAACGTCTTCCATCTCGCACGCACGCCAACACACGATGGGCATTGTGATCGCGTTGCTTGTGATATACTCCGTACATGATGATCAGTAACCTATTTATGGTACCGTACCTAGGCCCGGGTATCTCATCAAGCCTGCGATGGCACCAAACCCAAAGAAGCAGCTCTCTTCCAGCTAGCTTGCTATAGCGGAGAGGGGGGGGTTTATACGGAGACACACTCAGATGCATAACCACATGTACTTGCTGCGTAAGTATGTGCGGAGTACTTCGGACATGTCCTCAGCTCTTCTTCTGCCTGCATTTCTCCTTGTTTTTTTCTTGCTTTCGGGGGCGTTAAGGATCATGGCTGACAGGGTAATATCATAGCTTATTGGCTGTAAGCCCCTTTAGGGGCGACTTTGGCATCAACCAACCGGTGAGCACGCGCCTGTCTCTGACCAGACGTCGGTAAATACGACTAAAATCTCGAAACAAGCGGCCAGGGGGACCGTTTTGTGAGAGAAATCTTGGCACCAGGCGTAATCTCTGTTGGAGATGCGTTTCAGGTTGCCGTTTAGACTCGCACCAACGCACTAAGCAAGCCATCCGGTTGAAGGAGCCATGTTATTCCGTGGGCTAAATGATGACCGATCGACTAACGAGGACTCCTGTCTCCAATAAACCACCAGACGAGCAATTTCAATTGGCTTTTACAAAAAAGGGGATAAATAATAGACCATTCCTTCATTTTATTCATCCGCGTAGTATTCCCTGCTTGACCGAAGGACCTCCACGCAAATCCACACTGTTTCATCTAGACCCTTGAGGCAGCACCTTTGGCTTTGAGTGTTATTCTCCGCAGAGAGAAAGCCGGACCCTTGAACTGTTTGGGAGATGGTGAATTATTGATATCACAACTAATAACACTCTAGTTTGCCTGAGCGGTGGAGGAACCGAGGCTTTATTTCATCACTTTGGAATTCGCACACAACACCATGATAACGCTTGCCCTCGATGAAAGGGGCAAAACGGTCAAAACTTCCAAAGGGACTTAAGCTCTCCACTACTGACCGGTGCAAGCAACTTTTTTTTTTTTTTTTTTTGGCTCTATAGGTCTTTTTTTAGGTCTCGAAAATGAAAGCATAAACCTTCTTAATTGCCAAGGAGGCTTGAAGAGTTGGTACCCCTTCTCCGTTCTCTGTACGGAGCACACAGATATAGAAATACACGTTAGGACTCCTTGCACTGTTTTTCGACCCCAAAATCCCCACTTTAATACTTTGAAATAGTTGACGACACCTGTGCATTACCTAACTGCCTATATTTGATGCTGATCAGCCCCGAGTTCCAGATGGCTAGAACCCCCCCTGAGGCGACCCTTGAACAACTCCCATTCGTTTGATCGACTACTCCATATCGTCAGCACCAATGACATTTATTTCCTCATACACTTCTAGCTCTTTTTTTCGTGGCGTTACTTGCCCTCTTTTATTTTTTTTACTTCGGCCCTCTATCTCTAATAAGTCCTTTCCTTTTTTTTTTTTTTTTTTCAAAAAGGAATTTACTAACACTTGGTATTTTAGCCAACCCTTTTGGATACAACTGTGGAGAGTGGTAACTCTCATTCCTATACCCATGGAAGCAGCAGTAGCCTAATCTTGTTCTTTGACAAGCTTGCCCATTGACCAGTCCGCAGTACCTGTCTGCATTCCCATTCGATTAAAGCAATTTGCTTTTTTCTCAATTCTCCTTCCCAGTGCTTGACGCATCTTGAGAGAGAGAAAAAAAAAGGAAAAAGTCTTGGGACGTTTCACCCCACGATTTAGCTTGGTTCATTTCGTGTCCTAATTGCGGGCCGGGGGGTAGTGTTTATCAAATATCCCCTTCGCTTGGTTTTATTTTTTCCTCCTTTCGCAAAAGCGCCCTCTCGAGTAGCTTCCCTTCTCGATTGCCTTTTAACATCTTTCTCCCTCTTTCTTTTGTTATGGATATTGTGTTCGTATTGCACCATTCCTCGTTTGGATTGTTCCTGGACTTGTTTTTATACCCCCCTTCCACCCACAGTGGCGGTTATATCTGAAGTATATATATGTATATATATATCTTGATATATATTTTACGATCCCTTCCAGAATATATAGTATCCCCTCCCTTGGAACCACACCTGCCGCGGGGAAAAGACGCCTAGCTTTCTTTTTGGTTGTTTGACTATATATTTCATCCCCCCTTCTCCCTCCCATGGCCATCCTTTAAGCTCACTCTCCAGCGGGTCATCTACACAGCACACCTCAAAATACCACTCATCTGCTTGTCCATTTAGTGCTGAACTCTGTCGGGGATGACTTGAGCCCGTGATAACTCGAACTCCTTGTCGCATGGGGATAAAATTGCCGATCGCCACCTCTTCGCCGTTCCTCCCTATATCATACATCGCCGGCGCAAAGGCGAGCATATTAGCAAATTCTACAGACAAAAAGCCAGAACCAGAGTCACTGCCTGTCGATTTGCCCTTGACAAACGGTTTCTAGTCCACTACCCGCCTGTGGAAGCGATGCGCGAGGTCACATACCGGGCCGTAAGTCAAGGAATATTTAAAGGCCTTGGCCATGGAAAACTCGACGGGATCGGCCGCAGATAAAAAACGGAACAAGCTGGGATATCACAGAACATCTGTTGCTTGTGGTAAGCATCCCGAAATTCTCTTATCAGCGTCTCCTGCCCTCAGGAATCCAGCAGGGCGGATCTGATGTGTATTGCCATGCGAGGCGCATTGAAATTCTACCTTGCCCCCTTTATAACCTTCCAATTCGTTCTGTTGGCGAGCTTGCAGGAGTTTGAGCATTGGGTTAACAAATGAACTTCTTTTCTATAGTACATTGTCGAAGGAGGAAAATACGGTGCCTGCTTGCGCCCGACGACACCCAGGGCCGATGTGAAAACTGTATCCGACTGAAGAAAGAATGTCATTTCTACCCAGTGGACCAACAACCAGCAGTAGACAAGAGAGGGCGCCCCATATCGAAACCCGAGACTGCGGGATCTGATGCATCCCTTACCACTACACCTCCTCTGCTGGGCAGTGGAACAGTGATGGAGCAGAAGGAGTCCTATTTTACATACCCAAACATGGGTATCTCTTCAGGTCAAGATATATCGGCCTATAATTCTGTCGCCTACCCTGGAACGCCTGTGGCAGCATACACACCAGGTTCGTCCCGCCACATTTGGAAAACCGCACCGTCAGATATTGAGGGACGCGGAAATAAAAGGGAGATATCATGACTAAAAAGCATGTTGTTTAGATCCGTTAGCTGCACCCGAGCTGGGTGCGATACCAAACGCAGCACAAGCCGTACCGGCCTGGAATGAACCTATCTACGAGCCCCAGGTATCTGGAATGGTTTTAAGGCCTTCTCCTGGGGCGGTTGTGCCGCCGGGTGCCATGCCCCATCCATCAACTGGCCCAATGGCAGTGACTCCAGACGCTACCGGTATTCTTCCAGTCAACATGTCCACAGCTGGATTTGGCGCCTCTCCTCATGATAGCACAGCATGGAGCGGTCAAATATCAAGGTCTATGAGTTTATCCGCGAGACCGGGAGTGCCGTCACCCATACCACAAGCATATCCTAGCCAGTACCACCCATCACCACCGATCAACCCGGAATTTAAACGTCGGATGACCACACCGGCCGAATCTTACTCTGGTCTAGGGCACGTCCCTAGCGTACCCCAGCTCCCATCTACGCCTGTGCCTGTATCATATGATGAAGCCCAGATACCGTTCACCACCTACAACATACCTGGAGCCATTTCTGGACAGGTAATAGTTGGCTCTGCCGCAGATCCAATGTCCCTTTCAGAGTGGTATTCTCCAGATTCACTACAAGCACACCAGCAAGGCTTTATTCCTGACCAACAAAACTTGATGCATCGACCACCCGGCTAGTTATACCATCCTCAGACCTTTATACCTGCATTATCTTTTGACGGCCTTGAAATACTCCATAAATACCCATGAAACCTGGTGCCATAATTATCTTTCTCTTTTCTTCCACCTTCAACGCAATTGGGAAAGCAATCTTAGGATACTCCCTTTTTCCAATTCTAAGTAGCCGTGTAAATTCCCAGACCGGCTTTCATGATCTCTCTTTTTTTACTCCTCGCTCTTGGAACGGCATCTCAACCAATGGATCATTCTCATGGCCCACCCTGCATGGAATTTACTCATTTGCTGGCGTACATTATAAGAAGGGCATCGTGTTTCTTTTCTTCTCCTCCATTAAGAGCCAATCAACATCGCGGTCTACATTCTAAATCCCGATTGCACTTTTCGCTACCATCCATCCTCCGGTGGCTCTCGGTCTCTTCCTACCACCCTTTCTACCTTTCTACTCCCCTGGCCATGCTATTACAAAGAAAAAAGAAGAAGGAAGAAAAAAAAAAAAAAAAAAAAAGGAAAAAATGAAAAGAAAACCAATAAATAACCAAATTTCGGTTAACACTGTCTTCAATTGGCCCCCGTTCATATCCAGAACATTTTTGGGTTTTCTCTCTCTCCATTGTGCATATCTTCTCCCTCCCCTACCTATCAACCGAGTAAGCTCCCTGCAACTACATGCATTTTGGTACCAGGCTCGGGTCTATTTCCCTGTCTCTACATTCCTCTTCTAACGTCCATCTTGGGTCTTTCTATATGCCTGCTCTTACTTACCTTCGCCAATTTTTTTTTTTTTTTTTTCGCATTATTTAATCTTCTATTCAATTTTCCGTTTACATGTCCATGGACTGGCTATATTTGAATGTGGGCTCTGAGAGCAGCCACACGGGGTTACTCATTTAAAACGGAAAGGGAGGGGCTATCATTTTCATTTCATAAAACAAGGGCTTCTAGTGTCTTTTCCGTTTTTCTTTGCTCTTCTCTCTTTTTTCCATTAGTAATTCTCATCTTTACTATATACCATATTTAGCTGATAACTGTTGGTCAGGAGGCTATTTTGTCAATATCATTCTTACATGGAGGCATGACATTGCATATCTATATCTACATTGGGCCTTCCGCCTCATTTCTACCGTGTCCTTGCACCAATTCTTGGAGAAATTCAATGTCTCTCTGGTGGTGTCAAGAGTCCTCAGGGCCCTGGCTGTGCTGGCCCAAACAATTGCAAAGGCTCAACCGTCCAGATCGAGTATCAACGGCCACTGTCTAACTCTCAAATCTCAACTCTCAGCACTTTGTCGTCTTCCCTTCCGCACTACTGCGGAACAGGAAGGCTCATTAACGCCATGGGTTGCTCGTATTTGTCCCTAGCTCTGCTGCATCGACACTAATAGCGTCCCTCTGGCTGCAGCACGGAGAGGTATGAGCTCGCCCTCATGAGACGAAATGACAGCGTGGTTGGACGGGCAAGATGATCTATCACCATCCACCATCTGTTAACTAGTTGCTAGTTATCGATCCCACCTCGCAGCCATGCAAAAGCATATCAATTGCTGCAGAACAGCGAGCCAGCTATGACGGAATAGCCCGCGCCTAGGGGCTATCAGACTAGTTAAATAAGCAGCGGCCAGAAACCCCACCAAAGCCCGCTGCTCCCCCTCGCTCGAACTAGTGACAAAACACGAACTATATAAACGTCCACAGCAATTCCCACCGGGACAACAAACCATCACCACGACTGCCATCCTCCATTATTTCAGCTTCCCTTCTTTCTCGACCGTCGCAAAGTCCCCAATCAGCCACCATGGCCACCTATAGCAAGGCTTGCTGCACGTAAGTGTCTCTCTGCTGATGCCGAGGCGTGGTTGCGGGGGATTCTAACCCGATTGTACGAGAAGACTACCCCCAGTGGTTGACACTGCCTATGAGCTCAAGGGCAAATATGAGAATATCTGTGGCATGAAGACTTGTAAGTCGATCTATATTGGCCTGTTCTACGAGACCGCTAAGCTGACTGCCTGCTCCTAGACGTTACTGGGCCGGAAACCGCCACGGAAGCCATCCTAGTTGTATACGGTGAGTCGGGCTGGATACACCCACTGAGTATATCTCAGGACACATCAATCTGACTATAGGACACAGATATCTTCGGATTCTTCCCACAGACTCTTCAGGGAGCGGACATCATGTCCACCTCTGACGCAGAGCGCAAATACCGAGTCTTCATGCCCGACTTCTTCGACGGCAGCCCCGCTGACATCGCCTGGTACCCCCCAGACACCGACGAGAAGAAAGAGAAATGGGGCGCCTTCTTCAAGGACAGAGCTCCTCCACCAAACACCCTTCCTCGCATCCCCCAGGTTGTCGAGGAGATCAACAAGAACCACTGCCCCGGTGGCGCTGGTTTCAAGTCATGGGGTATTGTAGGGTACTGCTGGGGAGGAAAGATTACCTCTCTCCTCTCTGCCAAGGACACCCTCTTCAAGGCTGCTGTCCAGGTTCATCCTGCCATGATTGATCCCAAGGAAGCCCTGGAGGTCACTATCCCCATGTGCATCCTGGCTTCAATGGATGAAGATCCCAATGAGATTGAGAAGTATAAGGACAACCTCAAGGTTGAGAAGTTAGTTGAGACCTACGGTGACCAGATCCACGGCTGGATGTCTGCTCGAGGCGATTTGAAGAACCCCACTGTTAAGAAGGAGTATGAGAATGGGTACAAGTCTGTTATTGCCTTCTTCAGGGCGCATTTGTGAGAGATCAATCCTTATCCCGTTCAATGTATATGTCTTCGGTGGCATACTCCTCTTTCTGCAAAAAGTATCGATGAATGGTATCTTTATGAGAATGGATTGACCGTCATTCATTTTGCAAGCCGTAACCCGTGTCTAGGACCTCTCAAGTAAAATAAATAAAAAAAAAAAAAAATAAAAAAAAAAAAATATATGATGCATATCCTTCAATTGTATCGCCTCTTCAGGCCAGATTAAACAAATGCAACAAATATACAATTGCAAAATGGAAGTCCAAAATTTTTAGATTCATATATTATTGTGTTATAGTTATCCTTTTTCATCTTCCTTACCTTGCATATAGTTATCGCCTACCAAAGCGCCCAACTTACACCATGTAAAATTCTCCGTACACGCCATCGTAGCCACACCTGCATAGCCACCGCTCTACTTGTTAACTACTTGGTCACACTCGCCACACTAGCAACACGGATGACCACGTTAACATCAACCGCTCTCGCTTCTCGGATACTACATGCTAAACAAGTCCGTCCAACTCTGGAAATTACCGCATCTGTACAGACGGCCGTACACCAGGCTCGTGCAAAGGCTTCTTTATCCTTACTTCCTCTCGCATCAATGATGTATGTAATTGGTCGGCGACGACTGTGACGTCGTTTCTCCTCCGAGAGCGAATGGCGGTGTCTCCCCATACCTGAAGAACGACGCTCATAGGTTCTCGGGGGCTTGGGTGGGAATTCTGTTACACTTGGCAACGAAGTGATGGGGATATATTTGTAAGGGTAGAAGGAAGTGTGGAGAGGGTGTCCTGGGACGCGGAAGCTGTTTGTCCGTTGGATACGCGGGTTAAGGGGGCCTGTGCTAGGTGATTCGGGCCCCAGGCTCCAGTCATATGTGTCTTCATCGTCAGGGATAGGGGGCTGGAAGTGTCTGTGATACTCTGATGAAGAGTCTGGGTCTGTATTGTGTTTTGTGGAGTGAGCGGCCCACCCTCGCGGTGGGAGGCAAGGGAAAGAAGAGATAAATAGCGAATTCTTGCTTAGCGGGAAGAGAACCTTTCGTGGTTTCGATTGGGGGGTGGCCTTGATAGTGAAAAAAGCGTGGGCGGTGGCTTTGAAAGGGAGACGTTTACTTGGGCCATCTCGTTCGGACCTGACAAGGGTGATGTTATCAAACACCACCCTTGTTTGATGAATATGATGCGAGTCTGCGTCTGAATCATCATCCATGGGCATGCAGAATTGCTCTGGTGTAAGCTCACCGCCGGGTCCTAGTGGCGAGGAATCAAGCAGGATCTGTGTCGTCTTATAGATTCGTGGCACCGTTAGGCCACGCGTGTCATCTGTCAATTCGACTTCTACCCATTTGTCTGTATGCTTCTTGCCTTCCTCGTCATGGGGGACGACACGGCTTGAAACCCACCCCATACAAGTGGTAGACCCATCTAGACAACTGACAATTCTCGAGACAACACACTTCTTACTCCACCAGCTTCTGCCCCTGTATATAAATCCGCCGTATAGGTTGGCTACCGGGCCGAGGGTTCTGAGAGCATGAGCGTCGTTCTCCAACAACGTCGACATGAGCATGTCATTGATAGCTTCCCCCGGCAGAACAAATCCGCTTAGCCAGGAGCGAGATATCCATCCACCAAAACATGTTGTTGAGGTTGAAGCAGCGTGATGTTGAGATGGCGTAAGAAGCAGAATGAGATGAGAAGTGTTAGAATTTTCATATGTTGATAGCCTCTTGCGAGGTAAGTCTTCCCCTGTCAACTCTTTGGTGACCAGCGGCGTTGAAAACGTTCGTATCATAGCGGCAGGGTCAGCTACAACGGTATCATACTTTTTCTCCAACTGGCACTTTATCTCCTCTGCATCCGGCCACTGGATTACGCTCATGAACGCAAATAGACCGTCCAATTGCTTCTTGAAAAACCGGGGTCTCGTAACGCAATCCCATGTAATTTGGGTATCCACCGGTTGTTGGCCCTGTGCCTGTTGCGTCCGCTTTTCGTTAACTTTTCCGCGTGTTAGGATCTGTCGAATTCGGGATGTTGGCCGTTCCAGTGGACGGTCAGGAGGCAGAGCAGGTTCAAGCCGTCCACTTGTAGGGGAGTATTTGATTGTCAGGTTTTCAAAGGCTCTCCGGCAGCAGATGATTGCCCAGTCGACTTGGTCATTCCTCATATCATTGATATGGTATATGTCCTTCTGGGTAATTATTCCTTTCGGTCGACCCATAATGCCGACTTTAACAGCAGCATCAAGCCGCAAAACTAATTCAGCAGCTAGAAGAATCTGGATCAAAAGCCAGTGTCTCTCGGCGTTAATACTGATGTCTGAACCTCCTGGATACTGGTCCTTGATAACTCCGTCATGGTGTGGCGGACATTCCCAAAGGATCTGACCGGCACGGATTCTCCATTCTATCTGGGAAAAGTCAATCCAGGCATCCTTAACGGCGAGCACTCTGACGAGGGTATCAATTTGAGTCTTGATACTGGTAAGTTTGAATGCATCTGCGTGTACTTGCTTGGGAAGAGGGAAAAGGAAAGTAGAAAATAACCCCTGATGGAGCTTGGTTATGGATTCTACGTCAAACAGATTGATCGGCTTAGCCTTGAACACCATTTGATCCCGTAAATCACAAAGGGTTTCTAAGCGCTGAGCAACCTGTTTGGGAGAACAATCGCGGACCCCAAGGCGCCTCCAGGCAGGTGGGCCGCCGCTGATCAACTGTGCACGACTGAAGCGGATACCGGGCCGACAACAGATATATGGCTCGTTATTACCTGTGGGAGTGGTGTTGGGTACATTGGTATTACTTTCTATGGGAGTGATGCCTGGTGGGGTATCAGACTTGTCCTTGAGCTTTGGGGAAATTGGAAGCTCCATATAATGACGAAAACCAACACAGCCTCTCTCCTTGGCACGGGAGGAGAGCATGTTGGGCACTTCGAAAACGCCGATATCAAAGGCCGGATGTTTGTTTGTTTCCAACTCAGTCAAATCCGGGCTACCTCCGGGTGTTTTCCTGCGCTCCAGAAACGCTGGGAGATGGGCATGCAGCGTGGATAACGTAAAAGAGGCATGGTGCAACGGTTTCCGGTCCTGAAGGTTCTGGATGCGGGTGCTATCATCCCAGGGGAAGACAACATGTGGGAACCAATGGCATCGACTACCCTTCTCGAGCAAGAAATGAGGGGCGCCGGAAAATATGACTCTAAGCTCCTCTCCAGATAGAGGGGAGTTCTCTGGGTGGACGGTGCATCCTATATTCGAGCACCTTCTTGGGCTGGGCGTAGATGTAGTATCCTGAAGGGCGTCGCTGGCCTGGCATTCCGCCTTGGTCATAGAAGCACGAGAGAAGATACGATCCCTGACATTATCGACAAAGATCTCGGGGTAGCCTGGGACGTCTGCGTCGCGCTGTTTATGGGGGCGATCATGTTCCTAGTTCTGGTTAAAACCGTTTGGACCACAGGAGAGATGTGGAAGCACAGCAGGAAATGGCAGTAGCAGTTAACAAGGAACTCAGGAGGGTGAGATATCACAGGTTTATGGTGATGGCCATTGTATTCCTGGCCAGATAGTTCGCGTTCATGCTCGGTGGCATCAGTTGCTTCCGTTGAGGCTGAACAATCCGTCCACTGCGAGGATTCCGAGTCTACCGATTCAGATTTGGAGGACCTCCGGCTGCCGCCAAAGAGGGAGTGGCGCAATCGAGATGTCCTGGACCTCCTTTTGCGTAATGGCAGCTCCCGCATAGTGCAACGCTCGGGGCTTTGTGGATTATAGGCTATATAGACTCAGTTGACTATGTCACAGGCAGGTGTGAGGTCAGACAGATATCAAGGACACCCATGGAGCTCAGCGGCGTTCTCGAGAGCAAATCTGGAAACAGGACGGAGTAACCATCAGTTTTAGGTAGACCAGCTACGCATCCCTAGTATCGTCCGCATCCGTGGTTAGCCCTATGATGTTATGGGATGCCACTGCCATGGCCGGAGGTAAAACTTCTCTTCGCCACAGTCGACTTTTAAATTAGCAGCCTCCGGAGCCTCTTCTTGCACAACACAACCACTTCGTATCCCGGTCTCACCATCCGTTCCTCGGTCTGCAGAGATTTTTCTTCTTCGTCCGTTTCTTCACTCTCTTCGTCCGCGCTGTCTCTTCCATCTCTCGTGGTTGATGTAAGAAATCTGGCCAGCCAAAGGGAGAAAAAAGAAAAAGAAAAAGAAGAAAAAGAAAGAGAAGAAGTCGAAGATTTCCCAGTTGGGGCGAGGCGGTGAAGACCGGCAACCGGGTCACGGGAGCGGCAATACAGTCCATTACACCGATACACGCCAACGAACCCCTGGTTTGGCTGGTGTAACGTGACCTGAGTGGCGTAATTAATACATCGTGATACGAATGCCCCCTTTCGCTGTATATCAAAAAGAACAAACACATGCAGACAAGGGAGTCAAGACAGGCAAAACAGACATTTGTCGACCAGGAAGACGGGGAGAAAAGGCCGGTGAGAAGAGGGTGACATGGCCCCTGGGACGAGAGGCGCAACTGTCCGCGCGGATCTCGGGCATGTGCCGTTCTTTCAGCGCAGGGATGAATCTCCCTTAATATATACTGATGCCTTCTTTACGGACAGCTTCTCCAAGTATATCTAAATACGGGTGCATTGTACGGAGTAGTTCTTGGGAACGAAGTGGGCATGGAGGGTGGTACATCTCCCAGACAAAGATAACGCCTCAGAAGCCTGACGCCTGACGCCTTACGACTGACGAGTGACGGCGGCGACCGGCTTAGCGCTGGGATGGCCGCAGCCCCTGACCAAGTTAACTCCCCAGCATGTACGGAGTACTCAAGTATGTGCTCCATCCAACAAGGGGAGAGAGTAAGACGACGCCAGCGAGAGAGTGACAACGCAGCATCTCGAAACTTCACGGGCGCCCCCCCCTTAAACTATTCATAGAAGTAAGTAGTAATAATCCTGCAAGTATTGCTACCTCTGGCCACCACCACTGCAGGCATACCTTATACCTGCCTAGTTATATGTGAGTAAGCATGGGCATGGGCATGGGCATGGGCATGGCGTGGGTTGCCCCATACTTACTTACAAACGAGCGAGCTCACTAGTCGAGCTTCTCCGTACTCCGTAACTAGCTCAAGCAAGTCCGTAACTAAGTCACTCTCTTGCTTGCGCTGATGATACATTGAAGGGGAACGCAGAAGATGAGCTCCACCAGAACCAAGCAAAGCAAGCAACCCGACAGCGTCCTCCTCATGTGGTCGCTTGGATCGCCTTAGCCTCGCCTCTCTCTGCCATTTCTTCTTTGCTCTTCGGTCTCTGTCTCCTCTCTTCTTCTGCCTGCCCCGGACCATCACTGGAAAAAGGAGTTTTCTCGCCTTTTATAAAGCCCTTGCCTCGCCCGTTTTCCCCCTTCCTCGCTCCCCTTTTTCCTCTCCCTCCCTTATCTACCAACATCACAGCCAGCTGCCGCTCTCTTGCTGCCTGTCAAGGTACCTGCAGACCTGCTCACGCACTCCCTCTCTTCCTCTCTCTCTCTCTCTCTCCCCGTCCCTCAATCCTCTTCTGCCATACTACTGTCTGTCCTCGACTCTCACTGCTACACTGTAAGTCGTCTTCCTCCCCGTCCTCCTCTTCTCCGTCTCCGTCCGAGTATCGGAGCGGCAATCTCTCTTACTCAGAAGCCTGATAGCCGGACCCAGAGGCTAACGCTCCATTCCAGTCATCAGTCATCAGTCATCAGTCATCGGTCATCGGCCATCGGTCATAACCGGTTTTGCCGTACGAGCTACGCCGTCTCGTACAAATTGTCCGGTCAATCCTCTCCATAAAGACCACAGGACAACAGACCTCAAAAAGCGTTCGCCTCCCTCTACTTCTGCCGTCTACACTCCTCAAAAGAGACATGGCCCCATCCAGAAAGCCACGTTGCCAGTTCAAGGCCTGCAAAGAGCTTGCTCAGCGTATAGTCGGTGACTGCGGCTTCTGCAAGGGCCAGTTCTGCAGCAAACACCGCATGCTGGAATCGCATAGCTGCAGCGGCCTGGAAGACTGCAAGAAAGAGTCACATGCCCGTAACGCTGAACGGCTGAACTCTGAGCGAACAACGGTCGTCAAGGGAGTATAGCGAGCCATGCTTGTTGTCTCCTTTTGTTGGGTCCGCGTTTCAACATGCTTTATTACCATCACTACTACTATCCTGGGACCGGCTAGCTTGTTACTGGGGGTGTCGGGGTCAGGAGGAGTCCTCTTCTTTTATTGATATTGTTGGGACTTTGGGCGGTGGTGCTCCGGTGGGTTTTGGTCTTTGGGATAATATTCTTGGATATTGTTCTCCTTCCCCTTTTCCATTCTGCCTATCGACTGGGAATTCCCCATACATCTGTTTCCGTGCTGCTCTTCTAAGCTCTGCAGCGTACTGGCTTATATCCCGCCCTTTTTTTTTGTATTACAGCCTGGGGTCTGGCTCGGTGTTCTTCATTCTGCTTCCCTTTTGGCTATGTTTTGCATGGTGTTTGGCCTGGTTCATCAGTTTCTCTCCCATTTAGCCTGTCTTATCTTTGATGTTTTGCTCTATTACTTTTGTGTTGAAAGACCATTGTTTGTGATATAAATGGGTATTTGGCTACCAAATAATATCAGATGTTATAGACCCTATACTCTCCCCATACGTGTCTGTGCCAGTGTCTAGTAACTCTAGATCACACAAGAAAAGTAATATATCGTAGATGCATATTCAAATCCACAGACTTGAACTGAAGCGAAGACAAAGAAATACAGGGCAGGAAAAGCAATAACTCCCAAGTGTTATCCTGGTCCAATTCTCGGCCTATGAAGCGATTCCATGTCAGCCTTGCAAAAACAACGATAACAGCGCAAAAGTCAGTCAGAACTCACATGTCGTGGTGTTCACTCAGGTTGCTGAGGTACTTGTTCAACTCCTCCACCCGCTCTTTATGCGTCTTGACACCCTCTCGCTTCAGTCGTTCGTTGAGCTGTACACACACGGGACAATCGTAAGCTTAGGCCTCCCATTGATATAAGCAAACTAGGTAGACGTACCCTCTTCCTCTTTGCCTCAGCATGTCTCCTCTCAGCTTCAGTCTTGCCGTCGTCGCCCTCAAGAAGCTCACTGACACTCCGACTCCGTCTCTCCTTTTCTTCCTTTGCGTTCGATGCTTCGCCGACAACTGTGTCTGCTTTTTCCTCCTCTGCCTCCTCCTTTCTCATAGCAACGTCTCCCTCTTTATCTCTCTTCTTCTTTTTCTTCTTCTTATCCACACGCCCGTCTTGTACCTTGGAGCCCTTGATCTTCAGCCGGCCTCCTCCGCTCACTGCGTACTCGCTGGATGGTGCCATGGCTTGCGTCGACGGCGAGGGGAGGAGGGGTGGTACGGTGGTATAGTAGGCAGCACTTAACCAGGCTTATTCGCTGATCGCGCTGACTTGGCTATCGATTGGTCTGCATCTCTGGGCTTTTCTGTGCCGCTGACTTCAATTCGCCCGGGCTGCTTCTTCTTGCATCGCAAAGGAGGAAGAAATCGTTTTGCCTCGACAAGGTTGAGCTGCAATGGGATTATGTAATATGCACATTACGTCATTCTGCAAAGGTACAAACACGTAGTTTAGCTTCAGTAGATTGTGTTTACTCAAGTTACTTCAGTCTTCAGGCGGATAAGACGTTGAATGTTCTTTTTCTCATTAGTGGTATGACTATATCTTAACGCCTACTGGCTGGCTAGGCTGTCGGTAACATCACGACGATAGCCACATTTACATGATCAATCAAATGGGATAGGCCGTAGCTCCGAACCTCCCTGTCGTTTCCTCATCTCTTCACCTGCAGCTGCAGCACTAGGCACCTTGATACCACAGCAGTCACCCCAAAAGTCGACGCCATTAGAAGACTTGTTATGAGCGTGGTCATGGCAAGGGCCATTGCCGTGGCTGTGGTCATGTATGCCCTCCTGCGGCTCCCGAACGCCCATCTGCTCTGTTGCAGGAATCAAGCTTCCGAATAGGAAATGTTGCATGATGGGCAGTTTTCCCAGCACTTCCTTGGTAAACATTTTCTTCATGCCGGCTTCCACCTTGTACCAGTTCTTGGCACCGGATATGTCATCTAGCATGGGACTATGCCACCGTAGGCCCTTTACGGTCTTTACGCTGTCCACCCATTTCACTTGGTCAAGGTATATCCATTTTCCGCACTCTTCGTCGAGGACGACGTTGTTGTGTATGGATAGGGGGGTTATGTAGCGATGGCCCGTCAATTGCGATGCGCCAAAGAGGAATGGGAGGAATTGGTAGTCGTCCAGACCCCAGACACCATGGGACCCGGCTGGTTCAAGGTAGTATGTTAGCTGGATGCGGCGCATAAGCTCGATATAGCGAGTGAAGACACGGCAGACTAGAAAGGGGAAATCGGGGGTGTCAAGCATGCTGAGCTGGTACAAACACAGCAACCACATCATGAAGTTGAGCTCGTGGCCGGAGCCGTAGTCGAGACGGGAGCGCGAGCCTAGAGAGTTGACTAGGTATGTTGATATCTCGGCTATGACAGCCTCGTCAGTAATGCCCAAGAGCTCTTTGTGCCATGATACGCTATGAGACTCGACATCGTCAAAAAGCGACCGGAACGCAGGGTTGCCGAAGCGAGACCCGCCCTGGTCAAGGGATGGGTGGGCATCGAGCAGCGAATCTATTGATGATAGTATCTCGAGAATCTTGGATATTATGGGCGATGGTGGCGAGGCAGAACTCGGCTGATCGAGAACATCTGGTATGGACTTCTGGTGCACGCTGTCTGACAGGTTGAACACAAAGGCCGTGACCAAGTTGTACGATGGCGACGAGAGGAAGGACTGGTGATCTTGAGCAGAGAGAATGCGAGGAACAGGGCGCGTATACTTCATATCTCCTGTTGCAGGACGAGGGGGCATCGATGGGGTTGGTGGCGCTGAGTCGCCAGCGGCAGGCTGCCGTCGAGGGCCACCAGTTCGCGCTAGCTTCTTCGACAAGTCGATTTTGGGGATGGAAGCAGAGGCACGCGGCGGTGGTTCCTGGGTAGGCGACGCCATGATGCTTGACCTTCTGCTCGCGCGGCGTCTCTCTGAGTCTGCGTCTTCTGGTTCTTCGTCTCTGCTTCTTTTTTTGCTTCTTTGCTTCTTCTGCGTTTTTGTCGTTTTGGTCTTCAAGGTTGAACCCGTGACGGATGACGTAATCCAGCATAAATTAAGTATGAAATCAATCAGGCAGATCGAGGCTGCAGATGGAGAAGAGGAATGACAGCTGGAGATGCGAAGACGACGATGCTGCTGGACATATTAAAGTACTCCATAGATCAGCGTATCCAGGCGAAGATCAGGTTGTCGATGGAGAGCGATTTATTGTTATTATTGCATGGTAGGTGGAAGTGCCCTCCTCCGATTGTCATCTAGCGCCAACACTAGAATAATCTATGCCGATACAGAACAGCGCTGTAAGGGGGCCTCAACCCTGGTAAACTAGTCAGAGAGCTCATCATCTGTTGCTTGTAGAGACTGTGTCAGATGCAGAATTGAGTGAGTAGCCGGATAGAGCAGTCAATCGAGTTTCCATATTCCCAAGAGTTGCGTAGAGGCATGCTCACATGAGGGGACTCTCTTCTAAAACAGGCTGGAGATATATCCCTGCTTGCCCAGGACGCCTGTTGACTGTTGACTGCTTGCAGTCTCATGATCGAGCCAGGCGAGATGCACGTACATATAACCGAATAGGAGGAAACCGCCGTCAATGGGTCCAAAATGCCGAAGTATCTAGATTCATCCTCAGCTCTGCCCTCGCCCAGACACCTATCATATCTTGGGACGGTCGATGCCTGCACGATGGCTCCCCCTTGCACCTTGCACCCTGCACCACGGCGCGCCTGATCCAGTCAGCTCACAAGCCATGTTTTTTTCTCCTTCAGCCATCCATTCATTCATTTGCTCTGAGGGTTTCGCCGTCTCTCACCCGCAGGCAGCCCTGGATTGCGCCTCTGTCACACCCAGACCCATCCTGCCAGGCCTCTTGAGGACGAAAGCCCCCCTCTCGAGCCCATCGTTACTCGGCCAGCCATGCGCATGTCCAATAAGATGCAGCGCGCCGTCGCCACTAGTCAAGCGACTGTCGACCTATATCAGCTCGACTAAATCACTAACGTAGCTGCGAAAGGGCGATCTGAACGCGGAAAACTCTGCTCGGTGGGCCCGTCCACGCAGACGGGAAGGTCAAAGAAGGCCAGAGAAAGAGATGGGCCTTAGCCTCGAGCGGCGCTCACCGTTGATGATGTTGATATCGATGTTCTTTTGTAGTTGTGGTGGTGGTGCTCGGAAGGGCGAGGTCGGAGGATAAACCCTCTTGTGAGACGGAGGTCAGCCAGGAACGCGCAAGACCATGATGACAAGGGACAGGAGACAGACCAGTTGACTGTAAAGGAAGGGAAGGGCAAAAGGGATAGGGACAGATGCACAGTTGATCGAATGCATGATCAGCGGCCAAGCCCATCGGCCGGAGTTTTTGGCCTTGCTGGGTGCTGCATCCTGGACGAACCCTGGGCTTGGTCGTGGGAGAGCGAGCGAGCTGTATATACAACACCACACATGCACTCACTTCCGCCCGCTGCCGCCGCCGCCGTCCTCCTTTTTTCGCTCTATATGCTTTTCGTGCCTTTTCGTGGTCCTTTTCTATCCTCGGCCTCGTTCTATTCTCATCGTCTAGACAAAGGACGCCCCCCTCTTCACCGTTTATTCCGCAGTCAGCCCACCAATTAGTGGTTGGTGGTAGCTCCAACCAGCACCGTCACCCCCCGGCCTGAGAGAGCCAACCAACACGCAGTCCAAGAACCAACACATAGCCGCAGAGGAATAGAAGCGAAGCACGAAGAAGCGAAGCGGAAGAAAAGCTAGGGCCTAGACAACCATGGCTAACTCGGCGACGGCGACGACGAGGTCGGGCTCACGACCTAACTATGGATCATTCTCTTCACCTGCAGAGGCAGACTCGCATTCTGATTCAGGCTCGTCTACACTGTCTAGAGATTCTATGGAGTCTACACATACTGCTTCGAGGCCGCAGTTCAGCAGGATAAGAACGCACCAGTCGATAGTTCGTGAGCGCAGCCCGATGGACAATAGCGTGGGTGGACAGGGTGCGCCAGGCGCTGGAGGCGCTACACCAGGTGCATCTGATAACACCCACAACAATAATAATGCTAATGGGAGCAACATCGCCAATGGTGGCACTATACCCCGGCAGAGAGGTGCCTCTTACTCGTCCCAGCGGTCTAGGAAAGGGAGCATACACCAGGATCAGCCGTCGTGGTACAAACGCATACTTGAGAAGTACGGCAGCTTGGAGCTGGAAAACAAAGGCAGCGTTGCCAGAGACCATCTCGCCTTGGGTATGTTACTATCTATCTCTATCAGAGCTATTCTGTTCTACAAGTATGGAAACTAATGGCTGGTAGAACGCACATTTCTCTCATGGCTACGAACATCTCTCGCCTTCGCCTCCATAGGGATAGCAGTGACTCAGCTCTTCCGTCTCAACACCGCCATCCAGCAGCTAGATCCCTCGCAGAACAGTCCCAGCAATCCGTCTGCTCTCCTATCAGAACATTACAGAGAAACGTCCAAGGGTCTCTACTTCACCATCACAAGCAACAGCAGCCAACTGCGTGGTCTCGGAAAGCCGCTAGGCGCCACCTTTATCGGGGTAGCTATCCTCGTCCTCTTCATCGGCTTCCACCGCTATTTTGAGAGTCAGTACTGGGTGGTCAGAGGGAAGTTCCCTGCCAGCCGCGGCAGTATAGCCCTGACTGCATTTATTACTGCGTCTCTCATGGTCAGCAGTTTGGTCATCATCCTTACTATATCGCCGGGTGCGACCGAGTCCTAGAGGAATTCCCTCTCATACTCAAGGGGAGAGAGAGAAAAAATAGCAACCTTTTATTCAACACAAACGGCGTCGTTTTTATACTCAGTTACATGCATTTATGCGGAGTTCATCGAGTTCATCTTCCCTTTCCTCCTCTTGTTGGATAACTGGGAACAACAACGAAGGACCTCGTCACATCACATCTTGCTATCCATCAACCTACCTGGACCCCCGAAAAGCAAAAACAAAAATTGCCAGCTTTGCTTATCTGGTCATCTGTCTGTTTTCGGTGTTTTGTTAGCGAGGCGTCAGGGTTTGGACTTCTTTTGCTTATATTTTTGCTTCTTTTACCCTGCATTGTACATCTACTTCCTGTTCTTGCTTTTCCTTCCGTTATGCTCTTCTTCGAATACCCCGCCTATCACCGGCTTTGGTTCACTCTTTTTTTTTGTTCTTCTCTCCATCTGTTGACTTGTTCATTTTTCATCCATAAAATATCTTTCTTGTTCCTTCCAATTTTCTCCCCTTCGGATATTACTCTGAGTGCCTTGATTCACATTACGTATTATCAAAATTCCCCTGTAGCCATCTAGGAACTCGCCTTGTTGAAATAAACGTAACTTAAAAAAAATGCAACCAAGTTTTTGGCCAACTGTATCTTTAACCTGCCAGGCCTATCCATGCCTCTTAAGGACGAGTCAACCAATAACAGCCTCTGGCTCAAATATCATTCCTGCATATCGATACGAAAACGCTGATGGATCAATGTGGAGCGATGGATGGCTGGCTTGCCCACGAAAATGCTTGGTATATCTTAATTCATCCCGAGGCATCTACCGAAATTGTATATCTGGACGCTCTTCAATTTATGCACGAGTCCAGAGGTGGTAGTTGGTTATGGGGTTGGTAGATTACTCCCAGGCCGGGATCTGCCACCTTGCTTTCCGATGAATCCATCCTTCGACTCCGTCTTGATTCATTTATAGCCATCTCTGAATATCGTGGGTTTATCTCTCTGGGAGTATTTGGCAACAGCAGGCTGGATGGACCATGACGGGAGAAGAGCTGCAAAACAGGATTCAATGATATCAATTGCAAGGAGATACCATATGCTCCTTTTTAAAGCAGAATCTACCCATACACCAACATACCTCATTTAGCCCACGAGAGACGGCATAACATTGCGTTGGCTTAATATCCTGCCTTAGACGGCTAGGAGAGTAGATCTCATACAGTGGCCTGAAAAGACATCAAGTCAACAAGGGAGACTGTTGCACTGCATCTGGATATCCCCGCCGAGTAATCCACATAGTACAGGATACCAGCCGGAAAACCGCTCCATAACGGGCTTCGCTGTATCAACGCTGCTCAAGGCGTAACGGTGGATGCCCATCCTTAGGCACCAAGGGTATCACAAGGAACAATAGTCCAGGCCAACGATAAGTTTATCACACATACTTCTGCAGAAGATATTCGCATCTTCATTCTAGGCGTGTCTAGGATGGGTATGTTATGTGGATTGAACTGCTGAACAGTGCACCAAGAACTGGAGGCGGTGTGCTGAGGAACGGTCACCGCTACCGTGGAAAATGGTCATGTCAAACTGTTAAGATTTGACAGCTAGCAATGGTATACTTTAGCAAAAAGAGGGGTATGCATAGATTTCATCTATTTTATCCAATACCAAATATCTTCTTTTTCTTCTGCAAAGAAACAATGCCTTTGTTGTAGTCACGATCTTCCAATTGATTGCTTTCCTGGCGGTATTTCCAAATCGCTGTGATGACATAAGCTATGATATAAGCCACATCTTACTAAGACATGTCACATGACTAATGCTTAGTAATAAGTTTAAATGTGTTATTCCCCCTTTTGAGATTGAGGTCGTATCAAAATAAGTGCCAAACGCGTTTCTCAAGCCGCAGGTAATCTTGTTGGCTCGACGGCCTAATTTCAAGGTACCTTGGAGATTGGCTTGATGGGAAGAGATGTAGGATGAAACATGGCGTCCTGACGAATATCCAAACATGGGGGAACTTTTTTGTTGTTACCATGGAGATCGCCAGCAACGGTTGGTGAAGGAGTGGATTCAACGTCCCACCTTTATCAAAAGGCTCTCTACATCAAACCAGGCTACGCAACGTTAGTACGTTCACTGCCCACGATGGAGTCGGCGGGTATATTCGGCGGCTGCCTTAATTTTCGATGAGCTAGTTCAGAAGCTGCTAGTGCGCGGTCGATAACGCTGTTATCGCCAAAAGCTTTTCACACCTCGCAAGTGTCTTGTAGGCAGCACGGAGTATTATATTGGGTAACAGATCGTGACTATGGGTTTGTGGGCATCTCAAGGTATCGTATGTGGATACCAAGCGAAGATATCGCCTAAAATGAGGAGGCAAAACGATAACGATCGCGAGCATGGATTTATACGAGATTGATATTCGATGACAGGAAGAGAGAAAAGCCGGAAAAAGCATAGTTGGGGTAAGCAAACTAACTAGAAAAGCAAGTTTTAGTTCTCCAGCGTTCAGTTGATTCCGGTTCAGTTCGTTTGCCCCGAGATTTCGTTAACGCTGCCTGGTTCCGGTCTGCTTCACTAACCTTACGAACAGGTCATCTGTCCAATTCAATCCCGATAAACTTTCGTATAGGAGGAAACGATGGGACGGGCACGCCAGTTCGAGAGCTTGCCTTATCTCGAGTAGCAGGAGTCGAGAAAAGAAAAGAAAATGTGATGGATCGAAGTTGGCAGTTTAACTAACTGAGCATGGCGATGAGAGAAGAAACTGGGGGTAGTACATGATGGCGGGCGTGGCGAGCGAGCCATGGATGAGATGAAAGGTTCCGCCGCCATTATTGGGATTGGGTTCTGTCTGGTCGAACTCTGAAATGCGCGTTTCCTTGTTTCGTTGTTCTCGAAGAATCAACGGAATTGGTGAAGATATGCTCCGTTTGGAAGGGGAGGGGAAAAGGGCGGTTGTGTTGATCAGATAGGCCTGGCACGGATGTAACATGTAGCCGGTACTCCTTTTACCCATCTCTCCATGACCCAGCAGGCGGCTGAGACGGCGGGTGACGGATAGCCCTGTTCATCCCATGGCGATCGATGCCGGCGGCGAGGGATCAGGGTTGGTAGAGAGGTGAGAAGAACTGCTGAGCGGCAGTTGACCAAGAAGAATGAAGACGCATTGACGGTCAGGGATGCAATGTCTGAAGTAAGTAAGTAGTAGTTACGAAGTGTTGATACTGATACTCGGCACATCAGAGCGGTGATACAGAGCACAGCACGAACACAGCACAGCACAGTACGGGACAAGGTGTCAAAAACCTGCCCTGCAGAAAGGAACAGTTGTTCTTTACGGCAACCCTGCACAGGCAGCAGGCAAGCAAGTACTACCGACTTTCCCAACTGCTGTGTTTCATTCGTTGTTGTTCAACGAAGGGAGAAGGAAGAAAGAGGAAAAAGGGGATGGGTTCAATAAGACATTTTAACGTTGGACATTGTCCTTCGCTCGGAATGCTGCCGTTTGATCTGAGGTTCTCTGGGGAACTGGGAACTGGAGAAACCGTTGATTTCCCATGTCCATATGTAACCTGCGCTATCTTAACGAGTTACATATATGCAGTGCTATAAGCCAGGGTTCGTTATGCATTCTCCTCCCTTATTTCCAGTCAACGTGATGTCGTGGAAGTTGGGTTGGTTGGCAATTGAAATTGGATAATGAGACGACGACAGAAAGACTAGCTTTTTGTTTGGCCTTTCTTGCCCCCTTAAAGGACGACCCTTGCATCCCTAGGCGTTGGCGTCCAGGTACGCCCGTCCGCCGCCGCTTAGGGTCGTAAGTACAGTAAATACAGAAGTACTGTACTTACTAAGTCATCACCCATGCATGCCCTGCCGGGTCCCTGTCGTCGGTCAGCACCAAACGAGATGAAGAAAAACACCTCCATGTGCAGTGGGTTTAAATTAGTTAGCCAACTAGCTTGTTAGCTAACTGGTTCGTTAATATGCGGCTTCAAAGGGCGTATCGTATGCATCTTTATGCGTGCATTAACCCGAGGGAATAATCGCGCATATCTTGAGGAAAGTAAAGAGATGGAAAACAAAGCAGCTCGGGGAGCAAGGGCAAGCAGCGGGAGATGCATGGAAGAGAGGGAAAGAAAAAGGTGGTACTATGTGGCGTGCAGTTTGCTGTAAGTACATTGGCAGGTCACTCAAAGAGTTGTTGTACATGCATGAAGGAACCCATCCATGCCCTTGGCCTCATGCCTGGAATACCCCATGCATGCACGGCATACGGCTAACTGGGTGAGTAATTGAGGATGCCTGTTCCTAGTCTAGCCGTGTAAGCTAGATGAACCGTCGACTGGCCACTGCCAGGCCAGGCGTGGGCGAGGATCTGGCTCTCCTGACATCTGTGGAACGGCGTTCTTCAGGAAGATCGCAACCTTGAAGGCCCTGTCTAGCTCACTTCAGGATTGTACAGTACTTTTGGCCGTCCCGAGAGAGTGATTATCGGCAGACGGATGGCTCTTCCGGCAACCAGGATAACAGACTTAACCGCTTTGATAAGGGTAAGCGGGAGAGAGGAGAGAGGTCTGGTCTTGTTAGATTGCAACCTGCAGACTTCGAGGTCGGACAGGGTGGCAACGGGATAAAGAAGATCAAGGAGAAAAGGGGAGAAAGTCGAGCGAGTGCTCTCCAGGAGTAAGGCAGCCATCTAGCTATCCACACGTCTCAGGGGGGCAAAGTTGGACAGGCAGCGCCGTCGAGCTGGTTGCTAACGAGTGTCACGGAGGTATCTTTTGACTGGTCTAACCAGTCGGACAGTCAATCAATCAGTCAATCAGTCAATCAATCAACCAAGCTGGGTAACTAAGTTGAGCTGTTAAATAAATAAATCTGCGAGATGAAGGTTCGAAGTAGTTACTATTACATTATTATTAAAAAAGGGCACAGGCAAAAGGTAGGTTAAACAAGGCTCGCCCTCCCAGCCACATTAGTTACACACGGACATGCATGATGCTGTGTTGCGATTTCATGCATGGGAACGCTGCAATGGTTGATTCGATACATATGGTCTGGCTCGCCAACCTAACTAGTTAGTTCGCTGGAGTCAAATACATCAGAAAGCAATTTTAATATTAGAGTCAAGTATATACAGCAGTACGCTGTGTACCTGTGTGACGCGAGCTATAAGACGAGTGGAATATACAGAGCACGGTAACGGTTGGACTGTGAGAGCTCCAACAACGATAGGCGGTGCTCCTGACTGGCTTGCTGGCTCAGGGGAGGATCGAGAAGGGAAAAACCGGGATAAAAGCTTGGGTGATCGACTCGATGTGTTAGAAACCGATCGGCCGTTGGTTATAACTGCCATCTCTATAGGGAGCACTGGGCCATGTAACCCGGTGCCAGTGCCAGTGCCAGTGTCCTGTCTGGACGTCTGGATGTCTGCCCAAGTCAGCCGCTGCATTGTCAGGAGTGTCTAGCATCTACCCGTCCGTCTGTCTGTCTGTCTGGGCTGTCTGGACTGTCTGGGCTGTCCATCAATCTCAGGATTGGCGCCCTTGACTGGGCTTGTCTCGACTGATAATGCCGGAACCAGCTGCTATTCGTCCGCCAGTCCGCATCACATTAAATTAATTACTTTTAAACTAACTAGCAGTTACATATTTTCCGATGGGGCCCTGAAATCTGAGGCTGAGAACGTAAAAAAGGCGTAGGGGGGGGGAAGGAATGTTTCAAACCGACCATCCTCGATTACTGGCCAGTTTGGCTGGTTGGCTGGCTTGCTGGCTGGTGTCTGGATAGGGCTGATGGCTGACGATGGCCCCAGGAAAAGAAAAACAGAGACTATCTGGCCTGGGTATGAGACATGCGAAGGAAGAGGGAAGAGGTTCCAGTGGCTGAGATGACGACGCCGGCTTGTTTACTCATTTCATTGTTGTTATTATTGAGCTGCTGTGCTGGCATCTTCCATCTCATCTCATTTCAGGTCGAGAGGAGGCGCTCTGGGGAGATGATTCGCGGATGCTGGATGATTGCGGTGGAGACGGGGTGGAAGATGATATACGGAGTACGGGCTCTCATTCTCCAGCTGGCAGAAGAATACCTAACAGCAGAGCAGGAAGAGGAAGAGGAAGAGATGAATGCTGCCGCCCAAGCCGATATCAAATGGCTATCAATACATTCCCGTCATACTCCGTAAGTATGCTAATAATAATGGATTCCCGATTCCCCTGAAGAAGCCGAACTGAATAGGTAGCAAGCTAGCTACGAAGCAGGGCGGAGGAGAGCTATGGGGTATATCTGAGATATATTATGCTCTATTTTATTATTATTTACTTATTTTATTTATTTATCTAATAATAATAATAATTATGATGAGTATAGGAGTTTCTTTTTCCGCTCGATATCACCAGACGCCAGTGCAGCACAGCAGCATCAAGACGCCCCAAAAGGGTAAAAAAGGGGGTCAACATCAAGGTCAGGCCGGGACCAGGGGGTTGGACTCCACCGGCCAGCGCTACAGTAACTCAGTGCTGCGTACGGAGGAGTACATACTACTGTCAGTCTGCAGGCCAGTCTTCTCTGCATGCACTTACCTTACATACACTACTGCAGCACCCTCTCTCTGCATGCGCAGGATCCCTCCGTAGCAGCGAGGGAAGAAACAATGAGAGAATTGCTTTTTGGCACGGAGACCCCCCATCCCATCCCATTTCCCCCCCCATTCTCCATCCCCATGCAGGCGAAATACGACGGGTAAGTCAACTAACTCAAGAGGCGTGCAGTGAGTTTGGTTAGGGTGGCTGGGGTGGTCGAGGTACCGCCTCCAAGTATATACAGTACAAGGGGAGGGTTTAGAGTACGGGACAAGAGAAGGGACTATGACGATGCCGTGGAGACGGTCGCTGCCGACAGATCATGAGACAAGACAGGCCCTTTTTTTTTTTCTTTTTGTCTTCTCTTTTGCCTTTGTATCTATCTGTATGTGCTCCGTAACTGGAGCTGGATGTCCTTGGAAGATAGCGGGACAAGAGAGCAAAAGAGAATGTAGGTATCCGTCCATCCCTGAGCGGCGCGCCGGGGAAGGCGAGAAAGGCCCATGGACGAGTCGAGAGAGAGTGCTCGGGCGCATGACAGCAGCAGCTAACGCTCTCTTTACTTCTGCCAGCATGCTGCTCTCGTCGTCGACTCCAGGATCAGGCTGGGATGCCGGGATGCTGGGATGCGGCCAGGGCCTCTTGACAGGGACAGATCGCATCGTCAGATCCATAGTCCTACCGTTTTTACTTTCACCCTTTTACCCAGTATCTCTTTTCTTCTTCTCTTTCTTCTCTTTCTTCTCTTCTATCTTCTTCTTCTCTTATATCATCTCTTCTTCTTCTTCTCCTCTTCTCCTCCATCTTGATATCGTATTTTATCTGGTATTGGCTGTGTATTGCCTGCTCCAAAGTTACCTGCCAAGCCTGTTCCTGGGGAGACGCCAGCTGTGCCTGAGCTAGTCCCCTTCTGGCCACCCTCGAGTCCCGCCAGCCAGTAAGACGCAAGAGCCCTGCCAAGCCCGCCTCCCAGTGGCCCCATCCTGGCCCCACCCTGCCCCCTCCAGCCACTCACCGTCCTCCATGTGGGTCCTCCCCTTACCGTACCTGACCACCCAAAAGTCCCCTAAAAAGTCCCCGTCAAAAACTGGTTCGTCGCTTTTTCTGTCTTTTTTGCTCCTTTTGCTTTTTTCTGCCGCTTTTTCTTCTTTCTCTTCCGCCTTTTTTTCTCTGGCCTTCAACTTCGATCTCCAACCTGCAATCTTCAACTTCTCTTCTTCTTCCTCCTCTCCTCTTCTTCCTCTTCTTCCTCTTCCCCTTCAACCTAATCCGCCGCCTCCTCCTCTCCTCCTCCTCCGCCGCCGCGGCTCTCGCTGGCTACAGCTCGCTGTGGCCGTCCGTTCCTTACATCCTAGCACGGAGACGTGCGCCTTTTTCTATCTCTCTCTCTCCTCTGTCTCTATCGCTGTGGCCTGGCGTTCGTCCGTCGGCTACTACTCCTCCTAACGAACCACCCCAGCAAAACCGACCAACACTTTCTAACGACCTCCTCCTAAACCATCATCAACATCGTCATCATCATCATTATTCCTTCTGGCGTCCTTGAAAACGAGATAATATCTTTTTTGGGGAGCTGTCGCTGAGATCTCCGTACGATGACTCCAGCGTGTTGATAGGAAACACACAGACTGGAAGCAGAGCCGGGGAAAAGGAGCCGCTTTTTATCAGTCATTTGCTTGATCTGGCAAAGCCCAGCCTCTCCATATATGAAGCCGAAGGACTTGGTTGGAACGAGCAAGTAGAGAGACCGAAGAGACTCTCTGGCTCGTCACTTATTCTTCCTTCTCTTCCCTCTTCTTCGTGGAATTCTTACATTTCCCTTTTCGTTCGTTTATATTCTCTCTCTCTCTCTCTCTATCTCTCTTTCTCTCGTTTTATTCTACAGCCATGACATCAATTTCTCTCGGGGCTCACCAGCCTTCTTCTCACTGGAACGCTGCCAGTCACATCCACCTGCACTCCCCGGAGTCTCCCAGTTACGACACTCGCATGAATCCCCCTTCTTCGCCTCTCCCGAACCCGCCTTTCTCCTTCCCGGCTCAAGCGCCTTCTTCGACAGACACCAGCAGAGTTCCTAGCGGAATACCCAGCAACAACATGTCGAGCAGCTCGCGGCGCGGCAGACGGCAACCGCCTGCTTCTCTCCCTTCGTTCTCTTTCCCCCAGGCACCACCTGAGCCTGTCTCTTCTACATCACCAACTACGGCAGCAGCAGCAGCAGGTAGTGCTCCTACAACAAAATCAATACCTACTGCTCCAGCTTCGCCTGTGCTGGTGGAGCCCGCTCACCTCAATGCAAAGGGACACCGCCGTCAACCAAGTGAATTCCTTGGTGATGCTTCATCCCAGGTAGTCATCAGTAGTTCCAAGGCTACAGCTTCAACACTCCCACATCCAGGTCCCGGACTTACCACTGGTCCCGGTAGAGGTGCCCGGAGACACGCCCACAGGAGGTCCCAGGCCATCTCGAGCGTGGACCTGACTGCCGTAGCCAAGGCATTTCCGCCAGTACCGGTCTCTGGAAGTGTCCCAACTTCGCCCATCTTACCCTTTGCCAATGACAAGAACTCAAAGCTTTCCTCGCGGTCGTTTCCAGAAATGCACACTGCTCAGACCTCCCCGCAGCGGGCCGAACAGCAGCAGCAACAGCAAAAACTGCAAGTATCTCCAACAAGACGTCCCTACAAGGAGGAGTCGATAACTACTGCTCCCACTACTACTGCTTCAGAAGTAGCTCCAGTCTCTTGCCGTCCCCTTTCGACAATATCCTCTGAGAGTAGCGTGTCTACCGTGCGTCCCAACCAGATCTTCTCAGACCGCTCCGGCTCTGGACAAAGAAGTGGCGCCAGTTCTCCCCTTCATAACAGCAATGAAGCTACAGCCAGACCAAAGACCGCGGGTGCCCAGTTGGCCATGAAATGGAAGCCCTTCGGCCCTTCAAGTGATAACAATGAACACACCAAACGGCCACTCTCAGCCTCCGCTTCAATGGCCCTGAACTTCAGTCTAGGAAACGTCGGCAGAAGCCAGGACGCTGACAGGACTGCCTCCAACTCTTCGTCTTCTACTACTAACGCGCAAGCTGCTGCACCCTCAGACCAGGATATGGAAGACGCCGAGACCTCCACCTTGACTCAACGAACAGCGCACGAGCGCAAGCCGTCCAAGAAAGAAAAGAAAAAGCGCTCCTGGGCCGGCATCCTCATCCGCAAGGGGAAGAAACGCTCCTCAAAGAAGTCCCGCAAATCCCCGACGCCTCCACCCATGCTTACACGGACCAACTCTGAGCTCGGATCCATGTACAGCGTTGACTTTGACCATGATAACACTATTGTCATCCGCACTCCCACGGCCCAGAACGCTCCAAGAAGCCACCCCCAATCCGGCGAACCGGCTACTTCCACGGACAACAGCTTGGAAAAAGCTTGGAAACCAAAGAGCTTCTACGAGCAGCAGAGTAACCCTGACATCTTCAGCCCCGTAATCGATCTAGACGCCGCTCTAGGCCCATTCAATACCCCCGAAATGGGGGCCGAGCGGAACATTACCAGTGGTTTCATGATCGCCTCCAAGAGGATGTACAGTGGTGGCCGTCGAGGTGAATTCGTGGGCCCAGAGATGCGGTACCACAGACGTGCGGAGAGTGCGCCGGAGATGCCTCCCTTTGACCGCAGTTTCCTAGGTGCCTCTAGGTTTGGACTGTCGACTGCAATGGAAAACCCGGACGTGTTTGACGAAGAAGAGGAAGACGCATTTTTGGCCCAGAATGACGACCAGGCTAATCAGAAGAACGCCGAATCGTCAGAGGCCGACGATGACGCAGCTGAGAACGGCTCATCCTCCTCCAGTGAAGAAGAAGAAGAAGACGAAGAGGATAGTGATGTTGAGGAAGCTGGCCTGGGTATCCAGGTAGTCGACTCCAGCAACTTGCCCGACCTCTATCCAGCTTCCGTCGAGAGCCGTCCCAGCACTGCCCAGGTTATCACCCCTCGTACCCCTTACGCCCATGCAATTGATTTTGAGTCTCAGTCCCAACGGAGCAACAGTAACAGCACTACCTACCACCACCCGGGAAGTATCGGTATCGTGGGCTCTGATTCTGGCCAGGCTTCTCCTCGCAACTTTGACGAAAAGCGTCCCTCTACCTCCCCCGAATTCATCTACAACATCTCTAATGCTACGAACCTCACCCCCATCCCTGCAATAATACCACCAGTGCCTATGATCCCACAGGCCTTTCCTTCCCCCGCTCCCTCAAGCACCTCCTTTGACGTACCTCGCCTAAACACCGCTTCATCCTCCATGACAGACCGTCATCACAGCTCCGGATCCGTTTACTCAGGCGAGCCGGGCTCAGACTACCTCCAAAACTCCTCCGAGGATGTCCCGTCCCTAACCAGCTCTGCGTCGACAATGACCGGAAACATTCCCAGACTACCCAGCGCAATCTACGGACGCATCCCAGGTGACCGAGCTGCCTCGTTCTCTCACGTCCTACAACTCAACAGCGCCGCCAACAGCGCCAGCAGCAATGGTCACAGTAACAACAACCGGCCCAGTTCATCGAAACGTGCCAGTCTAGTTAGCTTCTCGCGTCTGGTTGGCGCCAACTCTGAGCGCAGCAAGCTAAGCCACGAGGAGAAAGCACCCATGGACGAGTCTGAAAAGCGCAAGAAAAAGGGTCTCCGAATCACCCGTCTAATGCAGTTCTGGAAAGTCAAGGACAAACGATAAAATATCCCCTTATACCTGTCTACTTCTCTCTACCTCCATATCTCTTCCCAACCTTTACGAGTTTCCCATCTATCTATCTATCTCGGTTTCGCGGTTCCTTTTGCTGGATTTATCTATGTTTAATTTCCAACCCTTAGAACCTTCTCCGTTTTTTTCTGTTTTTGTCTGATTTCGTTTTTCATTTTTTCATTTTTTTTTTTTTTTCTCATTTTCACTTTGTTCGGAGTACATATGGGAGGCACGATATCACGGATGGAACTATTGACTTATGGAGAATCGTTTTGCTTGTTTTTTTCTTTTCCTTATTACTATCTGGCTTTTTCTTTCCAACCGAGTTCGTGTTTGAGTCCAATCGCACGCCTCCGTCTTCATATTATTCATTCCACCAGAGCAAGTTTAGTTCAGCTACTTTTTTGTCTTCTTTCTAAACAAACAAAACTCGCAGGCAAGCCATACAAGTTCAGTCTATTTACTTGTTCAGTTCTTTCTTCTTTCTCCCATGCTTTCGTTAAGATCTTTATTCTTTGCTTCTACGACCCAGCCAGGCCTCTCCTTGAACGTCACATACTCACTATTCTACGCCCTAAAGACCTCATCTCCTCTCCTTTCATTTGCTTTGCTTTGCTTCATACGAACCCATCCACTCCATCTATCCCTCGTTCCCTTCCTTGACCTCCCATACCCTCATTGGCTCTCATGTTCCTTATCACCGACGCAGCATTCAGGCATCCATGCACACTAGCACTGCCGCTCTGTCTTCCGCTCCCTATCATCATCCATCATACATCATATCACCCATGTCTAGCTCCTCTTCATTCCCTTTCGGCCTCTAACGACATTTTTCATTTCATTTTACATCTTCTAGCCTCTCTTTAGTTAGCCAGCCAGACAGCCAGTTGGCCAGCAACAGCAATTGCCGACACAGGTTTCTTCTTTTCTCATTTACCTTAAAATGAATATTACCCGGAGATCATATCATGCCATTCTTTTTTTTTTCCTTATATCCGGCTCCAGCTTAGCAGTGGACTCAAGCCAAGGCTAGCCCAGGCTCTTGCAAATAGTTCACACTCAAATGCTGCTGGATCCTTGCCCAGGTAACACAGTTATCTGAACGGCTGTTTGAATTTCCCTCGCTTAATGCCTAGTATCTCTTCTAATCAGTCCTCTTTCATTCGCTTGGTGGGGAAAGTCTCTACTTCACTTTATCTTGTGTGTATCACGGTAGAAAGGACCGGGGAGGTTGATTCAGAAGAGATTGAAATCTATGTAGATACATAGCTGCTAGGTACAAAATCTCCACACAGCAAGTGTACCTGTCTACTTTTCCCTCCTTGTTTACGGAGTATGCCTAGCACTACTTATTAGGTTGTAGCCATGGCCGGGTATAATGGCCGCAAGTATGAAGTTTATCTCTATTTACACTTCTACACTATATTCACCTTAATTATAGAGTAATTATTTACTTTAGTCCAGAAAGACGACCTCAGGGTACTTCGAGCTTGGCCCCCTGAGAAGCCCTTCATCTTTCCCGAAGAGCGAAAACTGGAAGAAGTCATGAACATACACCTTGATGAACTCCAGGCTTCTAGCCGCAGGAATATCCCCTACCAGCACGTCAATGCTAGCCTTGCCAATAACCTCCCTTACTCCGCCTGCGTCAATAATGGCTGGGAAATCACTAAAGGTATTATGTCGTCCTGCCGGAATGCCAAGTTCCTTCTTCCATGCATGCGGGTGAAGCCTCTCCATGGCCTTCCAAAGCGTCTCCCAGGATGTATCGTTGTGTCGATTATGCGTATACGCTCCCCATTGCAGGTATGGTTGTGGTTTCTTTCTACCCCCCAGCCCTGTGTTGACTGCATCGCCCCATAGCCCTCCGTCGAAGTTGATGCCGGCTGATATACGACCGTCTTTAACCATGGAGGAGAGCACGGCAGAGCCACCGAATGAATGGCCTAGCATGCCTATGCGGGCGTGGGGGGAAGTCTTGAGGGCCTGGTTGAGCACGAACACAGTGTCTTGAACACGCACGTCGTTCCAGAAGGGGAGGACGGACGGGTTAGAGAAAGTGACTTCGCCGCCGGTGATGATGTCGCCGTTGAGAAACTCCACGATGTCCGTGTCATGTGGGTGGTCCATGGTTATAACCGTGTATCCTGCACTGGAAATCGTCTGGGCAATAGACGAGTACACAAGTCGAGTTGTGTTTCCGCCAGGTGAGAACAGCAGGATGGGGATGCCATGGTTATCCCCGTGGGAGTCAGTTTGGTACCCCTTCTTCACATCAGCGCATACCCGTATTCTAGACGCTGCTAGGAGCCCGTCCACCCAGTGGCCGCCAGACGCAGCTTGGAGAATTGCATCTTCCAGCTTTGCAGACGCAGGAGGAAAGGTAGGAACGTCCTCTGTTCTAATGCAGTGTTTCTCAGGTATGGGGTTGAATCGAGAAACCATCAGCCGGCGAGGGAGAGTGGAATTGATATCCTTCCTGGACCAGTCTGTGAGTTCGAGGATTTCTCTCTGGACTTTGAACGGCCCTGATGGCTCAGGCAGGAGAAATGACGAAGGTATAGACGATGCAATTGCATTTGCTACAAGAGCACAGATGATAGTCCCTTGGACGAGCATGGTGGCTGTTGGTGATGAGCACTGCTTGAAAAGCTGACTGCAACGCTGGTTCGGCCCCAAGAGGAAAGAAAGAAACGAAGATCCACGGGATGAACAGTTCTGGCTTTAAATATAGAGTGCTTCGCTCGTATAGCCGAGTATTCCGAGCCTGGGTGTTGTTGATGAGGGCATGATGATCCTTCACTAGCCTGCTCTACTGCCTGCTGCCAGGAAGAGACAAGCATTTTTAACCAACGTTCAGCCGAAGATTTTCCTTGTCTGGGCTATTTTATCGTATTATTTTATGTTTTCTTCTGGAGCCTGGCGCTGAAGGATACCTTCTCTGGCTACATTCGTAATCCTACGAATGTGGGGTGGTTAATAGTATCCTATCTCATCCCATCAGCTCTCCAGACTTGTTTTCCAATATGACGATACCTGCCCCTTATCCTTGACTACTATGCTCCATAAATACGCCGAAGATCACCGAGTACTGCAAGAACCTGCTTTGGGTCTAAGTACGGAGTATGGAATATGGCTACAAAGCCGTAGTCCTTCGGTAGGCGTGGACTTGATATCTCATATCCTCAAGCCCAATCCCCTCTCCAACATTGTACTCAAGCCCTGTACGGTCTCGCCTGAACCACTGTGATTCTTCGGATAAAATGCATTCCCAACTGCCTGAAGCTGTAGTCAATAAGGTATGATCCAACAGGAAACGCATAGGATACTGTCTCGCAGGCTTCTTCTCCTCGGATGCTCTTCCAGCGGACTCTCCCTGAGGCCCAGCTCCCTTGGAACCAAGTGATAATGTTGAATAGCTCCCAGGGCTATCAACGACCAGCAAGACGGTGCCAGGTTTGGTCACGTCGGTCAACTGCAGCAGAAACGCAACTGCGGCGGGCATGGAGGTCGAGAAGAGCTCGTTCAGCGTAAACATGAGCGTTATCAGAACTGTTGTAGGGTCTTCTGTGCCTTCTTTGCCTTTCCTCTCATTCGCACTCGTTACATCTTTCGTAGACGGGGATAGTAAAAGGGATAGCTTCTCCTCTGAAAGCTCCAGGACGTCCTGTTTCTGGAATGATATCGCCAGATCCCCGGCCTTGAGCAATGGAAGGGAGACGCCGGAATTTTTATTACTATTATGAACTGACTCTGATATGCATCCCAGTGAAAGCTCGTCAATCACTGGCTGCCAGTCCGCTACATCAAGGGCTGTAACAGAGAGATTCAGGTTCGATTCTGTCGGCTTATCAAGGCCAGTTGCCCACCGCACAGCAGCAGCAAGTGCAACTACTTCTGCTCCTGCTCCGCCACCAATGCAAACAACCCGTCTGTTTCGTAAGTCCTCGATATCAATAGCGGGAGGGCTTGACGGGCCTGCAGGCCGTCCTCCCTGATCGCCATTCAACGCCAACCGCAGGACATATTCGAAGATACCAGTGTACGCGAGCGCTCTCCCAGCACTCCAGCGAAGAGCATAAGCCCTCAGCATGCCGGGGTCCGCATCAGCAAAGGCAGAGTCGAAATCGCGATTGAATAGATGCGACTTGATAGCCTGAACCTGCTCTCTCAGTGTCGTGCCGGCGCCACTGCCACTCTCTTGCTCAGCAGCGCCAGGCCGCACCACCAGCCTATCCGCAAATATATTCAGAATCAGCTGTTGCAGAGCGATCGGTGCAGAATCGATAAGTGATGTCGATGCACTCTGTGCCCTATGTTGGGTATCAGTAGTCGATTTCGCTTTTGAAGCCTTCCGGGCCTGCGGGCGAGGTTTCGGCATTTTTTTGGCTTCGTTTACGCTGGTGGATATTGCCGGCGACCCTGGGAAGATTGCGAGGAGTGTTCACTCGCTAGATACCGTTTCCCCTGCTTTATGGGATGGATAAGCCTTTTCTGACGATGATTGTCGATTCAACCCGGAGTTTATGCATGCAATTTTTTTTTACTTTCGTATTTTTCGTCTTTTTTTGCTGTGTAAGCGCTGGGTTTCCTGCGTTGGAACTTAGTTAACTATACAGATGGCCTACAAAGCTAACAATTGATATCTAGGTCCAACATCACCAAGTGGAATACTGCTGGGGCACATCTACAGCTGGATAGACAGCCCATCCATGAGATATAATGACACTATATTCCTATATCCAGAGTCTAAACAGAGTCTAAATGAGTCGCCATCAAGTCGCTTTGTACGCCCGGTTACCAAAGTCAACGCCTCAAATGCCATACCAAATACTACATCTCGGGTCTTTCACTTCCTCACCTAAGCCTGCGGTTCCCTAAAGGTTAGTTTGGTAGCTTCTTAGGCTTTGATCTTCTACTCTCGACCTCAACCCACTCTGTGTCGCACTCCGCTTCGTCCAAAAACTCCCAATCGGTCAAGGCAATGGATTCCAAGGAGCTGCTCTTTGATATGCCCGCCGCTGTATAGAACTCCGGCTCCGCTTTCCCTTTCTTTGTGGCGCACTTTGGGAGGCTGCCTATACCAGTGTTGCACTCTTTTCTCTCCTTGTTAGCACTAGATGGTTCCTCACTCGAGGTCGGGTTGTAGTTGAGTACGGCAAGGGATATAGTTCGAGGAGTTTTTGATTCGATGACCGACATGAATTCAGGCTTGGGATTTATCACGCGGCTGATCAAGAGCCCCTTAGAGCGGGATTCATTGGCGTAGTGACGCATTTTTGACAACAAATCTGCAAGCTGCACGAGATCACGCCGGTTTTTATCTTCCCACTGATGCAAAAGCGAGGTCGTATCCTGGACCTTAGCATTATTGTACGCTCCACATGTCTCTACAGTCATGATCTTCGAGACTTGCCGAATCCACATCCAACCGATATCTCCCTCCGAAGGTGAATCGCGGGGGGCGCCTTTTTCATTGCCCTTAAAGTCGAAGATTGCTTCCTGCGGTATGATCTTCCCACAGCGATAAGCTACCGGGAACCCTTTGGCTGAAGCACCAAATCTAGGGGCGTCTGAGTCGTTGTCTTTCCCCACGATCGGTTCTTCACCTTCTCTACTCTCCGCTGCCTCTCCAGTTGACCCTGGAAGGTAGCCATGGGTGGAGCACCTGATAAGAATACGGTGCCCCCCGAAGACGTACGAGAGCACTCTCTGATGGGATATTGAGTCTTTGACGCAGTCTTCCCACGTGAGAGCGTCATCTACCAGAGGCTGATAGCTGCATGGGTAGCGTTCTGATTCCTCGCTGGCAATAAACACGGTCCGGTTGACTAGTTCAACTTTCAAGTTATGGTAGTTGGACTCAAATTGTATGAAGGCGAGCATGGATTCTATGGCAGCAGCGTCAATCACAAAGTCAAACTTGCTCAGTTCGAAGGCCGGATCCATAAGCTTAGCGGCATAAACCATAGGTTCCAGCGGGTGTCCATGCCATCCATCCTTGCCGTCATTTTGATACACTACCCTGTAGACATCTTCGGGACTTTTGCCTGGCAGCCATTTGTAGGTGGTTCCAACATCATTCTGGGATATTCCTTCAGTTTCAGCATTATCGCATATACTGTGTGATGGGTGCCAGACAGGGGGAGCTCCTATTCATGGCCTACGTTAGTGACCGAGTATTATTGTTGGAGTAGAATAGACCAAATCAAGATCGGTAGCTCCTTACCTGGAATTAGCATGGTCACCCTATTCTTGCGTACCCAGTTGTATGAGGCCACGCATTTAACCTCCGAGATTTTCGCAGGGCCTAGGCTTTTGGTATTGTGTTTCCAGCCCAGTGTATGTTGATAAAGCTTGCACATGCCCTGGTTTGTAGAAAGCTTGGGGCCTCCATAGACCTCGTCTTTTACCCTTAATCTTTCAAATCTATTGTCCAAAAGAGGATCGGGCTCCATTTTTGGTCGGTCCGCCGATCTGTTTTATTAGTAGGAATGCCTGAAATACTGGCTCTTGTCAGTCGTAAAGAGTCAAGGAGATAGGGGGATACGCTGGGGTACGTAACCCATAATAGAAATCTATCTGGAATATTGGATGTAAAGCAAAGCAGCATCATATTTGCTCAACGGGAATTTTTCTTTCCTGGATGAAGCTTGGGTTTTTATAGGCAGAGGAAAAGTTAGAAGGTTCCGGTCTCTGAAGGGTCATCTTTGGAACTCTGAATATCATCATAGTCTGAGCAGGCGCTGGTTTGCACTGTTTGTGGGTATTTAGAATTTGGAAGGACCAGTGACATAAATAGTGGCAGAAGCGTCTACCAGAAAAGTTTGATGATACTGTGAGGTGGCTGTTAACATATGTGAAGTCTTTAAGGAGATAGAAAGAAACGTACCTCTTCTTCCATAGTGAAAGGCAAGGGCATAATTTGTAGGATGTTGATGGTATAGCTACAGCGTTAGTAAAAAAAAAATAAATAAAATAAAATAAAAATAAAAAATAAAATAAACTGGCAAAACGGGGAAGACTTGGATGAGAAGAGACCATATAATTAAACAAACTAGAAGAGTAGCTTTAATACATCGCTTTGGGGGGAGAATCAGATACTTGTTATACAGTCATAACAAACACACCAACACCTAGCAAGCTTCTCTGCTTTATGATCTCAAACCAAGGAGAAGGCCGGTGCCTTTTCCGCCTTCCTTTCCACCTTCACCGCCGGGAATATATGTGACATTGGGGTTTGAAGCAAGTGTCTGGGCAATATCTCTGCTGGCTTCGATTCTTCGGATTTGGATCAGACCGTCACCGGCTTTAGCAACGGCCTTGCTGATGATATCGGCACTTTCTGCCTCTCCCTCGGCACGGATAACGTTGGCTTGTCTCTCCTGCTCAGCTCGCTCGACGATGAAGCGGGCTCTTTCGGCATCTTGCTGTGCAATCTGCTTCTGCTCAACGGCCTTGGTGAATTCACGGCCAAAAGTCATATGAGTGATGGAGACGTCCTCAAGGGCAATGTTGAACTCCTTGGCACGTCGAAGAAGGTCGGTACGAATGCGGTTTGACACAGCTTCTCTCTGGGTGATCAGCTCTGCGGCATCAAATTGTGCGACGATGGACTTAAGAACTTCGTTTCCGATGGATGGGAGAACCCTCTCATCGTAATCTTGTCCAAGTTGCTATAGCAGTTCGATATTAGCAATTCTGCCATTGCCTACATGAGTTTATGTAGCGGATATTCCACCCACCTGATATATAGCAGGTAGCTTTTGAACCTCAGGCCTATGTAGCACTCTGAGTGTCAGGCTGACCATCTGCAAATCCTTACTTCCGGTTGTTGTAGAGATGTTCCTGGGCTTCGTCCTGACATCATAGATAATGCTCTTCTGTAGCCATGGAATAAGGAAATGTGTTCCCTCGTTGACAACCTTTTCCTTCACACCAGTGAGTCTGTCAAAGATAACTGCGCGGTATCCTCCCTTCACATCGTACATTGAGGCTTGGACAAAGGAAACGCCAACAGCAGCCGGAATGGCATATTTGTAGAGAGCCGACAGAGAGTTCGCCATGGTGAATATGTTCTGCTCTAACCGGGTGTTCAAGGCTGGTGTCTGTATCTCGTTCGCAATGGGTCGGCAAATTGTCTCTTCGCGCAGAGCTTTGGAGGTTTTCGATTTGATATCCTCACCATGCCCGAAACGGCCTAGCGCCGACGCAGAACATGTCCAACTTCTTCGCCAACACCGGAAGCACAACTTCGCTCTGGCTTCAACCTATCGACCAGATCTGCCAATTGACGACCGCAGCGGCCGGGATTTCTGAGCTTTTACCTTCCCTTCCTATCGTTCAATTCCTTTGTCGACATCATGGGTGGTCATCTCGACCCAAAGCATGGAGTGTAAGTGCATTTCACCACCACTGGTTCCGAGACCGTCGACATCGTCAGGACTCAGCCATCACTTTCAAGGCGGTTTGGGAGATGGCCAGGCGCGCATAGTGGACAGATATGCTGACAACTGGCTATAGGTTCCTCGGTGGATGGGGTAACTTGGGTATGTCCTGCCTCCCTTCACGTTCCGTACATCAGCCGTGTCCCGCTTTCACAAACCCCGGGACCGATGCCCTGCGATTTCACTCGATACCGGCCTATTGCGCTACTCGATACCCAGGCAGCTAATGTTTTTTGTCGAACATCAGGTGTTCCTACCCCAATGAAGGGTATCACTACCTACTCTCTCTCTCAGAACCGTCAGCGACCCGCCGCTGGTATGCTCTACAATGCCTTCTTCAACACCTACAGACGAGCCAAGGCACAGGTCCTCTACGTTCTTCCCCCATTCATTGCTGCCTACGCCCTCATGGACTGGGCCACCAAGAAGTATGTCTAGTCTTTTCATTTTTCTTTCTTTCCTTTTTTTTTTTTCTTTTACACCACTGAATAGACTATGGGTATTTGTGTACCAAGTGAGCGATGCTAATGATGAATACAGGAACGAGTATCTCATGTCCAAGCCAGGCCGTCTTGCCCACGGTGGTGATGAGGAGTAAATTTACGAAGAGTACCAATTAGAGGAAGACTCAAAATTACGGGTTGGTGATTGCGCTGTATAGTACTTAGAAAGCAATTGATATCTATATACACTTGGCCCTTATTTCTCTGCTATTCAGTAGCGCTTGTAACGAAACATTAATCAACTTGACAAATAGAAATAAATATGTTTGTCATCGATAAAAAAGAAGTAGAAAAAAATATGTTTGTCATCGATAAAAAAGAAGTAGAAAAAAAAAAGAAACAGAATGACCAAACTGAGGCTCGATCTCAGGACCTTGTCGGTGTTAACGACACGTGATAACCAACTACACCATTCGGCCGTTTCATTGTTGAAGGCGAAGACACTGCACCGCCTTTTTAGGGCCGCAAATATGGAGATTTCCGCTTCTGGTTTAGCGCCGGTAGGTTTTGAGTTTTCGAGACAAGCAGCTTTTTTTTTTTTTTTTTTGGAGATCGTGAAAATATAGAAAATTAAAGACGGCTGCTTTTCGCTACTATCAGAGTGCCATCTACAAGACCCCCTGACACGATACGGATACGCTGTTTAGCGGAGTTAGGACGGGAAGAGGCGTGCTAGGCTTATATCTCACACAATGGCCAAGGATCGAAGCGATAAGGAGAAGAAAGAGAAGAAGGAGAAGAAGCGATCGGAGACCGATGGTGTGCACAAAAAGTCCAAGAAGGAGAAGAAGAATGTAGACCTTCTCGAGAAAGCTGTGGAGCAGGAATTGGCCTCCAGGACGCCAGATGCCGATGCTGTCATGGTCAATGGCGATGGTAGCGAAGAGCGCCCTCTCGGAGCTTTGGTGCCTTTCGCAAACCCGCTCGCAGAGGACAAGGTCGCGAAGAAGGTGTTGAAGAGCGTAAAGAAGGGTGAGTTCTCCCGTTGCACTATTATTGCTCCTGTTCATGTAGAATCATATGGCGCTGACCGCTATTTTGCGAAATTTTAGCTGCTGGAAGCAAGGCCCTAAAACGAGGAGTAAAGGAAGTTGTCAAAGCCGTCAGAAAATCTCCAACCCCTTCAGCGAATGCAGCAATCACCACGCCATCTGCCATTGTTGTACTTGCTGCCGATATATCTCCAATGGATGTGATATCCCACATTCCAGTTCTTTGCGAAGACCATGGAATCCCTTACATCTATGTCTCCTCCAGAGCCGAGCTTGGAAACGCCGGTGCTACAAAACGGCCAACCAGTGTCGTGATGGTCCTTCCAAAGGGAGGAAAGAACAAGAAAAAGGACGAGAAAGAATCCGATGATAAGAAAGAGGACTACTCAGCAGTATACGATGAGCTAGTCAAAGTTGTCCAGAAGGAGACCAAGAAGGTCAAAATATAGAGAGTTATCTATACCACTCCCTATCTTCTCCTTTTACCTCTCTAACGGCATGATCCACCCACCATTCACCCGTCTCTCCTTGGACGCACGTGTTAGACACACCTCTCTTCGTTCCGTGCTCGTTATTTCATCTCCATGGCAATCTTCTGCATCCTGGCAATGGATTTTGGACTTGTGTTCAAATTTGAGGGGAATATGGGCTTGTTTTTGTTTGGCTTCCCTCGGATTGGTTCTTCCTACAACTTCCCTTGACTCTTCCGTACTCTTTTCTTTTATGTTCCATGGCGTCTATGTGTGTTTTATGGTGTACCATGAGGATGGAATTAAAAATCTTTTATTCACTTTACTGACAATACGTTCCCTATAATACCAATATTCATATTTTGTCACAGTAGAGCTGTGTTGCTAACTTTACAGAGGCAAGAAAGACATTGTTGAATCACACCTCATGCATCTTCTTCAGACCCAAGCACGTTATATGATGCTCCGGTCTTCCTTTCGCTTCCTCCCATAAGATCCGGACCTCCTTTAGATATTGGCCCTGGAGCATTCTGTGCGCTCATAGTGCCAATCTCCTTTTCCGCCTGCAGACCTGGATCCTTCTTAGACCCAATATCAGCATTGAAGCTCGCATTCCGTGCAGGGTCATCTCCAAATCCACCTTCTTTCAGGTTCTTGCCTTTCGGTTTTGAAGCCTGCCCACTACCAAGCACTGGATCGACGTAATGGGGGGCAGTGTTCAATGATGAACCTGAGCCATCTCCTTGTCCTGAGCCAGGAGCGCCTGAAGAAGCTCCTGATGTCTCATTACTACCCTGGCCCTGACTCTGCCTTTCTCGCTGCTGTTGTTCGTCTCCAAGAGATTTTGTCTGCCCCTGACTTTGGGCCTGGGTCTGAGAGCGTCCCTCTCCCCATTCGGCTTCAGCTAGGCGAGCCTCCGCATCTGGAGCTGCTTGAAGCTTCGATGCACTGGAAGTGTCTGTATTTGCAAGCGTGGAATGGCTACCCTTTACCCCCAGAGGCTGGCTATTCTTATTCTCCCCAAACTTTCCCTGTTCTCGTACTGACTCGGCGGCGAGTGAGTCGGAGGCAACTGGACCAGCAGATTCGTTTTTCACGCCACCGTTGCGGAATGGATTGGCCATGATGATTTTTTGGATGTATACTATTTATGTTAGGATATTGTATGGTGAGATGAATGTATGTTGGTAGTAGGTGAATACCCATATGCTTTAAATACCATCTCTTTCTACGGAGTACTATGAATGTGTGATGGATGCAAGAGCTGACATCATCATGACGTTGATAGAAAATTTTACCTCGAGGGACAAGTATAATTCCTTGTTTGTAATTCAATCTGAGGCACTACTGAAGTTCATGTACTCAATGCCAGCTGATTTCCTCGTCCAAATAACGTACACAGAACGGATTGTGGTGACGTAACTAAACACCGGCAAGCGATAGTTACGAGCACCCATCAGATCACAACGTTGCTCCCTGCCACGAAGCCCACCTAGAAGCATACTCAGCCTCGGCCCTAATCCTGTTGAGTATCGGATCAAACTCCCTCATACATTCTATGGCTTCCTTTAACGACGGGTCTTCACTTTTCTCGCGCTGGGAGGCCAATTCTTGAACTGCTGCTCTGGCTGTATTATGCTGAACGGCGTAAGTAGCACCTTTGCCACGTTTCACAATGAACAATAACTCGCCAATTTCCCTTTTTGAGGCCAGATCCTGCAGATTTGTTGATGAAACCAGCTCTCGCATAGATGGATCTAGGACGGACTTTATTATCCAGGGCTGTGTTATCCAAGGCTGTGTTGTGCAGTAGAGAGACACGGACGCGTTGGAGTCAGTGCCATCGCGTTCCTCAATCAAAGATTGCCAAGTAACTGTTGGCTGTTGTGTTTCCATTGCATCTGGAGCTGCCATGGCGACGACTTTTTTAAACGCATCCGCATTTAACGATGGGACAATAATTCGTAATTCTTTCCAACCATTACCAAACTTCACGAATCCGTCAACAAGGTCATAACACGACTTCGTTCCATAGACAGTAAGTGTATCCAGCCGAAGACCGGGTATCAGATTAAACCTATATGCAATCGAAGATTCTGGTATTTCGGACAGAAGCCAGGTGAAAGAGGCCAATCTAAGCTCCACATGACGGATCCTTGAACGAATCTGCAGATGTAATCGATTAAAGTGACAGACCGAGTAATCAGGGTGATCAGTAGAGAATTTAACGTTCCCAAAGAATAAAGCACCCGCTTCACGAAATATTTGGCGGCAGGTACGAAGGATCGCTAGCGGGTCGTATTTCGGGCCATATCTGTCTGTAAAGAACATTCCAGCTGGGCGAGGGTCTCCGAGATAAATTGTGACTGACATGAAGTAGAACATGTAGATTTTCAGGCGAAGCTCAAGCGGGAGAGATAACAACATGCTGACGTGCTTCCTCGCATGGGTAAATACGACTGGCTGTTGAAGCAACCACATGGCTGCGGGCTGCTATGATAGCAGCAGAATAGCTTTTCTGGGGAATATTCGAAGTTCGGTCAGGATTTGGATACTTGAGAGAACTGGCAGATGCCAAAAGTGCGGTTCTCGGCTATTTATATAAGGTAGGAAGATGTGAGTGAGTCGTAGGACGGCAATCCATGATGATTCACTGTTTGCGTTGCATGGCCTAGCAACCAGGACACGCTTCTTATGACTGTGAATAACAAAGCTAGCATGCTGCCTTTGTCAAGATAAAGGGCATTCATTCTAGGATAACGGTGTATAGTGAATATAAGTCCATTGGACTTTCTATTTGTGGGTATATTCTAGCAATAGTTTATGGTGAACCATAATACCAGTACACGTTGTTGATGAGTAGAGGGTCAATTTTGATAACAACATAGTCATTATCTGCAGCGTAAGCCATAGTACTAGGGCGTGGGCGTTGATGTTTGTAGACGTTGTTGTTGAGCCGAAGTTGATGTCTTGAAGTAAGAAACTAGCTACGAGTGCCAAGACTTCGAGACTTTTGTGCCGCGAAAGCATTCAAACCGCCAACGTCAAGCAAAAAGCCACCACAAAACGCGCACGCAACTGTCATGCCTCGCGATCCGCTAATTGGGCTTGTTGGAAAGCCATCTTCTGGAAAATCAACTACATTAAACAGGTACCAACCCCCCCCGAGCAAAATGGGACCAGTGAAAAGTTCACTGTGAGATAGAAATGTCTGACATGCTAGCGGGGCAGCTTAACAGATGCTTCATCCAAAGTTGGTATGTATTTCGAAATCGCAAGAAATGCTTCCGTAATGATTTAGAAACTGATAGAGTCATACGCTGGCACCAGGGAATTTTCCGTATGTTAATCCGTCCTCTATCTTTCGTCTCACTGGGAGCTAACCAGTGTATCCTGCTGCGCATTAGATTCACGACGATTGACCCGCAGCGCGCTATTGGATATCTACAAGTAGACTGCGCATGCAGCCGCTATAATCTACAGGACCGATGTAAGCCCAATTATGGCGGATGCCACGAGGGCCGTAGGTCGGTGCCGATTGAACTCCTAGATGTTGCTGGTCTTGTGCCGGGAGCCCACGAAGGAAAAGGCCTTGGAAATAAGTTCTTAGATGACCTGCGGCACGCAGACGCATTGATACATGTGGTTGATGTCAGCGGGACAACTGATGCTGAAGGTAGGTGTTTGGTACTCTGGGACAATTAACGGGTAGAAAACTAAGGTCGAGGACAGGGAAGGTCACCAGAGGGTACGACCCGTCCCAGGATATTGTTTGGTTAAAATCCGAAATCGTTAGATGGATAGAAGGGAATCTAATGGATAAATGGTATTTCTCAGTCCTCGTTAATCTATACACGCGGGTGGAATGCTTACTCGCTCTAATAGGGGTTCGATCAAGAGAAAACATATTGCAACAAGTACGTATGGGACTTAGTGATACTCCCTTCTACCTAGTAGCCTGTTATACCCTGACATAGTGATAGAGTCCACTGCTGTCGAGACTTTGCAAACACAATTTTCGGGGTATGGAAGTACATCGAAGATTGTTGCAAGATGCCTTGACCGAATAAATTTGAAAGAGCCGCTGGAAGAGTGGTCAAACGAGACTATCTCGAAAGTTGTCGTTGCTTTTATTGACGAAAAATTTCCGACTGTTATCGCACTTAATAAAATCGACCACCCGGATTCAGATAAGGCATGTTCGCTTCCCCTAGCCCCCTTTCCGTGCTGAGGGTATCATCAAGTGTTCCCATTACTGACATTTGAATTCCAGAATATTAGCAAGATCGCCAAACAGGAAGATCCTAAATCAATTGTCCTCTGCTCTGCCATCTCCGAGGTATTTCTACGGAAGTTGACAAAACAAGGGTATATTAAATATATAGAAGGGAGCGAATTTGTGGACACACGGGAAGACCTGATAGAAATGGGCGACCCTGATGGCGGAGGCCTGAAGGAAATGGATGAAAAGCTAAAGAAGTAAGTAATCCCCCCTCATATGCCCAACATTTTTTCACCGGTTCTCACCGATTCCTTGCAGTCGGGTTGAGAATTTGAAAGATCTCGTTCTCTATCGATTTGGGTCTACTGGGGTCGTACAGGTGCTCTCGCGCGCTGCTGAACTACTAGGGCTGGTCCCAGTTTTCCCGGTACGAAATGTTCACACGTTTGCATCTGGTGCGACAGGAAATGCGGTATTCAGAGACTGTGTTCTAGTCAACAAGTATGCCTATCAAATCCGCTATTTTAAAATTTTCAAAGCTAATTTTGCCTTGGTATTAGGAATAGTACAGTGGGGGATGTAGCCAGGAAGGTCATGGGAGATGTTCCTATTGCCTTTGTAGAAGGCGCGGAGGGGACGAGGATCTCCGAAGACGAAATTGTTTCAATCGGAAGACATGACGTGAGTACCCCTGATTCATATTGAAACTAACGGAACCAACACTGACTGCTGCTACCAGATACTGAGCTTCAAAGTTGGTAGATGATCTGCAAGGCGTTCAATCAAGTGCTCGGAAATTAGTTCTGTTGGGCACAATTTTGCTGCCATGTAATATGATGTTCAACATCTAGACCGGGAATATCTCCAGATCCTCTGATTTCTGCTCCCGGTGGACCATACTTATGCACCCTTCTGCGCCACTCACGAATGCAAATATCAGCCACCCACCCTCAGTGAATATTGAAACAGGAATTGGCATCCTATTAGTACTGACCTCGCCCCGTTCGTCCGTCATTCCAATTACCGGTTTCGGTGCCTTGGGAAATTCCTCCTCTGTTTTGCATGTTGACTTCTGCTGGTCCCTCTCTGTCGTGGATTGGCTTTTCGACAAGTCATGTAAGCCTTTCTTTTCCTCTTTCTCCTTAAGGCCCGACCTAGTGGCTTCAGTTTGCGGATCCGTGGTGTCCCCTTTCTTCACGCGGTTCACACTTTGGTCCTCGGCGCCAGAGCCACGCCAACTACTCAGGTGGGCGGTGGGGAAATTGGGGCAAAACCATTCTCTGGGTGCAGGGCGAAGCCGTACGGTAGTCCGAGATTGTATCGCAGGAAGAGACGATAATATCCTTTTGAACGACATTATAATATCGAGTTACCAATGTCACGGCCAACAAAGCAAAACGATTGAATTCATTGGAAGAAGCCGCAGCAGCCGCAGCAGCAGCAGCAGCAACAAAGCGCAAGTTTTGTAGTATATAGCCAGAACTGGCCATGACATCATCACCACTCTCGGCGTCGGAAAAAGTTGACAAGATAAGGCTGCTGGAAATCTCCGAGTTTCTACCGTCGTCCAACGAGAGCAGTAGGATTTTCAAGTGGTTATCTTGATTCACCGTATAATTGAATGGTTCTTGTTCATTCTGGCTGGCCAACCATCTCCTGCCTGGGGACCTTGCTATGGTGGCGACATCACTGTACTTACACTTTTCCTGAACGGAGTCCTCCGTGCTAAAATATCTGTCATTTCAACAACTCAGCCTAGCAGGCGTGCTTAAGTTGCTCAGGCGGCCAGCTGTATGACACACTGCACGGTTTCGACTCGCTACCAACGCAGCGAGTACTCCGTACTGGAGGGTGAGCGCTGCTTGGTATACTCCTAGCTGCAGCTCAGGGCAGCATTGGAATCCCACTCAAAACTGTAACTAACTCGACGGGGTAATCTCGACGCCCTGGGATAGCACTGTCTGCTATAGCCAGATGCTCTCCACCCTTAAAGGGGAGCATCTTATAGACCAGGAAGCGGTCGATGGTCGTGTGGATGCTGCAACTAGTTAAGTATGTTTTTTTTGCACTTAAGTCTGCACGTCCTAACTAAGGCTACTAAGGCTGCTTCGATCGTGCCTTGCCCCTGACTAAGCAGCGACTTCCTTGCTATCAGGTCGCTCCACCCATAAAATAACATCCCTACGTCATATCAGACTTATTTACACGACGTGCTATCGTTGTTGATGTTTACATTTTGCTCACTGATTGCGCTACCCGCTGGATAGTCGAGGAGTGATCTGCTGATCGGCTGCTGCGTGGGTATTTACATTGCTAGTTAACCGTCTTGCGATTATCCGATGAGAGCTTGATCGTCCCCCTACTTTTTGCTAACTAATTAACTAGTAGTTAGTTGAACTGGCGCCTTAACTACCGTGTCCTCAAGCATTCCGAGGGGTTGGAAAAGAAAAAAAGCACCCAGGGAAAGGAGATAGCCTGTAAGAGCCTTGACTGCATGTACATACGTGCTGAACTTATAATAATAGTATTAATAACAAGATATAGACTTCTTACATCAGAAATCCATTGCAGGAAAGCAAGAATCAAAATAATAATGAAGAGACAGTATCTCCCGGTGGATGCGCTCCAGGCATGGGCAAGACTCAACAGCGTTACTTTCCATGGTGTTGAGATTAAGCAGCCTCCTTATGACGGTGAGGATATCGACAAGGGCTCGGCTGTGCTTGCAATTGGCTCTCCTGATAGTCAGGAACCTATTTTGGACGAGCCAGGCCTCGAGCCAGAGATACTCATGAAAGTCCCGCCCGATCTAATCCTCTCCCAGGAAAGAGTGGAAACTCATGCAAAGTCTGACAAGCACCTAAAGGATGTCTTGGACGCAGTCGGTGATTTTGGGAAGGTTAGTGCCCTTGCGCTTCCGGTTGTCCTTGTTTCAATAAGCTAGATTTGCATAGCTATATACATCAAATGCATGCATGGATTAATTAGGACAGTTAGGCTAATATTTCTTATAGGGATCTAGAGGTGCGATAATGATATTCTTGTTGCTCCAAATCACGCATTCAAGCGTAGGAAAGGGGGAACAGGTGGGTATTTCATCCCCATGGACAGAGTACATCAAGTTTTTCCCAGCGGTCTACGAGCTACCTACGTTCTATACGCTGGAAGAACGCGAGCTACTACGGGGAACCTCCCTGGAGCCTGCCCTAGATACAAAGATACAATCTCTCGCCCGGGAATTCGACCATTTACGAGATAGCACGTTTAACATCCCGTGGTGTCAGAGGGAGTGGTGGCATCCTGAGACAGGACAGCTCGAGTTCGACGACTGGAAAGTGGTCGACGCAATGTATAGATCTCGTGCTATGGAGTTGCCAGGAACAGGTAATGCAATGGTACCTTGCATTGATATGGCAAACCACGTGGCTGGGAATAAGACCGTAGCTCTGTATGAGACAGACCACGATGGCAACGCCGTGCTACAGCTGCGGTGGGGTCAACGACTTAAGGAAGGAGAAGAGGTTACAATCACGTAGGTTTTGGTTCTTGAAGCCAAAGAATACTCAAGAGGATCGCCACAGGGGGGTAGGGAGAAGTAACTGACCGTTGAACAGATATGGGGACCGCAAGGGGGCATCAGAAATGATATTCTCCTACGGGTTCTTAGACCAAGGTTTGAAGAGTGCTCAACAACTCCTCCTTGATCTCGATATCCCTGATGACGACCCACTTAAGCCACCAAAAAGGGCTGTATGCGAGGACGGCCCTGGGGTTCGTATTTTCGATGCGGGAGACGACCACGACCAAGAGACGGCTTGGCACAGCGATTTTGTCTGGTGGATTTGCGTCAACGAGGAGGATGGATTGGAATTCCGGGTGTTACAGACCAACGATGGGGGAAGAGACCTGCGGGTATTTTGGAAGAAAGAAGAAATAACCGGGGCTCGAAAACTTGGGCAATTTTTGTCAGAGGATCCCAGATGGGATATCTTTCAGCTGCGAGCAGTGGTGATAATCCAGGAACGTGTTGCAAACCAACTTACTCTGTTGCAAGCAGCCACAGAATATGTCAGGGGGCTAGCAGATAAGGTGGATGATGTGCTTATTCGAAGGTCCGTTTGGGATACGGCCATGAAGTTTCGGTCTCTCGAGGAGAACCTTCTCACGAAAAGCAATCGCGATCTAGATGAAAAGGTTGGCTCCAGTCCCCATTTTACATATTCTTTTTTGGTACTTGACACGTGTGAAAATGCTAATTCGGCCGCCGGTTACTTTCGCAGAAGCTAGAGTTGCTTGAATCAAGAACGGTTCAGGCCTACCTTAATTCGCAGTGTTCTTCTGCTGACATTGATGAGGATTTCTCCTAAGGCAGCCAATTATCAGGCAGCCCTTGAGGTCATCCATGCGAGATATTTCCGTATGGAATATTTTAGCGTCCCGTTTATTGGGCATTTTCGTTTTTCCAGGCGTAGCTTGGCGTGTTCGATGGGATATTCCAGAAAGCTAGTATTCGTCAATTAATAGCGAATAGGAAATACATAGTTAGGGGGCTTTGTCTGGACGATACAGACAGATCTCACCGTTAGCCTAATTTGGTGCGAAGTTCCTGTTCGTATGTAAAATGAGGATGCAAGTTTAGCCTGTGCCTGTAGTACTCCACACTAACCAAAACGGAAAAGGACGACCTCTTAACTCAAAAGCGGGTGAATTTGAGCGGGTATTTATATCTGGGAAAACGAGAGGATATTCTTCAGTCCGTGCCCGTGGAGAAGCACGTTTCGCGTGATTCCTTAGATCTACTTAACTAGCCTCTTTAGAAAGTGTTCCGTGAACGGCGCATTTTCCTTATAAGGGGTGGCGGGCTGTCGACGAGACAAGAATCCATCCTGGCTGTTTGGCCTAAGTGCTCCTCCATGCTTGTTGTTTAGGGATTCGCGGTCCTAATAGCTATTTTTTCGAGGTGTCTCCAGTGGCATTTTTGACCTTCCCCTGAAGGTGCGATAGCCCTATGATCTGGTTGGCTCATAAGAAAAATCAAGGGTCTCCAACCTCTCCTGCGCTGCCCAATTATGGGGATAATGGACCGTTTCCGACACGGTTGAACTTAAAATCAGGCGAGCAAATATTAGTGTAGGTGAGATTCAGCCTTGAACAACACCAGCAAGGTCCTTTAGGCCCTTGGTTGGGGAGGTGATCCATCAAATTCCAGTTTTCCCCAATCCTCCTTCTTTCTCTTTCATCTTCATTCACTCTAACGCTGTGCATACACTGTACTCAGTGAGGTTGTACAAGAGTACACCTGCTGCGTAACGCAGCAACTCGATGTCAAAGAGGGAGGCTCAGTTAAGCCGAGGGAAGGAGCCAAACCTTGCGATGCCCGTGATAAATGCAAGGAAGTCTTGCGTCTAGAATGGCGCACGAACCGTGCAGATCGCTCTGCAGCCGTTGTTTGTCTGGCGTCTGGCATAATTATAATAAGTTGGGAAGCCGATGCCGGTAACTCGGTGTCTTGGCTGGGAGTGTATCTGTATATCGAAAATGTCCCAGAGACAGAGCGTTGGATTCTGCTCAACAAGATCGTTGCTCCCTGCCTTAGCTCGGGCATAGCCCTACTTTTCCGGGAAATATCTGTGGTCCTCGTTATTTTATGGGGATTTGCCGCGGGAAAGCAAAAGAACGGTAGGAGCGCCACTGCGGATGATAGACAGGGCCCGTGGCTCGACTAAGGTAGCGCCGAAAAAGAACGGTTAAGCTCTCGTGTCGTTGGTAAAACAGGGGAAGACCCAATGTTCTAGGGAAGATTGAGATGATTCCGGGCCTGGTTCGATATATGGAGACTGATAATGTCTTTTTCTGCAAGTCGCAAAGGTTAAGGGAAAAGGGTTCCCAAAAAGGTTAAAAAATCAAGAAATGTGGACATCTCTGTTACTAGTTGAAAGTTGGAAGCTTGCTTTATGACGAAAGGTCATGGAGGGACTGTGCAGGCAGAATGAAGTTTCTCCATCAAACAGAGACGAGCTTAACGAGAGGGCTCTCCGCTCATGCATCGGAGCAGGGCAGGATCAGGCTAAGGCGTGGCTGATATTCGCACGATTCTTTTCTTTTTCTCTGGCTCTCCCCTCTCCTCTTCAGGAACTTGGGAGCCCTTTTCTTATGTTGCCATCCCCATTTCTTCATGGTCTTGTACGCTCGCTCCTCCACCATCATCGACCCACGATGAAAGTCCCTCCTCGTGGTTTCAAGAGAGACATGGCTCCAAGCCGTGGCTCCAGGCCCGTGGCCATGCCACATGAAGCCACTGTAACTGCAACGGTCGATGGTAGTACCAACAGTGTTTCAGTGAGCGTGACAGCTCTTGCATCTGATGGAGTGTAGGGAAGAACTCCAGGTCTGGTCAGGTCTTGTGTTGTGCTTGCAAGGGATGCTGCAAGGAAGGTCAGATCATCAGATCCAGAAAAGGACGGCAGAGGGCTGAGTTGCGGCCAGGCATCGTGACTTTCTCGTCTTCGGGTCTGTTTTACTCCTCCCCTCGTTGTCGTTTTCTGTTAGCTTTGGGTCTTGCTTTTAGTCCCGAGTCCCTCCCGGTGGATATTCGATGTTGGAAGTTTCGACGTTGCCGAGCCGCGCAGAGACTCCGTTCGCCCGAGGTCTTGGCAGATATGCTGTCCCCGAGGTCACTCGAGCCCTGACGGAGAAGATGAACATTTTGGAGTGAGGAGGATGATGTCGACGTCGGTAGTAGCAGTGGTGGTGGCTGTGGGTGCGATAATGACAAGAAATTGAAGTTGAGTTAAGGTGTTCAAGGAGACGAAAAGGGGGATGGCCAAATCGGGAAAAGAAGACGACAAGGAGTCAGTTGGAGCAAGAAAAGATACAAAATTAACTATAAAAATAAAAATAAATAGGAAAAATAAAAAATTAAGGAAATCGAAAAAGCAAATAAAAAGGAAGATTGAACTAGGTTCACCTAGAGAGAGCTCGGGTTTTTGTTAACCATGGATGACTGAGTATACTGGGGGGGGGGTGAGGAGACGATCTTCAATGCGTCTTAACTGGCCATCCTAACGCTTTTGCCAGACTTTGCAAGTGTTAAAAAGACATATACTTATCTCTGGGGGCGGATCTGCTCCTGTCTAATTAGCCCTCTAGATCCTTATATATGATTTTTGCATTTCCTTCAATCAAGAGAGAGAACTAGGAATAGTGGAAGCGTACCTACTTAAAAAAACCCCTCACGATGGCTGAGGAGCCATAACACACATCCTTGCTCATCGTTGAACTACTTCCTCCAGCAAGACCAAGATATACAAGGACCAAAGGGGGCTGGACTCTTCTTCCTTAGTCTGCCTACCTGTCCCTCAAGAAACAAAAGGATCGATCCTCCCCTAGTTCATCTTATTGATCTCGGAATACCTACCGGTGTTCGAATTCCAACAACGATCGAAAGTGTGAAATCAAGAGGGTAGCTAGCATGCCAGGCATCTTACCCATGAAGGTCATCAAGGTCGGGAGTAATTCACAGAGCAGAGTTGCCCAGGCCTGTGACCGGTGTCGGAGCAAGAAGATACGATGTGATGGTATACGGCCATCATGCTCGCAGTGCACAAACGTCGGCTTCGAATGCAAGACGAGTGATAAGCTTAGCAGAAGGGCGTTTCCCCGTGGATATACCGAGTCCCTGGAGGACAGAGTCCGGTCCCTGGAAGCTGAAGTACGGGAACTCAAGTCTCTATTGGATGAGAAAGACGAGAGGATAGATGTCCTGACAAGGCTCCAATCGTTCTCTCTCTCATCTCAAAAGGCAACTTCTTCCCCAGTGTCGAACATCTCAACCTCACCTGCCGGATATTATCCACGGCCGCCTCAGGCATCACGGAATGAGGGCGAAGATCTCATATATGTTCAGCAGTCGGCACGCTCCATTTCAAAGCCGGCAGACGACACATCCTTCACTGGACATTCAAGCACACGGTCTTTCATAGGTAAACCAAGCTTTCCTCCTTACCCTGCCTTTGTAAGGGGTGTGTGTGCATTATCCGACTAACATGTTTGGTCGATAGACTCGTTTTCTGTTCGACTTGAAAGGAGCGGCAAGTCACCAACCACTGCATTGGCAGACGCCCTGCTTTGTGCGCCATCGTTGAATGCACGACGGCACGAGGATATCACTCCATCCAACATTCTCCCCCGCCTGGTGTCGGATAGGCTATTGAACATTTTCTTCCAAGAATGGGCACCACTATACCCGATTGTCCACCGTCCAGAAATCCTGAAGTTATACAGTCGATATACGACCAACCCGGACTCCATTGAAGCAGACCACCATGCGTTTGCACAGTTGAACTTGATTTTCGGCATTGCTGCCATCTCATCCACGGTACACTTAAGCTTGGGTAACCCCCCTTGTTGAATCGAACATGTTTGAGCTAACCTTTCGCCTTCATCACAGTCTCGTGTGCCACAAGATCCTCTTTTCTTCGAACGACATTGGATACCGAAGTTGAAGATGCTTGCAAATGACATTTCACTGACCACGTTGCAGTGCTATGTTCTTGCTCAAGTATATTATTCCATCAAGGCAGATTACCGAAGCCTCCTGCACTACAGGGGCCTTGGTGTTTCGATCTGTCTTCAATTGGGCCTTCACCACAGCCAAGAGAGATTCTCCCTGAACCCGCTGGTAAGCGAAACGCGGAAGAGGGTATTCTGGTGTCAATATACTCTTGACCGGTAAGATCTCACCATTGCAAATGTCCAGAAAACTGAGCCAGACACGTCGTTCTAACGATTCTGAACGTGTAGATTCGGAGCTGCCTTCACAGGGCTGCCGGTGTTATTAGCTGAATCGGACATCTCAACAGAGTATCCGGCAGACGTCGACGATGAAAATGTCACGGAAACGGGCTTCGTTCCAACCATCCCAGAGGAGTCGACGAGGATGTCATCCGCTCTGGCTCTGTTCTCTGCCTCACGTATCCTCCATCGGGTGTTGGAGGACCTCTATCCTTCTCCTGCAGGATATGAGATCTCCCTCTCCACGGTCCATTCGCTGGCAGAAAATCTGGACGAGTGGTTGAAGAATCTCCCTGCCCACCTCCAGCTCACATTCCTCCTCGACAAGCCCAATGCCTCAGTTGCAAGCAGTCGATCAATATTGCTGGTAAGTTGTAATAGAGCGACCTCTCAAAGGCGCTGGCTGGTTGTCATTGAAAGGGCGCGCAGAAGCTAACCAGCCTCCGGCACTAGTCAACTGTCTATTACTTCATTCGAACCCTGATCCGCCGGCCAGCGGTCTCCTTCGGCTCGTCCGACAGCTCATCACCATCCATGCTGTCCCTTGTGGACTCAGCTAAACACATTATCCAACTCCTCCGGCTGCTCGAGGACCGACGAATGAGCCTTTCGCTATGCATGAACAAACGCGAACTGATTCTGATTTCTGGTCTTGGCCTGCTCTGGCAGAACCTCCAGCTTGGCCGGGATAGCAAGTTGGTTAAAGATGCTCAGAAGAGTCTGACAGCTACCGTCTCTTTACTGGAGAATGAGTCTATTGAGGCTGCACTGGAGTTTACGTCTTTGATAAATCTAGTGTCGGATTCTGACCGGCCAATGCCCGACCGAGCAGCCAGCGGCGGTGTTCAGGAATTCGTGTCGAAGCTGAAGAGATCCCGCCTGTCCTTCTCCTCTGAACCTGGTGTGTCAACGCCAATGAGGGATGACCTTCGCAAGGCAAACATGAGGCCATCCTCACCCAGAATGTCACGAAGCGTTCGGTCGTCAAGCTCTCATAGCAGCAGCTCCTATGACCAGCGAGACCAGATGCAACACCACCAGGTCCATCCAGGCATGCACTCTGGCCAATCTAATCTTGGCTATGTTCCCCTTCAGGTTAAGAAGGATAATAAGAAACAGATGCAGCCAGGATATAACCCTCAGGTGGGGATGACCGAATGGGACCATGCTCTCAATGACATTGATGGCGGACATGGCAATATATTCCCCGGAATATACAGCGGCGGCGAGTGCGGACAGGCTCCGGGTGCATTCAATACCCTCCCCTCGAACTATCCACCATCTCAACAGTCGACACCAGCACTGGGCATGCCCGTCCTACACTCTTCTCCCGATAGTATGCAAGGATGGCCACAAGAATCATGGACCACGGCTCCCAGAACAGCTATACCACGCAGCCATCCGCATACCAGCCACAATGGCGCCAATCCAGCGAATGGGGGCACTCCAGCGGAATCCCCATCGGCATATAATGATGGCAGGGGCATGGACATGAGAGATCAGCACATGGCTCAGGGTCACTCGAACACCCATGAAGGGAGTAATGGCCACATCCACACCTGTGCACCACCATTGAACCCGTTTGAAGCTATGGTTATGCCTCATAACCTCGACTCAATGCAGGGAACCACCAACTTCAATGTCTCTGTCACAAGTGGCTGGGGTCAGCATTCCGTGATGTAAGGCAGTACTCCGTACTTTCCTCCAGCCATCCAGCCGGCCTCTTCTTTTTTCGCGCGTTAGACTGGGGAAGGCAAGAAAAAAAAAAAGAGAAAAGAAATAAAAAAAAGAAAAACAGCGGCGCATCCTTAAATAATAATCATACGCCCGGAGTATATATATTTATATACGTTGGGCATCACCAATTTACTAGATTATTTTCTAGTTAATGGTTTCTGGTGCGGTTTGGGTCTTCGACAGTTGGGTCTTGGGGTGTTTTGTCAGAGTTAATTGTTGTGGTTTTGCTTGCTTTTGGCATTATTCGTTTCGCGTGCTTCTTTCTTCCCCTGCTATCGTCTGTAATAATAGCAAGCATAAATCTATAGTTGAGGTAGTTAGTTAACAGAGCGTAGTAACTTATTCCAGAGGCAGGCCAGGAATAACTACTGCGGAATGGCACAGAGTCCACTGCTCTGCTTTCATCCAGCTCGTCCTTTTGATATATTTCCTAGTAAATCACGGAGTTAGACACCTAAGCCCGCAATTGAGTTGTATGTAAATGACTCGCGGTAAATCGCAGGTCAGCCATTGGATACGGATACATGTGCATTGCATATTATGCACGGGAATTCCCTAAACATGAGCTGCTCCATGGACGGCTCCTTTGAAGTTCACCCGTTCAAAGATCTGTACTCCGTACGGAATCGCCAACGCCAGAGACTGCTTGATGTCAGCCCATGTCAAAGAGATGAAGAGCATCATCAGCCCACATTTAGCCAATGAATCTCCAGTCTCTCTGCACCTGGGAATTCCGGTTGGTCGGAGCAAGGTAGAAAGATGGGTCAGGGATAAAGGGGCCCCCTGTTCTTCATGTGGGACTGGGGCGCTATAACGGTGCATACATGACTAGCCGGAGCATGTATGACGTCGCTGACCGCTGGCACCCTAGCTCATCGACAACTAGTTACCCGTATAAAAGAAATATGCTCCGTTACAAGGAGAAGCCATGTTGGAGGTTGAGTGAAGAGGACAACGCACACAAGCAGAGGACAGGATGAGGGCTCGGCGAAGGCTCGATATGATTGACTGCGGCTTCAGCTCCGAGTTGGACGAACAAGCTGTGCATGTCAAGTGCATACAGCTAGCATACTAATAAGGAATATGCAATTGGCAATGCCAGATATCCCACTCGTGGGCACGAAACTGGCTGTCCCAGCGGTGGTCTTCTGGTGGACTGGTAGCCGCCACTCAAACGTCTCGCAGCCTCCCAACAGCTCCCTTTCTCTCTGCGTATCTGTCTTTGTCTGTCTCGTCTAATAATAATAAAATATATCTCGTCTTGACTCACTCTTCGACGGCCCCTGACCGCATTCCCTTATTTGACCATCCCGGCCGATAGTTAGGCTCATCATCGCGGTCGGTTATACAGGAGAACTTACTTACACGCTGGACGGCCCTTTGTAAGCTGCCCGGGCCGGCCGCCCGTCGAACCTGGGCCTGAATCCCGCCGCACAAAGCCTGCCTGTCCGCCTTCGTCTTCGCCATCATGCTCATTTGTATCTTGGTTCTCCGTTTTTTCCCTTCGCCATCGCCGTCGCCGTCGCCGTCTCGTTGCTGGATGGATATTGTTCAAACCGCGTGGAGCAAGTTTGATAGAAGGGCAGCCAATAAAACGAACCGCACTAGTCGTATTGCCCCGTAACATACACCGCAGTCCCCAATGATCGCCCGCGGTATCCTACCATGAACCTGGTACCGCTGTAATTTATCCTGCGCGATTTAACTCCCAGGCCCCACCCCCTTGTCCGCCTTCCGGGAACTTTCAGAGTTTTATGCGACTTCAACTTCTTTCGACTTTTCACATTTTTTTTCGCTTCCTCTTCTTCATCTTCGTGCAGCCCGTCTTATATCCTCCCAAGCCTGCTGCTGTCGTTGAGAGATATTCGGATATCCAGCTTCTTCTTTGCCTTCGTTAGCCTTTGTTGATTCCAGCTTCGAAGCTCGTACCGGAGCCGCCTCTGAACACCCGCTATTTACTACCCCGCATAGAGCAGTTCGATACTCACACTCGCCATCATGGGATACTCAGAAGTTGACCAGAAGGCCATCAACACCATCCGTATCCTTGCCGTGAGTACTTCCTACTCGAGATACAGCAGATTTCTACCTGGAGACGCGAGCTCTTGGGTTGGCGTTTTGGCGCTTGATTGACGGGCTATGACACCCCGCATCGGCCTGATAGCGAAGACCCTGAGAGCAGAGACCATCCAAGCCCCTCCAGCCCCTCCAGAGCACCTTCACCGTCAAGAAGACGTCAAATTGATGCTAATTGACTCTTTTCCAGGTTGATGCGACCGCAGTCCCCAACTCCGGACATCCCGGAGCACCTATGGGACTTGCTCCGACGTCTCATGTCCTGTTCAACAAGTTCATGCACTTCAACCCAAAGAACCCACACTGGCCCAACCGAGATCGTTTCGTTCTCTCGTACGTCAAGCCTCCCTTCATGCACCTTTACCGGAGAGAATGGCCGTCAATTGGTGGGAGTTGAAAGCAGGATGGCAGCTAACTTGGTGACCATAGAAATGGACACGCCTGTGTTCTACAATATACCCTCCTCCACCTTTTTGGATATGCCCTGTCCATGGATGATATGAAAGCCTTCAGGGTTAGTTTTGGCCCTCCCTGCCCACTTTCTCGCTTTCCTCCATCTTCAGTTCGGTCACTAATTGCCACGGGTAGAAACTTGGCAGTATCACTCCCGGTCATCCTGAAGCTCACGACACCCCTGGAGTCGAGGTCACCACTGGGCCCCTCGGTCAGGGCATTGCCAATGCTGTTGGCCTTGCTGTTGCCCAGGCTCATTCTGCTGCCGTGTTCAACAGACCAGGATACAACTTGTTCGACAACTACACATACTGCATCTTCGGTGATGGATGTGCTATGGAGGGTGTTGCCAGCGAGGCTGCCAGTGCTGCCGGCCACCTGAAACTTGGCAACCTAATCTGCCTATACGATGACAACCATGTCTCTATTGGTATGCAATTGGCTCTCTCTCTTTTTTTACTGATCTATTTTCACTTACTAACTTATGACCAGATGGTGATATCAAGTGTGCTTTCACCGAAGATGTATGTGCGCGCTTCGAGTCCTACGGATGGCACGTTCAGCACGTGAAGGACGGTAACCATGATCTGGAGGGCATCGAAGCCGCCATCCAAAAGGCAAAGGAAGTCACCGACAAGCCTTCTATGATCAAGATCACTACCACCATCGGTTTCGGTTCCCTTCTTCAGGGTACTGGCGGCGTTCACGGCAACCCCCTCAAAGCTGATGACACCAAGCAGCTCAAGCAGGCCTTTGGCTTCAACCCTGAAGAGACCTTTGTCGTTCCTCAGGAAGTCTACGACCTCTACCACCGCCGCTCTGCTGAGGGTGCCGCTAAAGAGAAGGAATGGAACGACCTCTTTGCTAAATACGCACAAGAATACCCCAAGGAGCATGCCGACCTCAAGCGTCGTTTGTCCGGTGAGCTCCCAGAGGGATGGGAGAAATGCTTGCCTGTCTACTCCCCAAGTGACCCAGCCATTGCATCCCGCAAGCTTTCTGAGGCCGTGATCGAGAAGATCTACGATGTTATCCCAGAGTTTGTCTGCGGATCCGCTGACTTGACTGGATCCAACAACACCCGCTGGAAGAAGGCCGTTGACTTCCAGCCACCATGCCTTGGTATTGGTGAATGGTCCGGCCGTTACTTCAGATATGGCGTCCGTGAGCATGGCATGGCCGCCATGATGAACGGTATGGCTGCCTACGGCACCATGCTCCCAGCTGCTGGAACTTTCCTCAACTTCGTTTCCTACGCAGCCGGAGCTGTCCGTCTGTCCGCTTTGTCCGGCGTTCGCGTTATCTACATCGCAACCCACGACTCAATCGGATTGGGAGAGGATGGCCCAACACATCAGCCCATCGAAACCCTCGCTCACTTCCGTGCCCTTCCCAACTTGATGGTGTGGCGTCCAGCTGATGGCAACGAGACCAGTGCTGCTTACTACTCCGCCCTTACTGCTAAGAGCACACCCTCCATCCTTGCCCTTACCCGCCAGAACCTCCCACAGCTCGAGGGTTCTACCATCCAGAAGGCACTCAAAGGTGGTTACGTTGCCGTTGAGGCCGAGAATGCTAACATCACCATCGTCAGTACTGGATCTGAAGTTGGTATCTGTATCGATGCTGCCAAGTTCCTCAAAGAGAAGCACAACATCGTTGCCCGCATTGTCTCCATGCCCTGCTTCGAAGTATTCGATACTCAGGACAAGGAGTACAGACTCAGCGTTATCCCAGATGGCATCCCATCTCTTAGCGTCGAAGTCATGAGCACCCTTGGCTGGGAGAGATACTCGCACGAACAATTCGGTCTCAACCGCTTCGGTGCATCTGGTCCATACAAGGAGGTCTATGCTGTAAGATTTCACCCATCTTGGTCATTATTTCACTCATGCCTCTGTACTAACAATTTCCTCTATAGAAATTCGAATTCACTCCAGAGGGTATCAGCAAGCGTGCCATTGCTACTATCGACTTCTACAAGGGTGTCACCGTTCGCTCCCCAATCAACCGTGCTTTCCAGCAACTCATTTAAGACAATTGCACGCAATTTTCGGGCGCCTCTCTTGTCTGTTCTTAAGAAGCCTCCTCCCTCACTCATATTATATTTACAAGAGTTAAAGAGGGCAGGGGCCCTGTTAACTAGTTAACGAAAGAGGTTTTTTTTACTACTTTTCCTCCATCAGCTAGAGTCATACCACCCTATCGGTTTAGTTACCCCCTTTTTCATGATCAGATGAGAAAAATTGAATATATAATGATTTCCTTTTATTTTACAGCAGAGTAAGTGTGTAGAGAATCGTAGATTGGATTGTTCGCTGTGTTAATCGAAGGTAATATCTGCCTTCTTCCTAATGAATTTATTCTCCGAATTTACTTGCCATGCAACAAGCGGGGCGTTCAATTCTAGCTATAACCAAGTACCTCTGAGGCACACCACCCCTCAATTAACTTTGGTTGGCCCTTTCACCCAATTTATTCCGATGGTAACGAAACCTTGGGAGGAAGGATAGACAAAAAGGAATATCAACCCGTTTATCAGTTAAAAACTTAACTAGAGACCCAGTTGACGCATTTACTCGAGAGCCTTTCGAGCAAAGTTGGGAAGAATGAAGCTAGCACGGTGGATTTCCTGGTTGTAGTATCTGCAGAGTTTATCCTCCTCTTCTCTGCTCCACTTGCGAAGGGGCTCGCGGACATTGCGTTCTGCATCCTTGCAGGCGACTAGGAAGCCGATCTGGCCTGATGGATAAGTTGGGATAGTGGTGTAGGCGTACTCGACGACGGGGAAAACCTCACGCATGAGCTTCTTCAGCTCGGTGATCATGGAGAGGTGGAGCCATTGGTTTTCAGCTAAAGGTAGAAAGCACACATGTTTACTTCCCTAGTGAGATACTCGGGAAGTAAAATGGTTTGTATGGTTAGCCTGGTCTGTAATCAGGGAGGAAGTTACTTTCTTTGTAAAAGAAAACAGTGAAAGAAATAGAAGTCGACAAAGGGATCGGGCGAAGTGTAACCTGAAATGCAGAATAAAGTCAGGATACCGCCTCAATCCGAAGCGCAAAGGAAGTAAATGAAAGCAGAGGGCAAACGAGACTAATAAAGGACGGAGAGGCGACGAACAACCTTGAGTACTAATGACACCTCCTTCACGGAGAGCGCCATATAGAAGCTCGAAGTATGGCTTCTGGAACAGAACCTCGGCTGGGCCCTCAGGGTCGGAGCTATCGGTGATAATAACGTCGAATTGGTTCTTCTGTTCCTCGAGGAACTTGAAACCGTCACAGACGTGGACCTTGGCGTTGGGGTGCTGGAATCCGACGCTCATGCCGGGGAGGTATTTCTTAGACACTCGGATGACGGCCTGTGATGTTCATTTTCAGTATCAATTGAGCCAGTCAATTGAGGGGGAAATTTCGTATGGCGGGGTAACTGACCTCGTCAATATCACATAGCACGGCTTCTTCGACAGTATCGTGCTTGACAATCTCTCGAAGGACACCGCCGTCTCCTCCACCGATAACAAGCACTTTCTTGGGGTTGGGGTGGGAGTTCATGGCGAGGTGGGTGATCATCTCCTGGTAACTGTTGCACCTAATATCAGCACAACATCATTTTAGAACGATTGTAGACGGCACAACGTACGAGAATTCGTCTCGCTCGGTGCACTGGATAACATTATCCAGGACCAAAACAGTGCCATGGTCACTGCTCTCGAAGACGAGGACGTCTTGGTAATCAGACTTCTCATGGTGAAGAATCTGGTTGACACGGAGGTTCATGGCCTGACCAGGCCACATGTCTGAGACTTCAGAAAACCATCCATCTATAGAGGCAACAGCCCATTACGATTAGCAAATTAACATGGAATTGGAATAAATGAATGAGGTAGCTCTGTTTCTTGTGTGATTAAGGGCCTGGATATCTGTAATGTTTCAACACATACCCTTAATGGTGGGGTGGGTGATCTCGCTCATCTTTGCGGTGGAATTGGAGGTATACGGCGTTCTAGCGGTGCAATGAGATATAGGCTTAGGTTGAAACCTGCAGGGAGTCGGAGACAGCGAGCGGCTGGATGGTATCTTTAAAGATAGACGTGCAAGTTGCGATGTTTTGTGGTGAAGGTGAACTCCCATACAATAATATAGAGGAGTTAATTCTTTTTTTTTTTTTTTTAATTCTTTTTTTTTTTCCCGAACCTTGGGAAGCCCCGCCATGGCCTCTTTTATAGTCACGTGGAGGATGACAAAGAACTGATTATCTAATGTGGCTGTATTAGCTAAGCGAGCGCTTTCTGTTTGGGGCAGCAAACGGTCGGTGAAACTTCGCCCATCAGCACCCGCATCAACGAGGATAAAGCGAGCGGGATGGAACAGGATACACCCGTCGAAGCCCCAGGATAAGCAAGGAATAATTGACGTTGGTCCTGTGGCCTTATACCCCATGTCGTGATAATCCCATCCCTGGCTGACCTGGAGGTCACGGGGACCATGGTGGAAGCTGGGGAGGGGGCCAAAATTGAACCTGTTCCCTGATGCATACAGGTGCTTCCCGTACATATGACTGTGAGACCCTGCACTGCTTACAGGTAACTATACGGAAGCTCTTGATCATTCTCTCCTGGAGATGGTGGTTCTGGCAGATAAAGAAAAACTCACATATTAGACGAAGTGCATGTGTCTTGGAGCATCATCTAGCACTACTCGTGCAATTCGGTACTTTTCGTCAACTGACACAGGAAGAATTACGACGAAGCGGCGTAGCACATAAGCAGGACCCTCACCTCTTGCTGCTGAAGGTGCAGGCAGATCTAGAATGACGGCATGCGCAATCGTTATACGTATACGATATTTCTAACACTTCCTGGTCCGCTTGAGGTATCCGAGTCTGGGCCGTTTATTTGCTGGCATTAAACAGAATTTTTTTCTCCCTTTAAATTCTCTAGGATGTTAGTTGTTACCATGTCATCGGACTCGTAATATATCCAACAACCGCAATTTGTACTGGGATATGCTATTGGCCGGGGATGCATACTACAGTTTACATCTGGATAACATGCTTAGCCTGGGGTACCATCCAAAACGCAATTACCAGAGGATGTCCCCACGACTTTCAAATCACAGTACATATCATCCCTGATCATGACGATTATATCACTTCCTGCAAAGAAATGTTGGCGGCTACTTGCAGCTGTCCTCCAACTACATTGTTATGGATACGGCCGACAACTTGCAGTTGTGGCCAAGAAGCAACAGAATTCTTGCACATAGGATACTACCAGACCTGCAATGCAGATTTTCCTATCCTAGTCCACAATGTGGCGAATGAAATTGTGTGAACATTAAACCTGCTTATATATTATGTCAAGCTTCCATGGGCAGTTTGACAGAGTCTTTGTGATGGACATTTGGCTTGTATTATATACAGTAACTGTCTAGCAATTTATCCCGTCCTCGATTGGTGAAAACACAAAGGCACCAGAAAAACGCAGAGGAGGATAAGAAAATAGAAATTTTTAATTAAGCTTAGCTTTCGGGAAAGAGAACTCAGTCCAGGGAGTTCCAACATTAAGGTGCCAGATATAAAGGAGTCAAAATTAGCTGGTAAGGAGTGTATGAAAGATAGATAATGAAACTGTGGCACAGGCAGTAAAGGAGTGGAAGAAGTGAAATTATTCCTACTGGGTATTTTTGCCGGCCCCATGAAAGGAAAAAGGAATGTAAAAATTAAGTAAGCGGGGAGTCTCTCTCCTCATAATGGTAGTGTAGTTATTTGCATCAATGGTGGCCAAGTAAGTGCAATTATCGCCAGACACTGATGCCCTCACGCAACGGTGGTGTGGATTGATTTGTCGTAGTACGGCTCAGGAGTAGGAGTTGGGTATGAACTCGCCGGGAAGGTAGCCATTTCGTACTTGTTTGGTGTAGTGAATCCTTGGCTGGCGCTGGTGCTGCTTGTGCAAACTGGGGACGTGGAAGGATCGGTAAATTGCACATTATGCACATTATTTGGTAATTTCATGAGCTCCTGGACTTTCTTCCTTAAGCTTTCGACTTCGTTGGCCTGGGAATTGTATGACTGAAGAAGACTCTGGTGCTGCTCATGAAGGGCCTGTAGCTGGCTTTCAAGGCCCTTGACATGTTTCTCCTTTCGTTCTCTGAATGCCCGTTGAGAAGCACGGTTTTGTGCTCGACGTCGCTGTGTCGTATGTTAGTGAAATGGGTATATATGTAGCAAGTGTATGTGTTTCGACTAACCAAGTGCATGGAAGTGACAGGGCCCTTCTGGGTTGATCTTCGCTCCCTTTGGTCTCCATTGTCTAGTGAAGTGGAGTCGATGTATTCCAGCGGGATCTTCTCCTGTGCTGGATAGAATGGGATCTGAGGGCTCCCGTACGATATCACGTAGGGAGAGGGTTCAGAAGGGCTGACGCTTTGTCTCATATGCTGCAACACGGTTAAAGCTGTTCTATGCCGCCACAGTAATTCGTATGAGAAGCCGGGCTTACTTACATATGTATCCGGGCTAGAGGATTCAGAGTATGACTCGGAGGGGCTCTCATATGGTTGCGGGGCGATAGGATAGGCATAAGTATTGATGTTAGGTAGTGATGGCAACGCTTCGTAGAATGCCATGGTCACAGTGGTGGCGATGGAATAGATTCAGGCAGACGGTGAAGAAGGGTACAAAATGCAATAACTCAATAATATTGTTCAATCCTGATTGACCAACTATCTTGATGTAGGGCGAAGGATGAGCAGTGTGCTAAGAGCCAGTGATGGAATGCAATGATGATTCTTGAAATTCCTGGGAGAGCAAGTCCATCTTAAATCTAGAGAGGCCTTCAGATCAAGACAGGGTTGCAGCCTTCGAGCGATATAACCCATGTCCATCCGATACCTACCTACATCTGTGCAATCCTGGAAGCTTTGTCAACCACTAAAAGATCTCCCACAAGCTAGAGCAGCAGACTCGAGTCATCGTCCAATGGGCTTTCAGCGGTAGTGAAATACTACACGTACCGCGGGCTTCAATTCGGAACAGGGATTCCAGCCACTGCAGCCAGGGGGCGTGACAGAGTAAAAAAGAGCAAAAAAAAGAAAGAGAGAGGAAAATGGGGGTTGAGGGTTCCTCTCTTAGTTCCCTAGAGAAACCCTTGATATGGCCGGGGTTAACCCGGGATACATGCTCATTCACAATATTATCATATTAATTGAAAATCACACTAGATTGTTAATGGAGCTGAGGGCGCGGTGATTTGCTTGGGCTTGGAGGTCTTAAGGCCACCCCTGTCAATAGACCGTTGAACGGCGAGTAAATCAGTAGACCAAAAGCCAAGAAGTCGCTGGAAAAGACTTGACAGTCAAGTTCTCCTTCAGGCACTGGATATTGGTGATACAACGCAGAATCTGCCTGTAGAATAGGTACTCTCCAGGGAGTGTCAGATTAGAGTACGGTACTCACCCTATGATGAAATTTATTTTCAAAGTATATGCCGCAGTAGCAGTTTACCACCCCAAGGCTGGCCGGTTCGTCAATCCGCAAAGACAGCCGCTACTTAGTTATTGGAGGAACACGATGAACCTGGAACGGGGGCTGCCCCAGGTGTATATTCTTTGCAGTGCTCTGCATGAAACAAGCGGCTATTAAAATTTATCGCATGTACATTGAAGTCCGGTATTATTGGCTGAGAGTAAAGTAGTAACCTTGACCGGAGTTGACAAGCAGCTAGATAGTGGGGAAGATTATCAAGGAAGCAGCTCGGTTTTCATCATTGATAATCATATTCCTTGCAGATTTGGCGGCCAACCAGTCGGCTGGTATTATTCCAAGGATATAAACGTTGGTTTCTGTATATCTGAAGATGCATCATCAACATTTAGCCGGATCAGTGAGCCGGAGAGGGTTCGAGGGGGCCTAGTAAACAGGCTTGGGCAGAACAATGTACGCCACAGGGATTCCTCCTCCCGCTTGTTTTTTCGACATTTCTCAAAATAACTGAGTAGAGGAACGCAGGCACAGCGCAGCCTGCACAGAGGACTCCGTAGAGCTCCCGACTAGTCCACCGTGACCAATGCGCCGTGACGGGGTTCGCCAGTTCGGTCCCTGCAGGAAGAGTTGACGTTGAAAAAAGAGGAGGAAGAACTATATTTAGAATTTTGGAGGCTGTGCTTTGTCATCCTTGTCGAGTTAACCCTAAAAAAGCTCGGGCATCCCTGTCCGCCCGCAACAACAACGACAAACCGATCGAGCACTGCCATCTTCACTACTATTTGCGTACTTTCGACGACAAGATAACCACATAGCTATGTTGCCAACATCCCAAAAATACTCTCCGGAGGTGACTCTGCATCTCAGGGAGACAGAGGCACCTGGAGTCTGCGCCAACCTTGCTGCATCCTGAGCCTGGCCTGCATCGGCCTGCAATCGAGTTCTGATACCTGAGGTCCTCCTTGATTATGTGTCATTTCAATCTTTTTCTTTGCTCTATCTTGCTTGCCAGTTCTATTTGTGGATAATACCCTAGACCTGCATATGAGGAAGTCGCTTGGTCTACGCTAAGGCTATGCCTCGTTTACGCGGTTTCGGTCTGAGGAGCTGACAGAGTCATTTCGTCGAGATACCCAACTAGCTCCTTGTCCTATTTCCGCCTCAGCGCTTAAATATGCAGGGTGATGGGGGAAATGGGGCCAATTTGATGGCTAGCAGCCTTAAGTCGGCATATTCAACTTGTACTCCGGAGGGGTATACACAGTATTACCAGCCCTCTATACCCTTCCAACAACCCCCACCAGGCTAAAAAAAAAAAAAGAATACAGGAAATGGACGGCCCAAAATCCAGGATTTTGCGAGGATAATACTGCGATAAGCTCTGTCAGGGTGGCCAGATGTGCCCCCTAACTAATAAACCGCTTCCCTAAATGGAAGGATCATTGCATTACATGTCTTCCCCATGATTGAAGTGTTTTCATCACGGGAAATAAGAGAAGCTGTACGAAATTTGATAAGCGGCCCAATGTCTAATTGGCCGGCTGCTCGAAAGCCCGCGTACTACCCACTTGAACAGCAGATCAAACCCCTAGCTCTGCCCCTACCTGGGATTTCTTTATCCTGGGGACATTGGAGTTTATGAAACCCATTGATCAAATGCCCATTGATAATCTATACCAACGATGCTGAAGGCCATACGCATAGAGTATGGGAATAGTGCCTGTAGGCCTGTTCCTCTTATCTCCGATGAACCCGACAAAAGGACACTGCACACCACATCACGATAATCCCTAAATTACCATATCGTATGTAGCATGAACTGCAACCCAGATATCTCCTTCGATGGCTGGATAAACTGATTATCCTACGATGTACTATTTTGAAATGCAGGAATCTGAGTCAACCTGTAAGGAACGCAGTGTATTTGGCCCCAAGACCTCTCATGAAGGCCCAGAAGCGTTGCCAAGCGACACACTCAAGAAATTCAGTCTCCACCACTATGCTCAGAGACTTCCTGATACCCTTTGTACCTGGTTGCCGTTTTCTCCCGGGAATGACGAGATGTTGCATTTGAAACCGTGCGTAGCGGGTACCATTTTAACCTTGACCATTTTTGGTCATCACCACGATGAAACGGCTAGAGTCATCTGGTGAAGCTACGCATTGGCCACAATATACAACACGATTGGCTTTACATCCCCCATCATGCCGGCTAGGAGAGAGCTCCGTCCAATAAGCAATGTCTACACACCCAATACCCGTGAGCCAGTATATGATTCAGCATGCAGCATATGCATTGCATTACATATCTCTGTATCGTATCAAACGAGTTTCATATATTGAACAAAAATACTCCGTACCTGACAACTTGCTGCTGGTAAACGGCACGGCTGTCCGTGTGACCAACTACGCAAATCCCAACATTTAGGGAGCTTAGGTCTCTAGCTGACATGGTCACAGTGATCTCGGAAAGGTACCGCACTATTCTTATGACGATCTCAAAGACCACTCTGTGCCCAAAATCAGGTTTGACAACACGAAGGCCTGTGACAAACACATGGAGATCGGGTCAAGTGCTTTGGAAGTTAGGGTAGATCAGACGAACCCGGTGCGATTCTCATAGGAACTATGCAAGCCCTCGATCTTCGTGTGGTCATTGATGAGGACGACTATTGATACCTAAGCCGCAAATTTTTGACATAGATCAGCCACGCTCCATCACTTCCCGTCCCCTACCGCTAGGGTATACATCGAATAATATCCGAATGTGCTTTATCTGTATGGACGGCAGCACAGACTTCCTTTATCTATGTACTTTAGCAACAGCCGTCCCCGAAATCGTCATCCAACCGGCAGACTTCCGTCACAGCTTTCAGGTTTGTTTACGCTAGCTGATGTATTCATTAGCTAGTCTGTCCACTATTTCCCCAGACAACCTTCCTTAAAATTTTGAAACTTTCCAAATTTACCTAAGCTGGACTAACATCCATTTCATGATAAACACTAGACGACTACTCCTACTCCGTACACCACACTGATTCCCAGATTATTCCAGGGTAAAATTCAGAATTGCCTCCATATATTTATACTCCTAGGCCTCTTTTCAAAGCAGTAACAGGGAGAATGATACTTTCGAACTCGTCTGGAAAGAGCCGACACAGAAATTGCCTATCATAAAGCTAGAAGAGACTCCGCCGTGGACTCTCGATACGCAAGATGAAGACGGATTCTCTATCTGATACCCAACCAACGTCAGACTGCGGCTAGAGCATAAGTCGTTAAATAATCACATGATGTTCATGCGGTCCAGGCTAAACTACCATCTTCCCCCCTTTACTTCCTTGCTGAAGGTTGAAGCGATGGGTTCCTGCGCAGATATTGCATTGAAGGTTGGTTGCATTATCCTTCATCTTGATCATCCTTACTATGCCTCGATCTCAATATGGGCGCTTCTGGTGGCTCAACCATCGTGTGAGAATGATTTGAGTAGCAGAAAAATCTCGCTCCAGTCCTTGCATGGTTGACATGGCTGATGAATGTTTCGTGAAGCGGAGAGTAAACAATGCCCACCCATCATATTGCACCTCTAGCACCCACAGGTTAGCCGAGAAGCTCCTTCACTCTCCCCCAGATCCTCGCCTCCAGCGCGGGGTTTGACAGAGTTTTTGGCCATCATAACCCCGGTTCAACCTTCTTATGCCCTGCAACGAACGCCGATGCAAGGTTGTGAGCCGTAATTGCGAGTAATTTTTACATAATATATGCTCCGCTGCCGAAAAATCTTCCAAGGAATGAGATGGTTATACCCGGTGGAAAGCTGCGGAAGAAAAGGAGACAGCGCTGAAGCCTTGCCAGCACAAATATCTTTCAGGCAGATGGAATTGAATCCGTGCATTCCCTTGGGACCTTAACCCTGATCCTTTTCAGAGTCTAGACAGATCTGAAGCTAAAGACAGAATGGCGTCCCCTTTTTACCGAAACGAAGGCTTGAACATCTTCACACCCCTATCCCTTCTACCGCCAGCTGTTTAGAAAAAAAAAAAAAAATCTTACTTTGAAATGTCAAAGCACTGGTGAGTAAAAAAGGTAACCTGAGCGAAGATTATCGTTCGTCTTGGGTACCAAGATGCCGACAAGGGGAGGATTTGGGCAGGAAGCAAGGCGTTCGATCAACACTGATAAAAAGAGCAGCCAAAGAAAGGATGGTCGCGAATTAACGAGAATGCTTCACTCAGAGAAGAGAACGAGCACTCCTTGTCGTAATCGTATAGCCAACTATCGGTTAGCAGGATGACGTTTCAGAGCATGCATACTCGATGTGCCACAGGACGTTATCTGATCCTCTTGTGCCGAACAGAGACACCTCCTCTTTGAGTTTACTACAGCCAATCCGGGAAATTCACAAGACCCTTTGATGTCGCCAGCGCCACCACCAGACGGTGCATTGGACAGCTAATTGGTCGTCAGCAAAGGCAAAATGAAAAGAAGAAGCAGTCACCAAGACCAAGACAACGGGAAGAGGCAAGACAAGAAAAAGTCACCAAAGGCGCCCGTGCAACGGGACGAACAGAGTTGTTCGTCGATTTGGGCCGAAGGGGGCTGTAGTACGAAAAGGCAAAAGGTGTCTAAAAGAATACTATCGAGTGGGCTGGCGGCTCCAAGCCCTCCTGGTGCCTCGCGGGCCGATATCATGCTTTCTGGGCTTTGCCAATCGCAATGCGTTGACCTCCTCCATCGGGATCGCATATCGTACACACCTCTCTCTCTCTCCACAAAGTTAGTTGACTAGTTAGTTAGTTATCTAGCCTATTTGGCAAGAACGCCGTGTGGCTTTAAAAGCAAATATAACATGCTTAGGACGATTCTGGAATATTGCCTTAAATAGCTACTCCGTAGTTAGCCAGAAGTAAAATACTCGTAAATCAAGGACGCCTTCGACGCCTTCTGTGCATATACGTTCCATCGCCAAAATAGTTGCTTATGATGGAGAAGGTGTGATGTCGTGTCTACCAATATCATTTTAATCCCTGCATTGGGGGCGTTGAATGAATATCAACTCTCCTTTCTCCATAACTAATTATTAATTGAAGCTAGGTAGGCAATATTCAACCCCCATCCCGGATTCACTTTGCAGCCCCCGTATGTTCGAGCCTCCCATGTCGCCAAGTTTGATGGACTTGGTACCACATTCGCGTTGCTCTGCAGACAACGCCGATAGAGCACCTCAGCCACCTTCAGATGCTCGGTTAACCGCCAGGGACACGCCTTCGGGGCTTATTCTTATACTGGAAGCTTCGCCACAAAGTTTAGTTACCGGGAGTTTCGTTTCGATCGTCTTTCCACATATGTCAGGTTTGTTCAACTATGTATGGAGTACTCCATACATCCAGGGGATAGATAACTGGAAGGGCCAAGATACAATACGTACTGCGTAATTGCCGGTGGAAGTATGCTTATACTGGTTGTTGACATGAACCACTGGACCAACGAGGATTTGCCTTCTATCGATCCTTTTGAGTAGGTGTACTCGTATATTCCGTGATAGAATTGAGATACCAGCTGGAAATCTCCATGACAGTACTCCGTAGCTTCAGGAGAACTTCTAGTGCGCGGTATAAATCAACCCAAACCCACGAATCCTTGGGTCAAAATCTACAAAGGTTGGGGTAATACAAAGGTCTAGCAACATTGATACAATACAGCAATGGGAGACCAATTGCTCCATTTACCTCGCAAATATCCTGAGCAGATCATGAGAGGTGGAGTCTATTATGTTCTCTCAAGGTGAAGTTCTTCATATGCCGAGAACCAGGGATAGTAAGGATCTAGCACTTGTGTCTTATTATTTGGTCCTTGGAGTTTAACACTTACCAGCCATATAAGCTGGGTGTCTATGAGGGCAAGCATGTCCCATCAGATGCGATGCGAGCCGTATAGTGGAATAGGCGCCATAAGCGGGTTCGGCGATTAACGATGTATATCGCTCATTCGAAATCTGATTTGAGTCTGACCGGGTAGTATTACTTTTCCTTATTGCACTGCAGGGACGAAAGAGCCAGCGAACAAAAAGGACTATCCATTAAGTATAGAATGGGTTATTTTGGGAGATTATAACCTTAGCCGCCTTAAAACCTTGCTAAGCAGGCCAGATATATACACCGTTTGCCTTAGCACGACTGCTAAGACCCCGATTTACGAGGTACGAGGTACTTTGTATGCATTGAACCAGACTTTGCAATTAATGGAAGTCCTGTTGGATGGCTTCTTGCCCCTCTCGCCGGGCACTGGGGGTAGTTCGAGGCGTAGTCACATGCGGGTATTTGTATATACGGAAGAAACGAGCAGATATCATCCCCTGTCCTGTTCATGTATTGGCGGGCTATCGTCCCGCAACCGTAACCTTCAGCTATGTTTATGGAGGGGGAGGAGTTGGAAGAGGAGCAAGAGATCTTCTCCCAGCTGGCCTCCCGAGCCCCCATTTTAGATGAGTTCGGTGGAGAGACAGGTTGAAAAGAAAAGAAAAAAAAGAAGAAGGAAAAAAGTATGAAAGGGATAAATTGATCTGCACGGGGATTGCCACCTGTGCAAGAAAACAAAAATAAAAGTAAAATAAAAAGCCCATTTTGAGATATATTATATGCTTTTTCGTTTCTTTTTCTTTTTCCCTTTCATTATTTTGCTTTTTCCCACTTCGTTATCTGTTTATTTCTCTGACGTTGTTTCTTTGGGGGGGAGACAGTGGTACATAGAGTTGGCAGGTAGGAGGTGATCTCTCAAGTTGGGCCTGCAGCCAAACAAACCAAAGAAGATGGCGCGGCTCCGTTCCGTGGGAAACTTGGACTTGATGTACTCCGTATAGGAATGGAGTACTCCGTACCTCACCGAGGTCCTGGATGCTGGATACAAGCCATGTACCCAACTTGGAGGTATCGTCCGGCCCATCAGACTTTTTTGTTCGTATGCAAGGGAAGCATACCAAGGATACACAGCATAAACCTCGAACCATCAGCTTCCATGTGAAGCAGAACACGCGGAAGATGCACAATAATGATGGTGGGAAGTCAAGAATAGCCTTGGAATGTCTTGTACGGAGTATCTGTCAAGCAAAAAGCCATTTCCTGAGAAAGCGATGGCGAAAAAGCATGCTTAACTGGAGAAATGGCTCTTTATGGTGATAGATTCCGCGGCTGTCTGCGAGGTGCGTCGTTAGTGATCGAAGATCTCTGGAGATATGCAGACATCTAGTATAAAAAAAAATAATAAGGATACGAAAAGGGTCCTTGATTCCGTCACACGACAGACGCCGACGGGTTGTGTTGTGAGCTGGGGAAGAAGGCAGAAGAAGGGTGGGCAAGGGGATAGGAAAAAAAAAAAAAGGAAGAACGGGTGAGTGACGAAGGACATGGATGTATTAGTTGCTTCGTTTTCGTTTCTCGATCATATCGATACAATGATGGCACGATATGATATATTAACGATAACGATGATGATGACGATGACGATGCGCAGGAGGTATAGTTTGATGTATGTCAACCGTCCATCGGACTGGCTAAGCTCTGAGCCTCCCCTCTGCCAGCCAGAAGGCAAACTCCACTCTCGTCCCTCACCTCACCAGGAGTGAGGGAGAAAAGAGAAGGAGAACGACATCTCCAGCCCTCCCTCCCTCCCTGGCGCAGCTCCACCGAACCTTGAGACTTGCAGGACATAGTTGCTCCATCCAAACAAGCAGCGCGTACTCCGTAAGCCATGGACCAGCCAGCCCAAGCCCAGCGAGCCGGCCGCACCATCCGTGCTCCTCCGCCTCTCTCTCTCTCTCTCTCTCTCTCTCGAGGCAATATACTTACACCTTACACTTGCCCTAGTTGGTCTGTTGCAAAAGGCAAGCGATGTGATGAGACAGGCTTCGGAGATGATGGAGGTTGAAGTTCAGGGGAATTCCCTTCTCCTTCAGGCGGGCCTCCCTCCCTCCCCCAGGGGTCATGGACCCGGACAACGTTCAAGCTCTGGCTTTCAGAGATGCTTATCATGTCAACTCAACTCTCCTTCGCCAGAGAGACACGATCGAAGGACGGGCGAAAAGGGAGAAGAAGAAAAGAAAAAAGCAACAAGGAAGAAAAAGGTTGCAGAAAACCGTCGCTAATTTTAATAATTGGCTTTCTTAATTCGACGGGAGGGCTAGCCTTTGCGCTAGTAGCAAGTCAGTAGGAGATCTCTCTCTCTCTCAAGAGGAGATACCGAGGATATATTATTATTTTGCACCAGACAAGCAGGACGAAGGAGGGAAGAAGGTGATGGATGGGCCAGCCGGGTGGACGTGATTTAACTAGTTAGCTACTCTGCTAGTAACTAGTATTCCAACGCCACCGGAAATAAGGATCGCAGAGGGCAACCAGCGAGAGCGAGAGCGAGAGGAAGAGAAGAAGAAGAACGACCGAACCGACCGCGGACCAGCGTATCTGCCCGTTCTTCGTAAGTACGAGTAGTATGTAGAAGAGAGTGGGCGATGAAACAGATGCATCGTTTCACTTCTCTTTCTGAGCAAGCTCGCCAGGGGGATCCCAGCACCTGCAGCAGCCAGCAGAAACTGCCCGTAAGGAACCCGAGAGAGCGAGACAGCGAGAACAGCGTGAGAGAGAGAGAGAGAGGGACCCAAGTCTTGCAACGCTTGCAACGGCACCAGAACAGCCTGGCCGGACAGGGACAGCCAAAGAGGAGCCAGAGGATGAGCCGGGGGCTGCATCCGGACGGGGCCCTTGGTCATCGTATCGAAAGGGCTCTCTTTGCTCTGCATCCGGACCCTCGTCCTTAATGTCTGCTCAACTATAGCCTTAATAATAACATTATATCGAAGCTCTGTCTCTCTCTCTCTCTTGGTCTGGGAAGACGACGATGGCGCTACCGAAGACGAGCGGGCCGCGTGCCAAACCACGCCATCGTTCCCTTTAATCTGCTAGCCGTTGTCTATCTCTGTCTCTGTCGCTCTCTGTCTCTCTCTGTCTCTCTCTCTGCGCTGGGTGCCGGAGGAAGGGGGAGAAACGAAGGGGGGGTCCCCATGCAGGGCGTGGGGAGGCCGGCCACGTTTTTTGCTGGGCAGAGCCGGGGCTGCGATAATACGATAGAGAGGATCATAATATATGTCGTCTCTGCTAGTGCTCCTCCACCGTTGCTGGCTGGCTGGCTGGCTGGTGGTTGTGGTGGTGGTGGTGATGTCAAAAGAGAGAGAGAGAGAGAGATAGCTGGTGGCGTCTAAGTGAAGTAGAAGTAACTCGCAAGTACTGACTGAATACCTGTTGATACGGAGTGCCTGCACGGCTTCACTCCCGCTGTCGAGCTGAGCAGCCGAGATCTAGTTGATACGTCGTCCCTGAGGCGCATCTCGCAACGTCTCCTGCTCCATCTTGCTGCCATCCATCCATCACTAAGTGTTAACATATACTCAGAGTATCAACTGCAGCCATCCCAGGCCAAACAAACCTTGAACGGGCCCAAACCTCTTCTCTCTCTCTCTCTCTCCATCCGCTCTTTGCTTTTCTCTCTTTTTTTTTGCTTCTTCTTCTTCAGGCTCGTTTCTTTTTCTGCTGCTTCTCTGACTTCTTCTTCTTATTCTTATTCTGCTGCTGCTGCTGCTGCACATCCCTGGGGCTTGTCCGGCCGGCCCCATCCCCATCCCATCATCGCATCGCATTTCGCAGGCCCTTGGGAACGCTACTCGACGGCTCCAGCAACGCCCGAACCATCCTTTCCACCTTACTTACTTATTTTATAATCTATTTGTTTATTCATACTCTTATAAAGTGCACAGGACTGCCCTCGCCCGGAGCCCTCCGCCTGTATCCTGCATCTGCTTCATCTGCTTCTTCTTCTTCTTCTTCTTCTTCTTCTTCTTCTTCTCCTCCTCCTCCTCCTCCTTCTCCGCTCTCGAAAAAGACGAGGCTGTCCCGTCCGATAGTTAGTTCGCTGCTGCGCTTGTCTCGTATACAGCCTTCCCGCCCGCCGAACGCTGCCACCTCGAAACCACCGGAGGATTTAACAAAAGGGAACGGACGAAGACGAGAGAGCCAGGGAAAAAGACAGCGAGTGCGAGAGAGTCCGAGATCGAGACTGGTTCATGGTGTATTCCTGTCCCGGCGTCCGCATCCTGGTTGTGTGTTCTCTGTGCTACGAGCCGGAGTCCCAGCATCTCGCGGGCTGCCCCCGAAGTTGGCCTGCAACTTGACTCCAGCATAAAACTGCATTCTTTTTTTTTAATTGCACCGATACGATACGACGTTTTTACCTGGTAGGCGCTGGCGTTTTGAGAGCGAAAGAGAGACCCGGAGACACAAAGAGGAAAACGAGGGCCTCGAGGAGCTTGCGCATCGTTTGCTAACTGTTGCTGTCTTTTCGTCGTAGAGGCCGGCACCATGGGCTGCATGAACTCGAAGGACATCAGCCCGGAGATGAAGGAGCAGGGGAAGCACAGCGCCGCCATAGACAAGGTCATCCGGGCAGACAAGAAGAAGTACGACAGGACGGTCAAGATACTGCTGCTCGGTGCGTATACAGCTGTCTACCTACCTACCTACCTACCTATCTACCTGGCGCAGCTAGCTAACCAGCACCCACAGGCGCTGGAGAGTCCGGCAAGTCGACCATCATCAAGCAGATGCGCATCATTCACTCCGGCGGATTCCCTATAGACGAGCGCCGGCAGACTCGGGCGGTCATCTACTCCAACATGATTGTCGCCTTCAAGCTGCTCATCGAGATAATGGAAGCCGAGAACATAAGCTTCGAGCATGAAGCTACGGAGGTATGCATGAATGACGATATAAGCTCGTGTCGTCCGGTTCCCTTTGTTTTGGTTCTTTGTTTGACTATTGCATATACATATATATATATATCCTACCTATGCCGAGCTAGCTCAGAACTAACGGCTAATTCCATTCACCAATCTAGCCCCTCGCCCACTTCATCCAGACCAGCGAAGCAGACGTCGAGTGCGATGAAGCCTTCACCGATATCAAAGTGCGGGAGGCCGTCAAGACAATGTGGGAGGATGCCGGCGTCCAGAAGGCTGTCGCCCGAGGCCACGAGTTCGCCCTCCACGATAACCTCCACTAGTAAGTTGGGCACGAATCTCTCTCTCTCTAACAATAGCCATTCTATTCTGCCTTTTTTTTTACTTTTTGATTTTGAAACTAGCTATTCTGACGGATTGCGGCAGCTACTTCAACTCGCTGGACCGGATATTCACGCCTGGCTGGCTGCCAAACAACCAGGACATGCTGCATTCCCGGCTACGGACTACCGGAATCACCGAGACCCTCTTCGAGCTCGGCCAGATTAACTTCCGCATGATGGATGTTGGCGGCCAGCGGTCGGAGCGTAAGAAATGGATCCATTGCTTCGAAGGCGTACAGTGTCTGCTGTTTATGGTAGCCCTATCCGGCTACGACCAGTGTCTAGTGGAGGACCAGACTGCTGTAAGTCGGCCGGACCGTTCTTTCAAAGAAAAAAAAAAAGCTACCGTGACAACGGCTAACCAGTTAACTTAACCCCCACAGAACCAAATGCATGAAGCTATGATGCTCTTCGAATCTCTTGTCAACGGCGAATGGTTCAAACGCAAGCCCGTCATCCTCTTCCTCAACAAGATCGATCTCTTCAAGGAGAAACTCGCCATATCGCCTGTCTCCAAACACTTCCCGGACTACAGCGGGCGAGACGGTGACTTCGAGGCCTCTGCAAAGTACTTCGCCGACAGGTTCAGAGGCATCACTCGTGTCCCCGAACGAGAGATATACACCCACTACACTAACGCAACTGATACCACCCTCCTAAAGGCCACCATGGACTCCGTGCAGGACATGATCATACAGAAGAACTTGAACAACCTGATCTTATGAAGGTTAAACTGACGACAATCAAACATGCCTGATATACTTGGCCTGCCTGTTCGAAGCTTCCTCCTTCCAGGCCTCGACAATATCGACGTACGACTCTTAACCGCCAGCCACACTCACCCAACTTGCGAACTCCCATCAGCCAACCAATCTACACAAAAACTACCAAAAGCAACAACTCTTGATTCGGTTTCGGTGACTACATTTTATTCTCAGTCCAGCTTACTACCCCCCCCCCCCCCCCCCCCCCCAACAACTAGTGTTTCCTTCCCAATAAATAAAATATTCCGCAAGTTTTAACCCCCAGGCGACCCCTCAACTATGACCCCCAGAAGGCCCGATATGATACCAGATATGTTAATTGTCGTCAGCTCTTCCCCCGGCTGCTGTGACGAGGCTGGAATTCCTCGGAAGAGATCTCTACCCTCTCTCTCACACACACATAAACTCGTCACTATATCCCAAAATTCCAAAAAAAAAAAGTGAACACTATTTCCTTTTATACCTCTCTGCTTTTGTCTTGTTTTTATCGTCCCCGCTTTATGTATGATGGTTGGTCTGTTTATGTTGCTGCTCTCCCTTTTCTTTTTCTTTTTCTGTTTCTTTTTTTTCTTTACTCTTGCCTACTCCACGGATCTTACCAATGCTTCAAACGTGCTACAGGACCATACGAGCGCTCTCTTTCTTTTGACATTTGACCGGTTGGAAAATCTCTTTTTGATCTGTGTTGCTATATATCCCCTTCTCGTCCACATTGCCCAGTTCCATCTCATTCTCCTTATGTGTTTCTTTTACTGTTTCTTTCCCCTCTTTTTTGCCCTCTTTCACCTCTATCTATCTGCCCAGGTCAGTCACCATCTATCCCCCGACCTGAATTTCCTACTCCTTGCCCCTTTCCTTTTTCTACTACCGCACCTTTTTACGAGACATCTGATATAGACAAAAGTCTACCCGTCGCCAACTCAACCAGCCAACCTGGCAGCCGTTATACTCGATAGTTCTTGGAGACAAACTGATCTATTTCATATCACACTCCCACCTGCGTCTCTTGCTGCTTCGTCGTTTTTTTGTCTATATGCCCTGCTACATACGTCCTCTTTTGATCTCCTACTGTTTCTGGCAGACCAGCCACTCAGTTGAAAATAGCTATATAGTAATGAACAGTTATCAGTCACCTGCTCGTCCATCTTACCCCTATTCTACTGTCTATCATCTGCTCTCATCATCTGTATACTTAGTCCAGCTCCAGCTCCAGCTCTAGTCCCGGGCGCTTTCATAGGTATAAAAATACCCACGTGACCATGACTAAGCATCGCGGCTTGTGACCGAACTTTCCATGCAAGAACTTCAAGTTGATCTTTTCGCTGCGAGCCGAAGGCAGAGCAAAGCAAAGCAAAGCATAGCAAAAGCAGTTCAACGACTTCCCGAACCTCGCACTGGTGTCTTCTAGCCCTCGGATTCGGGTTCTAGTGCTGCACAAGCCTGGCTCTTTTCACTCCCTCCCGCCTCCTCTGCCTGCGCTGGCTCTCCGGCTGGTGTTGAACGGCATCATGATCACCTCCTCTGTGCGCCGGGCGGCGTTGCCATCAACGGCCTCTCTACCGTCTCGAGCAGTGCTCCTGGCCGTTTCCTCGAGCAGTCCTGCTCCTGGCCCTACCAGTGGGAACCCTCCGTACCGCCATCAGCGTCGATACTCGTCCTCCAAGCCCCCTGTGCCTCCCAGTGACGGGTCCAGAGGCATCGATCCGCCCACCCAGACGCCGGCAAAGAGTGTCAGCAGCGGGCCATCGAGCAAAAAGGACGTAGAGAAGAGAGAAGGCCGATCGTCCAAGAAGCGTGCGGGAAAGGATGGCGAGACGGCAAAGTCCAAGCAGGCCAGCTCGTTGAAGTTGCCGAGTGTACCCTCTACCCAGCACCTGCATCCTCACGGTAAGGAAGCTCACACTCGGCCTTGAAAAATGAAAAAAATAAAACCCACCAGATGTGTGTAGCTTGCTCTGTAACTGACACTGATATTTTTTTTAGATGTCCACGTAGCTTCGTTCTTCTCTATCCACCGACCCATGTCAATAACCACTTCCGTACCTCCAAATAATAACGACAGCAAAACCTTCTCGGCCATCTTCTCTCCCAAGAAACAGGCTGCCGCAAGGCAGAAGGACGTGATATACACCCTTTCCTCCGCCGTTAACGCAATCGAGCAGAACCTCCCCGGTCAAAATCAGGCATCTGCCGAGGATATTGACTTCAGGAACGCCATCTCACAAGCTTCCTCCATCCACGCGGAGTCAGATGTCACCCATCTCGATGGCGTGCCCACCCAGGAACTACGAGCGTCCATTCAAGAGTTCGCTAAGCGCCTACGACCATTCAACCCACCTCCAGCCCCTACACCAATGGACGGGACTCTCGAAAGCATCGCAGGAACGGAATCTGGTGCAGACAAGGCCAGCTCCACACAGTCTGCCTCTGAAGCCGAGCCCAGCGAACAGACCTTTTCCACCGTTCTGACTATTCGTGAAAGCCGCAATGCAGATGGCCGCAAGTCGTACGAGGCATATGCTTCTCCCTTCGTCCGCATAGATGATATGGAGGCCCCCTCCGCCCAGGGTGAGTCATCCATCTACCAGGACCAAGAGACTAGTGACCGTTCCGTCTCGGAACCAAAGCAAAGCTTCCTCCAGCGAATGGTTATTAGGCAACTACAGTGGGAACGGTCCCAGGGCCAACGTCAGCGTGAGCGGATGTATACTATCAGCGTCAAGAGACAACGGAAGCTAAAGATGAAGAAGCACAAGCACAAGAAGCTGCTGAAAAAGACACGGACCCTCAGAAGGAAACTGGATAAAAACTAGAAACTCTCTTGTTTCCGGTTTTTTGTTCTTCTCTTGTGTCCTCGTTATATTTGTTTACCCCCCCCCCCCCCCCCCACGCCAGGTATCATTGCATATAATCGGTCTTTGGCCCCGTCTCCTTTGTTGCTTCTTCGTTACACCTTGTTTTTTCCTCTCTAGTTGACTTCCTATCTACTTATGCATATTATGTGTGTACCTTTTTTTTTTATATATCCGGCGTTCTTATCTCATTTTGATTCGAATGTCTTAGATAGTTCTCATCCATCCCATCATCTCCCATCTTAGATCATGCTGTTCTTTCGCTCGTCTAGGTAGCTTTTTTTTCAGCTTTTTCGACCATTTTCTACGTACATACACTTCAGGGAATGAAGAGCACATACAGATGATCACTCTTTCTAATCTTACTGGTATCAAACACCAACAGAGGTAGGAAGATGGAATTGCAGGTATGGTAGGAATCCCCGCTTTATAACCGCTATCTGTTATGATACAATTATCCGCACTACTGGTAAAGAGACGAAACGACAACTCTTAAAACATAACGAAATAACGTGAATACATGCGAAAAAAAAGTATAAGGAAATGGGGATTAGGATAGTAGATAACTAAGATGATGTTGACATTGAAACGGGATAGCTTGGTTTTCGGCTGCGTTTGTATCCAAATAGAGGTTCGATATCGGCTGGGACAGTGGGTCACGGAGCGATAGTCGATGATGGCGTTAACTTATATACCTTGTCGTAACTCCCTCCATCTTCTACCACACTGCCTGATGCCCTGTATTCGTCAAAGGGAGTTACGACTTAAAGATGCTCGTCGATGATATTTTCTGACTGCTCCCATTTAGCAGGTAGCTTCAAGACTGGCACGGGAGTTCATCAATAGAGCAACGATAAGGCCGTAAAGACCTAGTTAAATTGTTAACCAACAACGGCTTTTAGGAACAAGAGGGAAAAGTTATTAAAGGAAGATACTCACCCAAAACTTCAGCGAAAATGAGAATAAGAATCATACCGACGAAAAGTCGGGGCTGTTGGGCAGTTCCACGGACACCAGCATCACCAACGATACCAATGGCGAAGCTGCAGTACATAAAAAATACCCAGTTAGCATATAAACACGAAATCTCAACGCATCGTACCAAAGAGGTGAAGAACATACCCAGCAGCAAGACCGGCAAGACCGACAGCAAGACCAGCACCAAGCTGGACGAATCCAGTGTATAGTGGCAGGTTTTGCTTCAAGTCGTTGGCAATCAAGACAGACACGACCAATCCGTAAATACCAATAATACCAGCCATGACAATGGGGACAATGTCTACATCGTCGTCGTCAGTAAAGCTTATACACCAATACACCCGACTATACGCGCCGGATGAAGGACAAAACCGTACTCTTAACAATCATATCAGGTCTGAGAACGAGAGTGGAGCAAATGCCAACACCAGCCTTAGCAGTGCCATAGGCAGCGCCGAAGCAGGTGAAAATGATGGCGGAAGAGCATCCTAGCGCACCGAAGAAGGGCTATATGATATTAACGATATGTCAGCGTTTGATTGATGAAGTCTGATGGCGTCGTTTCGCATTCATGTGTATGAGCTGGATGCAAGCTCCCAGAATCGACGTTCGCCTGCGGTTTCGCGGACGACAACAACAGGTAATGGATTTTAACTAACCGCATATACGGGGCTATAAACACGTATCAAATAACATGATTAGCAAGATATCAACTATATTTAGACCGCTTTTCGGGTAATAGTAAGAGGAAAGGCGCTGGTCCTAAGACGCTCGTAACGAGCCAGGCAACTCACCAAAGATCGGTAGACATGTTGACGGCGGTGGGAAAGAGAGCTTCCGTAGGGGAGGTATTGGAGCTAGGAGAGAGGATAGAGACTGATAAAGCAACGATTCTCGAGACGGGCGAGGTGAGTCGAGGATTAATGCGAGATGGCGAGTTGTTTTCCTGCTTGACCCTTACAAGATGTTGTTAAGCTGAGGTTTGACTTTTGGGTCGTTGCTGGGAGATGCCAAGCGTCACGTGTGTATTATGCTGAGTCAGCTCTTACAGGAGCTCGATTGCCGATATAAAAAAGACGGTAGAACGGACCTGAATGTTGATATAGATGATTATGATATTTAGATGTTCTATTGTACATGTCTATAGTGTTACATTCTAAAGAAAGGCTCTTCAGACGGTATTTCAACTACCAGCCTCGCACCAGGGGTGTCAATTTTGGTGCCTGAGGCTTGGACCCGATCTCCCGTCAAATCACCCGCTGTCCTAGCATAGACCATAGATTTCTCGGAGGAAGCTCCGAACTTATTAGCCTCGACAATAATGTCATCTAGCTTCTTAGAACCATTCTGAAGCATCTCGCTGGGCAACGAGGCAGGAGCGTCAGTAGGAGCAGGTAGGACAGAGAAGTCCAAAACAGTAGTGTCTTTTGCAGTGTCTTTATGCATGGCCGAAGACTCCGATTGCAAAGTTGCCTTGGCTAGCTTATTATCCAAAGAAGCAACAAAGAACTGCACGATGTCGCCGGTCGTCACAACCTCCCGTAATGGACTCATCATCAATCCGTCAACGTCTGTGAATTTAGGTGTGTTCTCCAGCACGTTGAACAGAATGGCATCGTCACTATGCTTCTCAGAAACATCCTCGTCGAATATTTCGTGTATAGAGACAAGATTGGATATTGGCTCCTCGTCGTCATATGAGTACTCGGGATCAAGAGAGAGCAGGCCTTTCTTCTTGCCCCATCCACCTCCACCGCTCATCACACGGTAAAGTCGTGAACCCCTTTTCAGGGAAGCCGATATATCAATGCTGCTGCCAGATGGAGATCCAATATGGGTTCGCGCTATGCTCTTAGGCGTCACCATAGCCCACACAGCTAGTCTCTGACTCTCGAGTTTGTGGTCTTGAATATACTGTGGTATAGCCTTTTCTAGCTCTGCAGATGCTGGGACATCGTTCTTTAAACTCGACTCCTTGGAAACAGTCTTGAGTATATTACCCATACATTCTGCGACTATCCTGGGCTCGGTGACAGGATGCAACGGTGCGTCAAGAGACTTGAGCGTTGACTTCGTCCGTAGTTCAACCCTACATGTCCGAATGTCACGTCTATCCGTAATCCGAGGAACATCTTCAATAGACTCTGTAGACTTCCATCTCGATGCATGCATTGTATACGGCCTACCAGTGGTGAAAAGCGTGTTGGCCATGGGCATTCCAACTTCAAGCTCCGTACTTGTTGACGGGTCGCGGATAGAAATCGAGAGCTTCGGCTCAATATGAGAAGGGGAGATATTCTCGATGCCTCTTTGAGGCACTAGTTTTCCCGATATAGCGCCCCAGTTGACAATCGCCAGCGACAGTCCTTCCATACCATTATGTTTAATGTTGGTAGGGACAGGTAGTTTATCCACAACCGCTTCCACTGAGCATATTTCGAGGTTCTCGGCTGCAGCAGCTTCTCGGAAGCAGTGATGTAGTAACTTCGGGATGAATGTATGATCTTTTTCTAGCCATTGGGCAAATGCTGGTGTAACGAGGAGGAGAGGAACATGGCTGTCGGGATGGAGTTGGGAGCTGAATGAGGGGAGTTTTGATAGAATACTATCCGGGGTCTGCTTATCATTAGGCACAAAGAAAACGAAGAGTGCACGGGTAGTACATACCACTGCAGATGGGTTTGGAGTTAGCAACGTAGCAGAGCCTAGTATATTCCATTGGATATTGCCTATGCGTAGGGTCTGTCGTGTGGTAGCTGGAGCTGCCGTCTGAGAGAACCGGGCTATGTGTCGACCTTGCCGTGGGATTTCACTGATCGGCCGCCATGTTGTTGGCCCCCAACAGCATCGCAGGAAGGCTGACATGGACACGATGCCTCGAGGGAGGTAAAGGCCTACATATAAACGGGAGGAATGGAGCCTTTCCATCCATCTACATATTAAAAGTTGAGTTTTGTCACGAAATCTTTTGGAGATAGAAAGCCTTGGCGAGAAAGCTTGGCATTTTCATCGATGTTCAGCAAAGTACCAAACAAGCTTGGACGAAAATGCAAGATGCAACCCCATGCTCGTCTTTCACCCACTACCCACAATAAATCCCGAGGAGTTGGCTCAGATATATGCCCCTTTCTTTCTACCTTTAGCTAACTATTAAAATCCAACAGTACCGAATCTCACTCGTCCCGTGTGATCATCACTCGTACGCGCTTCGTTCCGTTCTTTGGGCACGGGACAAATCGATCATAATATACCTCTACATCCTCCTTTGTGCACTGAAACAACCTCATTCTACCCCCAAGGCGCCTGATCAGCAGTCCAATACCCATGTAGAGTTCTGCATGTGCTAAGCTGTTTGTTAGTAGCAAACGTGTTAGCAAGCGAGGCTAAGAACAAAGAGTTTGTGTGAATATTTTCGCTGAACATACTTGATTCCAAGACATTGTCGGCTGCCCTTTGAGAAATTTAACAAGAACTCATCTAGCCTCCTATGGCGTTTGCCATGTTCATCGAGCCATCTCTCCGGCCTAAAAGTGTAAGGGTCTGGAAAGATGTCCGGATTGAGATGTACCAAGACAGCAGTCATTCCGACCGGCGTCCCCTTTGGAATATCAAACTCCACCCACTCAGTGGTTTTAGCAGAATTAGCATACCGACTTCCATGTTTCGGTGCCTTGAAATGCATGGGCCCAACCGGATTGATGCGCTGCAATCTTGTGCTTAAGCCGTATGAGAGACGGAAGCCTTCGGATATTACTGCATTTAAATATGGAATGTTCTCGAGCTCAGTCCAACTCACGCGTTGGTTAGGATCGGGTATAGCAACGCTTAACTCCTGCCGTAGCCTGGACAGGATCTCCGGGTTGTCAAGGATATAGAAAAGAGTAGCTGTTAATGCCCATGCAGTGGTCTCTGTCCCGGCGCCAACAACAAGTTGGCCTTCCTGCCAAATCCGATTGAGCCGCTTCTCTTCCTCAGGCAAAGGGCCGGTGAGTAGCTCATAAAAGATTGTACGGGATGCAGATTCTGGCTTTTCCCCCCGAGCAATTTTAGCCTTCTCATTAGCAAGCTCTACGCGCATGTCCTGCTGGAACTTGGCGTACTCTGCTGCTTGTGAGCTGATGTATCGTAGCAGACACTGTGGCAAGGCATTTATGGTGGGTAAGATCCATGGAAACTGCTTCTGCCATACTGCTATGAGACTCCCGGCAGAGATGGCATCGTGAATATTTGGCTCAAAGGTAGGGGAGTCAAGGAAATTGTAGCTTTTGGCGAAGGCGTACTCGGTAACGACATCGGTCGTCATGCAGCTAAAGGCCGTGGTCAGGGTAACTGGTCCTATAGTCTCTGCATGTCTCTCAAGCTGGCTTGCTAGTTTCTCAACCTTTTGCTGGATGATAGGCTCTAATTTAGTGATGGCGGCCTTTGAGAAGAAATGACTTAGAGCATTGCGGCGTAGACGATGCAGGTCATGGCCGGGGGTACCCCCTACACTATCACGAAGCCCAAACTGGGCGCTGTAAAAGGGGTATTTGTCTCGCCGTTTACCTGGGCCGGAATATAGCTCACTGATAAAACCAGGGTCGTTTACGTGCAGTTCATCCGGACTGATGCGAACAATGGGTCCGTACTTTTCGTGCATGCGCTGGATCTCAAAGGTATAACGTCCCTTCCGGATACCATCGTGGAAGAACTCGTACCAGACGGAGAGAGCAGCGATCTTGGGCCCCGGGTATCCAGCCAGAGGATGTAGGAACAGCCGGTAGACGGCAAGGGAGATCAAGTATAGCAGGAAGACCGTACCCAATGCCGTAACCGGGTACTCCGTCGCTAGCTTCAGCGTGTTTGCTAAGACAGAAGTCGTCATGTTGACTTGCTATGTGTGTCTCTGGTGGAAATGGGGTAGGTCAAAACTGAGCCGTGCGCAAGGCAGCTTGTCTGGCTATTTATCCCTTTTTCCATGCCTTAGTTGGGTGTTGGGGTTTTTTTTTCCCTCTCTTTCTAAGCCATGGGAGAGATATATACCTTCACCGTCATAGCTTGATCTTTCAGTCCAGATTCGAGGGAATTAAATCATGGTCTTCCCCCAATCAGTCGCTTCCTGGTAAATCCAGCGCCATGTGTAACTAGTCCGGGGCCAATGATTCGCTGTCACTTGCATGTACAGCTGCTGGGATTTCTTTGTTCCATCCTTGCTGCTCTCAGGCCTCGCGACCACTATATTCCATCGTCACCCTGGTAATCCCTCTCTCTCTCGAGGGGGGGGAGGTTCTTCCAAGGAAGTCCGACAGCTTGGGACGGCCTATTTTTGAGAAAAGGATGCCAGGTATCTGTCTGCGCCGATGTCCTCCCATCGAGAAAACACGCATGCTGATTGCATTACGCATGGACCAGGTTGACGGATACGCTGGGTCTCAGCTGTATAAGTTATCTGTGTATCCAGTGGTTCCGTATGGCTGATAACTCGACAAGCTGGGTATCCGGTGCTGACTTGCGAGTTGAGTCCGGTCTTCCTCGCACAACCAGTAGTTGCATAGTTTAGTTGACTCCTGACATAGTGTCAAGAAACACCATCTCTTCTGATAACCTAGACCACGCGCGATAATAGTGTATCTAGACGAAGAGCAAGGACATGACCGTTATCCAACTGTATCATCCATCTGGCCAGGCAGAGGAATAAAGAGCAATCGTGTTTATTCCAACCTTATAACGGTCGACAATGAATGGAGGCTGCCAACCATCCTTTGGCCCGCCCGGCGCCTAGCTCACGTGAGCGGAAGTCGGAACATCAGACTCCGCCTAAACGGTTAAGGTAGCCGCGGCCGGCAGTCCCGGAAGCTGGGCAAGTGAGAGTTTGTAAGTAAGGAAAGAGCGAGTTGAACTTGTTCCAGTAGTTTGTTAAAGGTGTTATTGGTATTATTATTATTATTATTACATCAGCAACATCAGAGAGATGGCGCCTGACAGCCTGACAGCCAGGCCAGGCACAAGCTCAGCGCTCAGCCCTTTGTCGACCCAGAGGTCGGACATCCGGCTCGCAGCCTTAAAAGCAGGACAGGGCTGGAGAATCAGACGTCAGAGGCCCGCCGTCATGTGGCAGCCATATAGTGGCTTCGGCGCCGTTGGCTTAGCGAGGAGACCCCGTTACTATGAATACACTCTATTGTTACTGCGCATCAACCCGCTCCCCATGCTCGACGAATGGCCTGACGCCCGCCTTGTTTTGGTTGCTTGGAACTGACGAGAAGCGACGCTGCGAGCTGAAGCTGAAAGATGACGTAACCCGGCGAGGGGTCGATCATTACGCAAGAGCCCCCGCGACCTGGAGGTACCTCCTTGTACACACAAATTCTGCAGTAGCCGAAAGTACCTCGAGGTCACGCCTTATCTAGCAGAGCAAAGTTGGGCAAGCCCGCTTCGGCTTAGCGTCTTGCTGCGCGGCCGCTGGTTGGCCAGCTCTGCTGACTCATTAAAGCTTCCTGTGTTTTTGCTCTTGCTTTCTCGCAGGGCCCGAAAGCCGCTGCCTGGCTTTTTCCCTGGTTGAGCCCAGCGCGCGCGCGAGAGAGACGAACTAGCTTTTTTGTTCACTAACTGAACTAGCTTAAATACCTGCTTGTCCGACGCTTCCCTTTCTTCCTCCTCCTTCCTCCCCCCCCCAAAAGCATTCTCTCTCCTCCGTCGACGCTCTCTCGTTTTACTGCCATCCATCCGTCTGCTCTCTGGCATCCAGTGCAGCCGCTATCAACATCAAGTTCTGCGTCTCTTGCTCCCTAGATACTCTCGCTCGTCCAAGATGGCCTTTACCGCTTCGTAAGTCGCTGTTCTCCCCTCTGTTTTGCTTTTTCAAGCTTGAGACGACGACTGACCTCTTCTGCCTCAACAGCGACATCTGCAAGATCATCCTTGCTATCATCCTCCCGCCAATCGGTGTCTTCCTCGAGAGAGGCTGCGGTGCTGATCTCTTGATCAATATCTGTTTGACCATCCTCGGATACATCCCTGGTATCATCCATGCTCTGTCAGTATCCCTCTTGTCCGAGTCAAGGAAGCATCAACAACGACAACATAAAACCAAGCATAAAACTAACACGAACATAATAGATACATCATTCTCAAGTATTAGAGTCTGTCGTCTGAGATCGGGCTCTGAGTGAAACTCGTCGCGGCCTCATCTTCACGGTGGATCCAGATGACCAGTTCGATTGATGCATGCATGTCTTGACAAACTTGGATACGACAGACAAGCAGCTCCATCTACCGTCAAAACATGACACGAAGGATGTCCGCGAACAAAAGAGAGCCTCTCTCGGCCCAACTCTTTCGGCAACTTGGTGTTATACCACGGTCTTATTATTAATTAAATGCTTGATAACCCCCCTTAACCCTCTCGTTAATGACGTTTAATAATACCACATCACAACAACAACAAAAAAAAAAGAACGAAAAAAGACAAGAAAAGGAAAAAAAAAAAAAAAAAAAATAAACGAGAGAGACTGGACCCCAGGATCTCTCCTCTTCCGGATGCTAGTGATGGATTTGATTTGATTTTTTTTTTCCCCTTCACTCTTGCTCTTTTGTTATACCCTCTCTATGGTTTCCCCTTCCCCCCCAATGATACCACGCCTCATGTTGTACATTGCTGTTCACTCGGTTTTGTTCATGTCTCTTGGAAGGGATCAATCTGGTTGTCTTGAAATCGGTTTTTCACCTTTCATTCTCTCTTATTCTGTTTACTTGGCCCGTCCATCGTCTTCCACCCTCTGTTTAGGCGTGTCTGGTTTCGCCTTTGTGAACCCTATTCAGAATCAAGTATCATAGAAAAGAAAGAAAAGAAAATCAAGGAGATCCCTTTTCTAACCTTTTTTCCCTTTTTTTTTATTCATCTCCCTCTTCATCTACTTGCCGCTTGCCGACTTTTCTCACTTGAGACCTGGGAGCTGTCTCCTCTTCCTATCTCAAACGGCGGTGCCCACATGTATATGTCGGAGGATGTAAGATGTTCGTGTCTTGTCCATCCCTGGCGCCAACCCTCGGGAGGTGCCCCAATCAGGAGTAGTAATAGACTTTTCCAACGGCCATACTCTACTTAGGTCATATTTCGTAAATACGGGTAGCAGCTCTTCTTCTGCTGTCGATGGCAGCAAGATAGGCAACGTGACTACGCTCGAGTGAGTGAGATGCGGTATATAATAACAATAACTTCCCCCCCGTGATACTTATTCATCTACATATACGAGAGATATTGAGATCGACGACGGGGATGACATGCATCTCATCTCATCTCATCTAACTTCATCTCTGGTTCAGGCACATTACATACTCAAGTTCCTTGCAGTTCGTTCCCTTTTGCTCTCTCGTACCTGACCTATCTCCGAACCATGGGTCCAAGTCTAAGAGGCATGGCATGGGGCTCTTCCGTTCCACCGAAACTGTCAAAGCAAAAAAAAACAGAGTTGTCATGGCATGGCATGGCAAGAGGCGGGTAATTCCCAAATAATATCTCCAATTTAAAGAGAGCAAAAAAAAAAAACGAGTCCACTAAACGATGGAGAATCCTCGTTAAAAAAGCAACTACATGATCAGCCGGGAAGGATATGCAAGGCCGTCCACTTGGTTCGTCGTTAGCTGGCCAACTCTCCTTTTCTCCGGGAGCACCGTGGTGAATCAAGTCGACCAGACGATGTTATCTTTCTTATCCCCCGCAGTGACACTGACGCTTCGACAACAGCTTGCTCGGCGTTAGGGAAGGATTAAGAGTAAACCGTACGGAGTATCTAACTGCGAGCTACCTAACTGCGGTTCCGGTCGAACCGATGGTTGAGAAGTTGACATCTCTTGGAAAGCTACGGAGTATCCTAGTTAGGTACGGAGTACTTTAGTCACTTTTACCACTTTCACGCTCCGTATATCAAAGTCTCCCTCCAGGCCCGTGCGACAACCACAGGCTAAGCGAGAAGAAGACGAAGCCGAAGCCGACGATGGAGGAAAGACGAGAGAGGAGAACTTGGTCCAGGCTAAACTAGCTGGGCTGTTAGTGAGTCTGCGGCGAGGGACAGAGATCGTGTCCCGTCCGTGATATCAGGCAGCCAGCCAGAGTCAATCGATCGATCATTTAGCGACAGAGCGAACCGCCAAGCGGGAAAGGAAAAGAAAAAAAAAAGGACAGATAAAAAAAGAAAAGAAAAAAGCAAAGACGAAGCGTCAGAGAGGCATCGCGGCGGCTGTCGATGGCCTTTTCCTGATGGACTGGGAGGGAAGACGAAACACTCTGCGCTCCGCCCTGCATGTATCATTGCTCAGTCCACGACACAATTTAACACGACCCCAGGACACGGCGTCACGAAGGGGCCAGTTCTGTTTTTAGCACCCCAGCCCCCGAGTCAGCAGTCGAGACAAGGCCACCTCATCATCTCATCTTTTCTTCTGCCTGCCTGCCTGCCTGCCTGTCTCCTCTGGTTCGCTTGTGCTCGCATCCGCGCCTTATTCGACTAAGCCCCGGGCCCAGTGTTCATCCATCCACCTTGCAAGCCGCCCACCCTCAACCGTCCTGACTCCTGCACGACATCGTGGACACCCAAGGCTCAGGCTCGTGTGATAACGATAACTAACGCACCACGCCCTCTCCCCCTACTGCGTACTGGGCTTTTTCCCTCCTGGCTTCCCTCCCCTGGGCTGCCTGTCAAGCGTCTTTGGCTGGGAGCTCGTCTCAATATAAAGCAAACCGTCGCGCAACCACGTGACTCTAGCGACCTCCTTAATAACACGAAATGGAGACGTTTCAGCGCTTAGCTAGCAGAGCGAGACAACCAACGACCAACGACAGCGAGGAGCAAAAAGGTACGCCGACGGAGCAAGCAAAGAGCACGTCGGAGCTTCGTCCTGCTTTCATCCAATCCACGGTCTCCGCTGGCCTTTTAGAGTGGTTTCACCACTGCACCACTTAGCACCGGAGCTTACTTTCTGGCCATGCAGAATATGGGTAGTCCTCCCTCCCTCCCTCTCACACTCTCACACTCTCGCTCTCTCTCTCTCTCGCTTTCTCTACACGGCACCAGGGAATGTGAAAAGCAGAGCCTGCCTTGGCCTACTGAACCTTTTCAGGTGATGTGCGGGCAGAGATGGTCTTTCCACTGATCCGTACGGATCATGCAAGGTGGGATAGTTTGTTAGTACTCAACTATCCGGCTTGCTTGCGTTCTTTTGCTGGCTCTGCTGTTGCCCACCTGCCGCCTGGACATCCACTTGAGTTAGTTAACCGCCCCGGGCTGGTTGACTTTATCAGCCCCTTGCAGCTGCAGCTACGGGGCATCCCTGCTTGGTTGGCAGTGTGGGACACACACACATACTCTCTCTCTCTCTCTCTCTCTCTTCGTTCTTGACGGAGGTTGACCCTCTCCGTCGTATTTTCTTTTTCCGCCTTTTTTTTTCTCTCTCGTTCCTTTTGCCTTTCCGGGGGTGGTTCATGTATCATGGCCGTTTCCGATGAGGGCAAGTTAATTAGTATGAAAACCACTCCCATGGCCTTCATATGATGGCCGTCTTGGCCTCATTTCTCCGTCCTGCAAAAGCTCTTCTTCTCCTCTCTTCTCTTCTCTCTTCCGGGTCTTACTCTTACTTCTTACTTCTCATTCTCTCTCTACATCTCTCTTTCTTTTCCATATACATACTAATATTCTGTTTCTCTTTCATTTATACCACCTACCTTCTCCACAGGGACCATACATTCTTTACTCCCTTTTTTTCCCCCCTTCTTAATCGTTTCATAATTCAACTGGGATTCTGGACGCGTGGAGAGTAATAATACATATGGTATATACGGAGTACCTCACAGCACTGATTAACGTGTGAGTAATCGCATCAGTGCTGGGTCCGGTGCAGCAAAAAGCCAGCCCATATATTTTTTTCCCTTCAGCCCCTTGGGTTAATCAACAACTTACCAACTACAACCCCCAAAATACGCCGGGCTGATAGGACGTTTACGCGGGACGTGGATGACTATGCAGCGGAATCTCTGGAGTTTGCATCTGCGGTCACATTAAGATGCCAGCCTATCCCGCTGTGCCGGTAGCAAACAGTTTGTTGACTTTCCTATCCGCCGCCTCTGCCGCCGCAGCCACAATTACTAGCATCATCACTACGACTAGGAGCTCGTCATTATCTTCATCGTCACCTTCAGTCTTCTCTAACCTGCGCCAGAACCTGGAACTGGACCTTGGCCGGAAGTATAAGCAAGTGCAGGCACGTAATCAAACACCAAAGTTACTCAGCAAAAATGTTCCAGCGTGTGCTCTGCCCTGTCTCGAGGCCTTCATATCATCAGAGAAACCTTGGGAAGGGTGTCCAGAACCTCTCGATGTCAACTGTCTTTGCAAATCCAGATCAACGACGGGATACACTGTTGCGGAAGCCGCCTTGCGTTGTGTTGCTGAAAACTGCCCAAACTCCGAAGTAGAGCAGCACGCAGTCTACGCTATATGCTCCGGCGTTGAAGGTGCCCTGCCAAATACCCATACCGTGATAGGGATATCCTCAACTGCCGCTCCTAAACCAAGTTCAATGACTCCTCAACCTCCGACCATGACCTCCGCAGCACCCAAGGAGCCTGCCCCAGCTCCTCCAAATCCGACTCCTCCAACTCCAGCACCAGCACCACCTCCGCCAGTATCAGATACAACCATGTCCATGATGGCAACATCGACACAAATGTCTCTACCGCAGATCACAACCTTACCCATGACTTCAGTGACCCGAAGTGGTATACCAGGTGTAGGTATTCCAACGGACACAATCGACTTCACCTTCGTCTACTCGTCAGAAACAGGGTCGGCATCAGCTACTGGCGAGCCAGGCGCTGGAGCCAACTCGAACCAGCTAGTCGGCCTCTACGTTGGTGGTGGAATTGCCATGGCATCTCTCATTACACTTGTACTATTCTTTATCTTCCTAAGCAGGCGCAGACGGAGAGCCAAACAGGGGCAGGAGAGCGAAAAGGGACAGCAAGGGCGGTATCATAATATCGATCGTGCCATGAGTGATTCGAGAACTACGCCTGCCTTGAGCCTATCGAAATCTTCTTCTAACAATAGGAGTATATCGTCTCGACCACGAACATTGCTACCTATCGATATGATGCCATGCTCGGTTGCATATCTTCATCGGTCTACTAGGGACTTGGAAAATGAGTACGCAAGCTCTAGAGGGCATAGCGCGGCCTCGCAACGAACACAATCAGACCTATTGCCGGACAACCCTCACAACGGCAGTTCAGCTGGCTCTCGCGGAGCAGAGAGAGAACGTGTTCACAGTCCGTTTGGAGACGCCTGTAGCAACCGGGGGCCTTCACCCAAGAGCATATCGCAGTCGGTGGTTGATCCACTCCGCAGCGCGTCCTCGCTCAACTACAGCCCGGCATTGGTGCAAGCCAACCAGAGATCCACTCAGAGCCCACACAGCTTCAATAGTGGGTTTGGATATGCTACCAACAGTCCTAACCGAAGCCAGAGTCTATCCCCTGATTCTAGGTTCCTAGCTGTGCCGTCGAAAGTTCACGCCGCTCAGGGACGAAGTCCGACAAACTCCAGGGACCAATTCCAACCGTCTATGACCAGCCACTTGGCTGCTCCTTCATACAACCCCGAACCGTTTTCATCCAGGAGCATACACTCATACACTAGCCATATACCACGCCAGCTCAGTCCCGTGCGAGAAGTGCCCAGCACTGGGCCCCCCAGTTCAGCGGGCACACCCGATATCCCGCAACCTGCATATTACCGCTCAGGGCACCTATCCGCCTACGCTGAGAGTGACGACGCTAGCGAAATGTCCGTCCAAACCTACTCCAAGCTTGTCCCTCCACCCCTATCAACCCACAACATAGTCCCAGGCAACTACCTCACCGAAGCGTTACCTGACCACTCCCCAACCCTCCCCAAGGCCATGCTCGCCGGCTCCGTGTCCTCATGTTGTTCTACACCGCGAAGCAGCATAGAACACAACCCAAATAACCTCCGTCACCAAACGTCAACGGCATCAAGCAAGAAGCCAAGCAGCCTTCTCGTCAAACGCCGAGGGGAGGAGGTAGCGGGTAAAATGGGCAATGAAATCACGCTTCCTGCAAAAATACAACGGCCAATCGAGATTGAACATGATCAAATTCATGAAGATGACGACAACAATTCTATCCGCTCGTCCTCGTCGCTGTCTCGCTCGAATAGCAACGCACTCTCTCGTTCGAATACTCTTTCCCGTCGCATGCACGATAATACCGCTGCACCCACCGCATCCTCTTCAAAGGGGTACAATAAAGTGACACCATCAAAGCGCGGCGGGGATATGTACCTCAGCATCGAATAATATCCCTCCCTTTCCACCGACATGGTTACTCAAGTTTAGCTCCTTTTTAGCCCTTCTGACTTTTACCTCTTCTTTCTAACTATCACTACTTCTCCTTTTCTTACTTGGTTACGCATGGGTGGCGCTCTTTGACTTTTCATTTTTTTTTTGATTCTACACTTCTTCTCATTTCTCAACTTCTTCTCTTCGTTTGTAGAACTATACCACGTTCTCCTTCTTCCTTTGCTCCTTTTCACTTTTACTTTTTGCCTTCAGCTCTTCTCTTCTCTTTTTTTGGCTTAGCCTGATTCGGTTACCCCTTTCAGTTTCTGCTGTCCTAGAACCCAGCTGTTGCCTGCCCTTTTTTTTTTACTTTCTTTTTGCTTCCTTGCTTGCTTCGAGTTTTACATGTTTATCTAATGACACGGCACTAACTGACGGCAGAGCCTTGCTACATACCCGCCTATCCAAGGCATGAAGACGTCTGTTTCCCTTGTTTTCACTTCTTTTATCCGTTGCCTGGCCTGGCCCCTGCCATCAGGCTACTCCCGCTCCGCCTTGAGCGATCTGCACATTTCTTTTTTGCCCCCAATTTTCTTACTACTTAACTAGCACTGTGGATTGGTTAATCATGCTACATACAACCCATACATGTACATAGGAGCGAACATTCAGCCAAAAGGAAAAAGAATGCTACAAGGATAACCAAATCTAAAATTCACGTTGCGTAAGACTCGTTTCTATATAAGTCATCATACGATGGGATCCGTTTGGTAGTGGTGGCGTTGTTTTTGACAGCTAACTGACAAGTTAGTTTGATGCCTGTGATCGGCTCAGCCGCCTTTGCCGTTGCCAAGAAGAGACTATTTTTAGTCCCTCAATGTTCCTGCCTGCTGGAAAGAAAGGCTATTTTATCATTTTTCCATCGCACCGTTTGCTTGGACGCTCTTGGAGAGCGAGGCCTTTGGGCTGCGCTGCTGCTCATACCACTTCTCCGTCCGCCCTGGGCGCGTTTGTTAGAGCTGGGCAGCGAGCGGCCTGAGGACGGACTACCCGGAGAGAGGCAAAAAAGGAACTCGAGCTGACTGCAAAATGTAACTAACTAAGGCGCGGGGACGATGTCTGTTGCTGACAACAAGCTTCATTGTGCAGAGTAAACTAACTAGTTGCTGTCCTTGGTGGGGGCGGTCTTTTTGCTGATGGTCTGCGGAGCTCCTGGCAACAACTCACGCCCTTCTGGGATAGGGGGTAAATCAACGAAAACCAACTATTATTTATATCATTTTCATATCACATGAAGAGGTGAAAGGCTATGAACTGAACCGAAACAGTCTTGAGTGCGGTGAAGAGAGCATCCCCGGGAAGACATTAATAATAGAGTGAGGTAAGAGAGAGGGGGGAGTCATTAAACTAAACATGCTGCTGCGAAAAGGGAAGAAAGTCACTACAGCTGAGACTTCTTTCCAGCCTTCTCGATCTCCTCCAGGATGGTAGACTTGAGCGACTCTGGCTTTGTGGTACTCGCCCATCGGCCGACGACCTTCCCGTCCGCATCGACCAGGAACTTCTCAAAGTTCCACTTGACCCTTTTCAGGCCCATGAGACCAGGCATCTCCTTCTTCAGCCAGTTGAACACCGGCGCAGTGTTATCGCCGTTGACGTCTATCTTGCCGAGCACAGGGAATGTGACGCCGTAGTTGACCTGGCAGAAGGACTGGATCTCATCGTTGCTTCCGGGGTCCTGGCCGCCGAACTGGTTGCACGGGAAGCCTAGGATGGTGAATTTATCTGGGTGGGAGGCCGTGATTGACTTGTAGAGCTCTTCAAGGCCGGCGAACTGTGGTGTAAAGCCGCATTTTGACGCGGTGTTGACAACAAGGACTACTTTGCCTTTCAGCGAGGCGAGCGGGAACGGCTCCCCTTTCTCTGCAAGTCATACATGCATGGTTAGTAAGGTAACTAAATGGCGCATAACTAGCGGGGAGGATGCTGCAAAGGAGGAATAAAGGGCATTTTGGGTGTTGGTGTTGGCATCTGGTGTTGTTGTTATGCTGCTGGTGCTTACTATCAACTGGCTCGAAGTTGTAAAAGGACGTAGCCGACGACATCTTTGCGGAGAAGACCCGAGTATGCGGCGGGGAGGATAGCAGCGTTCTTGTCGTTGCGCTTCGAAGGTGGCTATGAGGCCCTGGCCCTGGCTGCAGCGACGACACGCCGGCTTTATATGGCAGCTTAGTGCTCGACGGACGAAAACGGAAGAAGTGCCAGGCAAGCGCTGGCCAGGATGTAGCTCATCTGACCCCTGCGCTTAACTCAGCTGAGCGAAACTTTAAAAATTTACGTAAGATCTTATGTAATACAGCTGAGGTGACCTGACCCAATAAATTACAGACTTGTAATAGAGGTGTATTAGGATTAGGGGGTTAGGTTAGGGGGTAAGGGTTTAGATTAGGGGACTAGGGAGTATATTTAATAAGTAGTTAGAGAGTACTTTATAACTAATCTGGGACTAGCTACTAACTAGTTATTAACTAGTTAATAACTAATAGTAAGGGTTAGAGTTAGAAATATTGTAAAAGATTATACCTTTATTATAAGTGTAATTTATTAGGTCAGGTCACCTCAGCTATATTACATAAGATCTTACGTAAATTTTTAAAGTTTCGCTCAGCTGAGTTAAGCGCAGGGGTCAGATGAGCTGTAGCCTCAGCGCTGGCCGGCGCAGCGTCATCGTCATCGCGACTAACTCATTTTTCTGTCTTCGTTCAGCGCTCTGCGTTGCTTGGCTGGAAGGGAAGTCGAGCAACTGCCGAGGCATTATTGCCTGATGCGGATGGCGCTGGCGCCGCTTTCAGAAGGGCTTATGTAATGCAGATTGGCCAGGCTTTCCCCTTGGCGACGACGACGGTTGCGGCAGGAGTAATTCAGATACAGACTCGTATTGGATTCTCACTAGAGCTCGACGGCCGGAAGGCTGATATCAAAAGAAAGTAACTACATAGCTAAGTTACAGGCCCTAGTCACCACTTCTCACGTAGACAAAAAAAACATCCCAGACCAAAGAGGTTAGCTGGCTGCCTGGTTAAAACACAGGAGCGACGAGACAAGAGACCATTCAGACGTCCTCAGACTTGACTTCCTGCTTAACTTCCTGCTTGCTCTCCGTCTTCACTTTCTTGGAGCGGCGGTTCTTCGTTGGGGTCGCGGAGTCAGGGACAGAGTCAGCCTGGGCATCATCAACTTCGGCCCGCTCACGCTTTGCAGACGCAGGAGACTTCGTCGGAGTTTTGGCATCCTTCATTCCACCCTTAGATGGCGTAGATGGGTTGGAACCAGAAGCCTTGTCTCCAAGAGTCTTGGTTTTGATGAACCAAATTTGGTTTTGGATGGACTTGACATTGTATTCTGGCATTTTGCTTTAGTCACCCCTTTTCAATGGAATAGAAAGATGTAAGACGTGACTTACCAGGGCCCATGTAATCAGAAATGGCCTTATAATCGATCTTTCCCGTGCTTGTTTTTAAGATGGCGATTAACAACTGCGAGTTCGCCGTTAACAAGCGCGTATATAACGCTGTGTTCGTCCTTGAAGAGTCATACCTTAGCCCTTGCGGCATCATTCCACGTTGCAGGCATGTTTGCGAGGTCCTTTTTCAACGTCCTAACAGCTGAAAGAAAGTGGGAATTCGATCCTGATAGTGCAAATGGATATCGAGTCAAATGTCAAGGGTAGCCAAGGGAGGGAAAGAAGGGGAGGAAAAGAAGGAGAAGAAGAATATAAATAAACAAAAAAAAATTTTTTGCCCTTAATGATCGCATCGTGTTACGCGGACAACGACGCATAACTAAAGGACATATTAGATGTTGAAGCATAAAAGAAATAGAAGCATAGCAATAAGGATACAGAGCATTCAACTTAACAGATAAAGTGATCCACATCACGGGCTGTCCTATGATAGTGAAAAAGGTCCTATTACATAGATAGGTTTAACATAGATTTAACCTTCATAGTGAGAACATATAACCAGGGGAGATCTGACTATATATTCTCCTTGAATTAAGGGTATCTCAGCCTCCGAATGGTACCTCGACATCTGAATTGAACTCTAGCTCTACACGGGTAGAAGGCTAGAACTAACGTCATTTATTAATGGAGGGTAGTCTCGCTTTCCCCTTTTCTAGAGGAAATACCCGTGCAATTGTAACTATTTGCAAAGGTTATCTGCTTCCTTGGAATAGTATCCATTAGCTGGGTATAGCTAATGTTTCCACCAATCTTCTCATTATAGTGCTCGGCGGTCGTCTAATCTAGGATATAAGATTCTTCTGGGAGCTGTGGCATAAAAGGCATCTATTCCTCATAATCTCAGGGAGCTTACGCACACCCCAGCCCATAAGCAGGTAGATGATAGATAGATAGGACCGTAATATTTGGTAGTTATAGTATCAGTCCTATGAACATACCAATATGTTAGTGCATTCTAATGACAATGCAAATGGAATGAGGAGCACATACAGCTTTTATACGAAGCTTTATTTTGTGACTTGATAAATGTATTATCGACAAAACCCTCCTGCTATGATGAAACGTCAGAAGAGCTGCCAACACAGGGCTTTTTGACACATGTAGAATAGCAAGGCCTCGCTCGCTAGGTGGGACGGAACATAGAAACAACCCTATATAGAGAAGCAAACTGTATAGATTCTGCTCAGCTATAAGTGGCAGGAAGCTGCCATCTCTGCTGTTGATGAATTCTGAAGAAACAGTAGGTGCTTTCTCTGGTGTGAATAAGGATAAGAAGGAACAGGACCCAAGTGTAGGCGCAAAGAGCGAGTCATGTGACAACATCTTTTATCCAATTCTTCCTATTTCCGCTGAACTCCAACAACACCTCCAAGTTCTAAACGAAGTGAAAACGCCGTCTACAACCCTTTACCATCATTCCGCACATGATAAGCCATTCAAATCATATACAAATGTCCTCAAAATATCTGTCATTTCTCTCCTTTCCCCATAGAACCTCTATAAATACCGCGCGGATAAGTGATATGGACCAGGTTTTCATGACCCTAACCAGGGGCGATGGGAGTGGATTCTTAAAACAAAATATCGGCAGCCAAACTCCTAACATGACATGGGGTGAAATAATGCAATGCATGAAAATGCAGATAAGGCGGCGTCCAACGCCCCCGGCATAATCAGCAGAAAAGGAGTGAGCCGAAAAGGAAAAAGGGGTCGTCAATATCGTCTCAGAAAATAGAAATTGCAACAAAAGAAACAAGGCAGTGAGAAAAGAAGCTAGTATCACAGGAGGCCATTATTTCAAGGTCCTCGAGCCCCCTCCTCGATTGTTGGGAGCTAGGTATCTTGATGACTCTCCTACTCAGCCTCTGGCTTTTTGGGTTCGGTCTCCTCAAGAGCTTTTTCGAACTCCCTCTTCATACCAAAGTTAACAGCGTCAAGCACGTTGGGAACGATTTTCTTTGGTGCATAGCGTGGGGTTGTCCCCTTCTCATAGACTCCTGTTTCAACCAGAATCGAGTACCAGAGAGTCTCACTCACGTCGGACTCGTTGTACTCGTTTGTACCACGGATATCCGATTCAGGGGTGTCCCCAACGAAGTACACTGTCTGCGGTGGGGAGTTGATGCCATGGGTCTCCTTTCGCCATTGCTGCAGAAGTCTTGTGGCAAACTGGAATGTGCCAAGTTGAGGCTTGCCGAACGCAATGGTTTTTAACTCCTTTCTGGTGACGGCCTTGAAGAGAGCTTCGACAGACGCTCGGAGAGCTCCCATACCGATACGGGTATGCTCGTGAGATGTTGACCAGACGATATCATTGTGGGAGAAGTATACTGGTGGGCCCTCCTCGAAGGTCTCTGAGCGTGTGCCTATCTTGCCGCCCTTGGACATGCACAAGTCAAGGATGATCTGCTGATCACCAGCCCAATCCCTGCTGTCTGCGAACACAAAAATTGCTTCGATGACCAGATTGTCAAAGTCGCGAACACGGGAGTTCTTGTATTCTTCCTCGGTCAATTTTCGGAATGGAGTGGTATCCTTGTTTGTCTTGATGATGTCCCCAGGCGTCACGACATCACGGAAACCATAACCCTCTGCTACAATGCGGCACTTTTCGCCTTCACCGCCGACAACGAGAACAGTTTTATACTTCTCTGCCATCTCTCGCATGGGAGTGTGTCCGCAGATGAACTGGCCGGGTGAAACGTCATATTCGAGCTGCCTGCTGAGGTCAAGGCATCGCTCTTCCTCGGTCTTGCCTCCACCATTTGTGACAAAGATGTATGGCCTAATGTCGGTGAGTTGTCAGCGAGAGGAAGAGTATTCTGTATCCAGGGAAATGGGCATACATACACTTTGACTCCATACTTGTTCTCTCCGTTCAGCACTTTCAAGGCTTCCACGGCTGCGGGAATTGGCTTTCCACCACGGATAAGGACGCCATCAATATCGAAGGCGAAGGCATACCTGTCAGTTGCTATGACCGGTACTCCGCTAACTGGAGATACGGCTCTGGGTGTGACTTCGGCAGATGAGTTCTCCTCTTCTAAATGGTATTTGGCGACGCCGATGGATTTTGCGGTTTCATAGGCAGCCGTGCTGGCCATCAAGTGTTTCGGTGGCACAACCACGTTTGGTCCATTGACCAGATCCTCCCTGGTTGAGGAGACATTGGATAGACGGCGGACTCTTGGTGTCCCAGAGTGATATGATTCCGTGGTTGCCATGGTTGTGGTTTGTTGGGAGTTATCGAGGAAAGAATAAATTTACTTTCCGCGCACTCGCTTGGAATATAGATAAAGATACTGGTGGTAAGAATAACAAGGATCTAATATGAAGAACAAGTTTGCCTGCAAACGACAAATTAGAGCAGAGACGCCCTTTAGGATGGTGGGAGTAGTGGGCTGTTTCTTTCTCGAGATCGATGGGAGTTCTTTTTCCGCCTCAAGCGCAGTATCTTGGCTGTGAAAGAAAGTAATGATGGAGGGCAGGGAAGAAAGCCATATTGGAAGGAGCGGACGAGCTAATTATATATTACCGTTCATTTCTCGCCTGGCAAGCTAAGAGTAACAAATAATATAGGGGACGTTCTACCAGCAAAACGGCAAAGAAATGATGCAACGCCGTCAACCCGGCCTCTTGACTAAGAACCTAGATAGCCATGGGCCCACCCAGCTCAGACGCTGAACAAATGACGGGCTAACAGTTCGAAAAGTTACCAAATCTTTTCCCTTGCCATAATTCACCAGAAATAGGAACCATGGAACTCTTCCTCACTAACAGATTTTCCGCTTACTTTTCCCTTTCAGCCTGATTGCTTTGGCGATCCACATCCTTTTTCCAGTTGCCGCAGGAAATTGATATCATCATGCATCGGGTGTTGAGATTGGGAAAACCCGCCTCCGATCTCCCCTTCTCTCGGCCCACACCGGGGTGACACACTGGCAACCTTAAACAGATGTAGGCTTTTTATTTCATTTTTATATATCCTCCAGGGAAGAGCCAGGAAACACAGAGTAACGGCAAAGATGAGGATCCACATGGCTGGCGGTTGGGGCACGTCGGACGTGACAGCGTCTTCGCAAGACATCCCTCCAGCCGACTGGCCAATGAGTAAGGGCGTTCCTGGGGCAATCTCCACCAGGTAGGCCTTTTTGGCTTGGATGACAAGGGGAGCGACGGGAGTAGACCGAGATAGGTCTGTTTCGATGTCAGGGTTTTATTGTTGCTATTATTTTTTGGCCATCAAATCTGCAACGATGAGCTGCTACTGCACAGACACGGGAGGCAACTAGTTAGTCTGTCACAAAAATCAAAGCTCGTACTCTGTACATGTATATTGCCGCAATTTACCCAGCTTTCTAAATCTCGTGAATTCTCGAAGAATGTCCATCAACACGTGTAAGAAGAGTAAACAATGGGAAGTCCTCTCCAAATTCTCAGGACATCTGGGGTCTGCCTCCACGAGTCTATAATATATGTGCAAGTGGACCCGCGGTCATAATGACGTCTCCTCGCATATTATTTCCAATACTGTTGTCACATCAGAGGATAGGAAAGTACTCCGTGAATAGTAGTATATGCTATATTGATATTCCCAAGGTCAATCGAGAATAACTTGACTCTGGTAAAACCACTCCGGTCTCCCGCTTATCTTCTGGTACATATTCACCGCCTGGTGGTACTTGTCAATGTATTGTCTCATCGTCGTATGAGTAGAAGTAATCTCGATGGGCCCTGATCCACAACATAGTGGAGATGTTGATATATAGATACAGTTGGACACTGTATGCACGAAGGCGCTGCGCCTTCAAGGATCGCCTAACAGTGAAAACGAGGGCGATTCCCGATATTGAAAGTATGGTAATGGTGACCCAAGAACAGTTGAGATTTCTCGAGGGGATTTCAGGGGATGTATATAGGAGCTATGGCCGAGTACAGGTTAAGAAGGAACCAGACACGAACTAGAAGTTCTCCTGGAGAGGAAAGCCATATTTTGATAGTAGCCGTCCTGCAAGCAATGACTAACTAGTTATTCTCGCTCTTCGAAATCCCTCGAATAACGGAAGACTGATTGGACACGCCCCTGTATTGCAACAACGCCGATTTTCCCTGCACTCCGTATTCTTAAATTATTTGCCATCCTCGCTGCCGCTCCGCTGAGTAGGTATACCCGACCTGTCTTCGCTACCACCCGAGCGCGGAAAAAGTATTCGACGTGGATGTTACACGGTGGATGGATGCGTTTTGAACCATGCGGCTCCTCTATGACGTCAATAAACTTACATCCCGCCAAGGACGGCAAATACACGGCCTGAGTGGTTGGACCACGAGCTTAAGTGGACCGGGGGGGGGGGGGTGGCCAGGGATGTCTGACTAATGCGGGCTTGGCCCTCTTAGTTTTTCACGACGCCGCTTCCTCGGAGGCGTCTGGGGGCCTGGCAGCCAGGGGTAGCCCAGCCACTGTGCAAGTACGCTGGGTATGATGGCGCTGGTCTGCAGGCGTAAGAGCTGCGTTCCACGGAGTAAATGCTCATTGAGATCGCCTGTACGGAGTACGGAGTACTCTATCCATATATCTATACATCTATCTCTAATGTTTATTATCGTACAAGGTTCTCCACAACAATGTAACAACTGTAACAGCAATTATTAAATCAGCAAAATGCAAAACATTGTGTAGTGAGGTCAAGGATATGGAGTGGGCCTAGTACACTGTTGGTTGGCCATCGTTATAATGTTCCGACTGATCTATATGTTGCATATACGGGAAACCAGCACAGAAACTTCCCACCTATAAGTGTCGGGTGTAAATCAGACCGCTTTCCTAATCGTGTTGGAAATCCGTGCACAACTGCAAGGGTATATGGGTGAAGGTGTACAAATTATTTCGTGTTAGGTCCGGGATGCAGTGGCTGGTGATTGGGGTGGTCAGGGAGTTGCAGAGAACCCTTGTACAGGACCTGAGTCTCCATTTTATTTCTCCCGTTTTGGGGCCGGTACGGTACTCTACGGGAGCTACCGCCCTGGGTGGAATATCGAAAAATGAGGGTAAAGGTTTGAGTAGTAGTGGCTTTGCCGTTCAGAGTGGAGTCGGTTGTACGTGGATTCTCGCTAACACGGAGTAAAGAGAAGCCATACGCATACAGGCATTAGATGCAGAATTCTTTCTCCAACCAGTGTCTCACAATGATCTTCCCTTCCTTAAATGATTCTCGAGGTGACCTAACAATGATGGCTGCATGGCTATGCCGAACCTGATGGATGTGTACCGGGTATTTGCGGAACCCGACAGCATCGAGATTATCAATAATTTGGAATTGAGCAGCAGTCAAGGCAAGAGTAGGAAACGTAGCTTCTCTAGACTTGTGGGTAGTGTTGTTATCAGTGCTTTGAAGCGGTTTTGTTGCAGTATATGCTGTTGCTACGGCAGGTAGAGGCTGCGCAGGCGCTGGGGTTTCGCCATTCATATCATGAGGCCTCTCGTTGGTAGCCGAAGTCGACCCTGATATATACTCCGGCTTCTGTGCTGCATTTGCGGTTTCGTACATGTCCTCAACGGCATTCCGGAATCCCTTCATGATCAGTGGAACCCTATAGGTATTGTAAATTACCCCGGATTTACCTTGTTCATGCAGGCGGATGCGTTTCTCACTCCGAATTGTTTGATAGGCTGCATTTATTAGGAATAATACCGAAACAAATCCAATGACGGTGAATACAGCCAGTCGAAATGAGAATACCGTTATCATCGAGTAGGCAGAGGAGGTTAACTGGCCAAGTAATGATTGAGATTTCGGCTTGATGAGTATTGGTTGATCGGGGTCAATGACTATCGGCGCGTAACCATCAACATAGCTTATAGAGAGATCATCCACTTGTGTAAAGGGATCTATCCTGGATATTGCGGTTGTGTAATAAACTGCGCTCAAATCATTGATGGCGTTTGCATATAGGGTTCGGTGTCTAAATTTCGCAAGCGCAAGCATAAATATGCTTCCGGGGGTAGCAAGGATACTGAGAAGCGGTTTTCCAGTGTCACGGAACGAATCGATCATGAATAGCTGTCGGCCTGAAGTCGATACACATCGAGCACCCAGCACATTCCAAAAATGGCTTGTCCTTGCAGGGCTTCTCACACCGACGTGTGGTGAGGCAAATGTGGTAAAGTTGACAGGTTCAATATCCTCAAAGTAACCTTTTGCATAGAGTAAACCGATAGCATATCGAGCTATCAGTCCACCCAATGAATATCCTACCACACTCATTTTGCGAATCTTGCATCCCTGCTCGGCGGAGCCCTTGATTGCTTCCTCCACTTCGTGGGCTACCCGCTCTCCACCCAGATCGATACCGTCATATGTGAGATTTCCCGCATTGCTTTTGGGGCATAGTATCTGCAGTGATGATTCGCCGTACTTTTCCCGCAAAGAGGATACGATATAGTTAAGGTGTGATGGATTACCCCATAGCCTGACGCCTGAAGTTAGCCTTCGTTCCTTGATATTGTTGTATCACGCTCCCACGATCACTCACCCATGAATTAGGACGCAAAGGTGCTCACCCTTCGAATCATTTGGATACTGACCGCCTTCTTCCATAACTAACAAAACAAGAATTGCTTGTGTATAACTGGATGGAGAATGATGGCTTGTAACATCCACCCTTGGGATCTTTATATTTTGTTGTGCTGTTGGAATCGCCGGAGCCTACGGAGATAAGGAAGGAATTAACGGAAGTTTGTTTGCGTTGTTTGCGTTGTTTGTATTGTTTGCATTTCAGGCGAGACGTCAATCCACTTTTTCCAGACGTCAGCTTCGGTGACCAACGCACTCCCAACACATATTCTACTATCGTCTGTATTTGATAACCCGTTAATACACGTATTCTTCTGCCTTATTTATTCTCAGTTGGCTGCTGTGTATGCCCCTAAAGTGATCGCACCGCTCCACCGTGAAGAAAGTGCCGGGTATTTACCCGATGCCCCAACTCGCCGCATAGGGCGAGCTTAATATATAGTTCTCTCACCGCAGCCAGGAATATGAGACACGGGCCCGGTCGTTGATACCCTTTCCCTATCCTTGCCATGTAAAGTTGCTCCGCAAAACAGTGGCAGTTCTCTCTTCCTTCAGCCTCGCTAGACATCGATTGCCGTACTCCTATGCTTTGAGCATATCAGACCCTCCATGGGACTTGAGCTTAAAGCTACGCCTCCGTTATTTTGAGTTGTGAGGAGACGATACAATGTTTAGCTCACTGGGGTTGTTCAGCGCAGTCCCTTGCCCCCAAAATGACCAGTGCACCGTCATAAATTGTATATTCTCACATCAAGAGGTGAGGAATGCAGCCACCTTTCCGTCAACCGCTGATTCCAAAGAGAGAGCGAATCCACGGCCTGAAAATATAGACGAACCCATTAGGAAGAGGCAGCGTTTATATGACGATGGAGGGACCATGGGTGGATCTTCCGGTCAGGAAATCGACGCTGCTGTGGTTGAACGTACTTCTACAACAGTTGCGGAACGGCCAAAATCCTCACCCCCTAGGAGTAAGGGCAACCTTAACTCATTAGGGAGACGAGTGTCTCCTCCTCTAGTCAACCGCACTGCTACCCGTGCAAATGTTGCAGAGCCTTTGGCAGAGGACCATGATAAAAGGAAGTCAGATACCCCGTCTGTCATGCAAAGGAGGCAAATAAAGAAAGAGACTCTCAATCCAAGACACTTGTCTAAACCTCCGGCAACGCATGTAATTCGCACGTCAATCCTAGTCAAATTGCACAGCGTGATGGTACGCCTTAACGAGGAGCTGAAGAAATCCGTTGACCCGTCCAAAAGGTGCATGATTCTCTCCGCTGATGAGTTGGTTTCGATGGCCTTGGATGAAGAAGAAAAAATTGCGAAAGAGTCGCCGGCTGTCTATTCGAATGTCGTTAAACTACGTATAGTGAAACTGGCAAAGATGAAACAGCAGGAATGGCAAGAGACTGTGACAGCTTTCCTCCGAACAGAAGACTCACCAAAAACGATAAAGCCAGAAGGCTCGCCACCGAAACCTTTATCAACTGGATTAGCAGCTGAAGAGGAGAAATTAGTCCTCTCAACGCTCTATGCTTCTACCAGAGATTTGAAAGAGCTTGAATATGTCATGATTCCTCCATCAATGGATGAAATTACTGCTGCAAAGCGCGGAATAGAGGCGTCACAAGGGTGGGAGAAATGTGACCGATGTAATGGGAGGTTCCAAGTCTTCCCAGGCAGGAGATCTGATGGTGCCTTAACGTCATCAGGCCCATGTGTCTATCACTATGCAAGGCCGATTCGGCCGCCAAAGCAGAAAACAGAGCACATAGTGGGACAGAAAGAGTTTTACTATCCTTGCTGTAAAGAACCTGTTGGAAAATCTACAGGATGCACAAAGGTAGATTCCCACGTGTTCAAGGTCACTGATATGAAGCGATTAGCGGCTACAATGCAGTTTGAACGAACACCGCGGCAACCGGGCAAAAAAATCCTGCCACCGGTCTGCATTGATTGTGAAATGGGGTATACCACGTTAGGACTTGAGATGATTCGCCTAACTGCGATAACCTGGCCGGAAGGTAAATTGCTGGTTGATGTTTTGGTGAGGCCAATAGGAGAGATATTAGACCTTAATACTCGCTATTCGGGCATTCGATCCGAACAATTTGCTAAAGCTACACCTTATAAGACTGAGCAAGCATCCACTGCCACAACGAAAAAGCATGATTCCAAGTCAACTAATAACCTTGAAATGGTTGACTCTCCTGCAACTGCAAGGGAGTTGCTTTTCCAACACCTACAACCAGAAACGCCTCTCATTGGCCATGCTTTGGACAATGACCTTAATGTTTGTCGCATTATCCATCCTACTATCGTTGACACTGTGCTGTTATATCCACACCCAGCAGGCTTGCCAATGCGAAACGGTCTTCGAGCTCTCACAAAGAAGCACCTTGGGCGAGATATACAAGCTGGTGGAGGTACTGAAGGGCATGATTCCATAGAAGACACTAAAGCTACCGGAGACCTGGTGAGGTACAAAGTAGGTGAGAAGTGGAAAGCTCTGAAACGCTCAGGTTGGACTATTCGTGATGGGGAGTTGTTGAGTCCGGCAGGTAATGGAGTCTCCCAAGGACCCTGGGCTTCAGATGCTGGCTTTGGTGTGAAGAGGAAGGCTATGGATGGCACCTAGTGGTGCATGAACCTTTTTACTTTATCAGCTGTACACCACCCCTATTGCACATAACATCCTAGATTACTCTCCGGTATTAAGACCGACAACCATAAACATAGTATCAATACTTCAAAGTTCTATCGCTGCAGCTAATTGGTTGTTTAAAAATTAGCGAAAAGGAGAGCGTCGAGGCCAAAGAGCCGATTATATTGAATTATAGAGAAGAGATGCGCATCACGCAAGCTTCAGTATCAACCATAAAGCTCATAAGCAGGGTGCTAGATATCATAGATTGGTAGGATCAGATTTCTCCATCCAGTCACAAGTAACATCCTCCCTCTCCTCTAAAGTCCTTCATCAAAGCTCGAATGGCCCATCCACCTATAGAACGCAAATGGCCTAAACTTTTAATGGGAAAAATAAGAGGTCATTCCGTCGTTCTATTTACTCGTCATCCTCCTCAGCCTCATCCTGGACAATGTTGTAGAATCGGAGCTCGTAGACACCCTTGGAGGCGGAGACAACGCGAAGCCAGTCACGGAGCTGCTGCTTCTTGAGGAACTTCTTCGTCCTAAATTCAGAAGAATGCCAGTCAGTATTGATGTATGGGATAAGATACAGAAATTTTTCAGGGGACAACGCACAAGTACTTGAGGTATCGGCCGGAGAAAGGAATGTGAGTGATGACCTCAATCTTGCCGTCACCAACCTGGGAGATCTGAACAGATTCGCCAAGGTTGCCTACACGGCCCTCAACCTTGATCCTATCGTGAAGGAACTTCTCGAAGGCAGAGACATCGAAGATCTTGTCGTTGGCGGGTTGAGAAGCATTGATGATGTACTGTATCAATTGCCATTAGAATGCGATCTCCAACGAGTTTGCTTCTGCCCTAACGAGCATAGTTCAAGAAAAGAGCAAATAATGTACCTTCTTGGTGACCTTTTGCTGTCTGTTTTTGGCAGAACGGGCCTATGAATTATAATAAACCACCCAAGGCGGGTGAGGATGAGTTAGCCTACTGCTCCCATTGTGGCATATTGTCGTCTTCTTGAAGATCTTTTTTATTCGCCCTCCGGGGAGGGACGAATTCCGAGATCGACTTCAAGGGGGAACAGCAAAGCAATTCTCAACAGGTAGACGTACAGTTGTGGGAGCCATTGTGACGACGGTGGATGTATGTGACTGGGATAGACCGCAAAGAGGTGAATATCCTGCGGAGTTGTTGTATTGGCGTGGTGGTTTAAAGATCTTCTTCGATTTTTCATGAAATTTACGACATGAGGATGAACTCTTGGCGTGGGTGAAATAGGGTTAGGGCTAATATAGTCACGTGTAGATATAAAAGCATATTTCTACTTGGACGTAAGAAGCGATGGGCAAGCATGAAAACTTCCAGATGCTTGGAAAAGTTATTAGACTGTCTGAATGATTCGTTCCTTTGCTACTGTATGCCTGAGCGCCACGGGAATAAAACTATGAGAGAGTAGAGACCACAGTAATAGCGCTAGTTGTTACAGTTACTCGTTGGCTCCCTTCTTGGGAATCAAGTTTCGGAGAGACAGATCATACACTACGTCCTCAACCTTTTTGACCTATATCCATAGATCCATCAGTAAGTCTGTGCAGTAAATCTGTGGTTGATAACCTTATGGTTTGATTTGGGTCATACGCACGTTATATTTGATCCCGTCACTTCTCTTTCTCAATGAATCATTCTTAAGATTCAGGAGCTGGAACCCTGCGTGAAGGTCAGAGATAAAGGTATGGATTTGTAGAGGCCGAGTATAATCGCCAAGGGTGACTGAATTGACAGCGAGTCGAGACTGTGTTTCTAGTTAGTAACTACAATTAAGTATTGAGGGATTAAAATGGCCTACCAGCTCCTCAACAAGAGAGATAAGAGCATGCAAATACTCTTCGATCGTAAGGTGGAAGGCATCCTGGTCCTTCAGATTGACTGGAACTATTATTAGAGTTAGCCACTGCCTCAGATCATGGGAGAGTATGTCTACAAACCGGCAAGGAACTTCCCCACGTCTTCAATGGTCATGAAGGTCGTGTTGTCGCTGACGACTCCTTTCATGCCGCCGAGCCAGCTGCAGAACTCGATCGAGAAGACCTGTTCTGGCATGTCAGCAGGGGTATATAATACACCATGAAAAGAGACAGATGTCAATACCAGGTTCTGCAACTCTTTACTCCAGAGGTGGTTATATTTGTAGAAGGGGTGCTTTGAGGCAACAGTCACCAGCTTGACGATGTCCTCTCGCTGTGCTGAGATTTCTCTTGTGGCATCATCAAGGATAGGGTTTACTTCGGGGTGGTATCAGCATGTGCAGACGCGTCTATTAGCATAACGGAGAAGTGAGCCTACTTTGAGATGGGGGCGTAGAGTGAGCTCGTGAGAGAAGCGCCTGAACAGCTCTGCCTGTTCCAGTGATACCCCGTTAGCCTTGGGAACGTAGACACAGAGTGAACGAAGAGGTCACCTCGCTTAGAAAGCTCCTGGACGATATCTTGAATTTCCTGGTTATTTTGGTTAGTTCGAGCTGAGAAGAGAGATAGATACTCTAGAAGCATACATCACGGATCTTGGACTCTTCATCGATTTTCAACTGTAAGCTCTCGAAGATAGACGAGTCAATCATCTTGGGCAGTTTGTATTGGGTGAAAGGGTGGGTGAGTGATGGTTATGCTGTGAGATGTTGATGGTTTACAGCAGGTTACTTGGTTCAAAACAGTGGTCCTTGAGCCTCAACTTTGCCCAACAGCAAGACATCAAACCAAAGCAAGGCCCCAAAGCCCGATAAAAGCTCAAATCTCTCTTCTTTAACACTTCAGCAAGCCGAAGGTATCAATGAAAAAAGAGGTGGGTTCGCGTCGATCGGTGGTAGTGTAAGACCGATGACACGGTGCGAAAAGACATGCGCAAGCACAGAGGTCTAATCGCGCGGTACAAAAATAAGAATAATCACTTTCGTATTCCTTAGAATACTTTCAGAGATTAAACTGAAAAGAACAGATACTACACTTGATCTAAGCCATAATGGCAAAGAGAGCTGGAGAAGAAAAGAGAAAAAAAATTCAAAGGAAGGCGGGCGGCTGGAGATATTTATACCTGGCCGGGTGGGGCTAGCGCTAAGCGAGGTTTCCATACGTGGCTCCCATTGGCTGGCTGTGAGAGATGGGGGATTATGTAAGATTCGCTTTCGGAAATACATAATGCCGTCTCCGTTCCGCTTTGGGAAGGGCCCTGGGCTGGAGATAGGTAGGATGCAGGAAGGGAAGAGAGGAGAGCAGCGAAGGTACAAGCACGCCATGGATAGCACTGCGCATAGAGGATAGTTAGCAGTTATCTGTGCTATTTACGGGAAAGTTCTGATGAAGATTACTTTATTATGATGCACGTTTATGACTACGCTGTTATATTGGAAAATTCACCAAAATGGCCACTGTGCTTGGGTAAATGGTGGAAGCCTATCAAAGCAATTAAGAGAGCGGTGTTCTTATAGCTCTGTGTTCTACGGCTTCCCCAATTCATTGCCTAGGACGTCGACGTCCAGCTCTTCCATCACGCCGACGACAACGCCTAGAGAGTCCATAAAGGCGTTTACCGCCACACGCAGCATTCGGTTGGTAGTGGCTCTGTATTCAGTCTCCAAAACCGTTAAGCTCTCATCACTGGCATCTACATTGTCGTCAGTAGCAGTCTGTCCAGTTTTAGGTTCCCCTGCTGTCCGGTTTACTTGTATTTCAGTTTGTTGTGTGATGGTGCTGGATGACTCGGGATTTGTGAGACGGAATGTGCGCTTGACCAGCGGTGATAGCTCAAGGTCTACCTGTAGCGCACGGAGGGCAGAGGAGGCAAGTCGGTGTGTGGGAAGGGGCACGGATATAGTGCTGCATGAATTCATCACAGTTAGCACCTAAGCGAGTAACAAGATATGCAGAGTGGGATATGAGCGCAAGCAACGAACACCTGAGTCTCAGTCGTCAGTCAACATACAGAGAGTAAGGAAAATCCTGATCAGCAGCTTGCCCTGACTGTGCCATGGTTAATATGACTACCGTGGGGGCAAACCAGGGTACGTTGATATGCGTTTGGAAGAGGAATTATTGCGGCCGGCTTGATATTTTCGCACACGGCGGGGCAGACACGGTATCGTTCACGCAATGGCCAAGCCTGATGCCAGTATTAACAGCTAGATAGCCTCCAACAGCGCACATTTGCTGCTGTTTGTTTCTCGCACCGTAAAGAAAGCGATGGCTTGGTGTTATCACTGCAAAGCGTCAGGTTCTTGATTATGGTTCCTTGCATCCAGATGTGTCTTTCGCCACTGAGGCTTGCTTTGTGGAGTCGGTTTCAAGGATGCCGAACCAGAAACAGATCACGCCAATGTTCACTGGTAACCCTGCATTCCCGTCGAACTGAGGAAAGGGTCCGCCTGTAGCTCAACTTGGTATCTTCATGGAAGGGCGAGGATGCTGTCCATGGTTCGGGCATCCCACCTGCACCATTCCAATGGAAGGAAACGGCATGGATAAACAAGCGGCCGGTGCCTGTCTAGGGACCCTCGTGCCCAACGGTCGTCCCCTCTTTATTCCCGGTGGCACAAACCAGACACACAGCGTCACCTCGTCCACGTCCACATCTCGTGCTCGTCTCGCCCTCTCTCTCGTCCCTGGACGCTTATCTCGCCGTCGCCTCGCCGTCGCCATAGAAGAGGAGCTTGTTGCCCTGGCGCTTCCGTGTTTGTTTTGGTCTTAGCGCCCGCCGCGCGCTAGCCTGAAACAGCAGCTGGGCCCACTCAGAGCCATCTGTCCAATCAGCAGCCCGCACCTCGGGCGGTTGCTGGGTCAACCGACGAGTCTAACCTTAATAGGACACGTGACAACATAACAAGCAGCGGTGGTCCATGCGCCTTCGCTGTCCCTTTTGGGAAAAAAAGGAAAAAAGGAAGAAAAATAAAAAAAACAACAACATCAATAACATCAACATCATAATAAATAGTATTAAGGTCATAACAACATAAACAACACCCTTGTCTCGTCGCGGATTTATTATTCTCTCTATTCACTCTCTCCTACTCTCCTTTTCCTTCTTCTCGACGCTATCACCAGGTTATTCTTCCGTCGCCATCCTTACTGTTTATCTATAACCTCGATAATGCAGCTTTGATCTTGCGACAGCCTCTCTTCAGTATATCACGATCTCGCGGACCCAAACCGTTGTTGTCGTCGCTGCTGCCGGAGGAAGAGCTTGCCATACCTTCTGCCACATACTCTTTCTACAGATTCGATCCCAATTGAGTACAGGACAGATCGATCTAGCTCAACATGCCGCCATCAGGGACCTCTGGGTTGTACGGTGCTCCGATCGAGTACATTCAAGGTATATATATATATATGTCCCGATTCATATACTGCCCTTGAGATGCGGTCATTCAGCTCATTCTCTTCTAGATCGCCTTTACCTGGCTTCTTATCATAGCCCACCCTCCGAGAATACTCCCTTTCCGTTCCTCGCAGCGCCACCAAAGTCTCCCAGCAAGAGGCGGGCTGGCGCAAGTACTCCCTCCAGAAAGCACCAGGCCAAGGCCCCCGTTTATTTCAATATCGATGGTTTACTCCTGTATAATTCTTTCCATGCGGACTTTGGCCCCTTCCATATCGGACACCTGTACAGATTCGCGGTACACTTTCATGAAATCCTGGGAGACCCAGAAAACGCCGATCGTCCAGTGGTTCTGTGGACCAAGCCGGACTCTCGAAGCAGGGCAAATGTTGCATGTGTCGTCGCTTGCTATATGGTGCTGATTCAATCCTGGCCTCCTCACCTCGCACTGGCCCCGATTGCCCAGGCAGACCCACCATACATGCCATTCAGAGACGCCGGGTACAGCCAGGCGGACTTTGTCCTTACTATCCAGGACGTGGTATATGGCGTCTGGAAGGCCAAAGAGGAAGGCCTTTGCGGGCTCAAGGACTTCAGTCTAGAAGAGTAAGTTCATGTTTTCGTCTCCGCATTTGCTAGCGAACGGTCTGCAGGTTTAGGACTAACAGAAATGTAGATACGAAAAGTATGAACGAGTTGATATGGGTGATTTCAACTGGATCACCCCAAGCTTCCTTGCATTTGCATCGCCGCAACATTCTCCCACCGCAGTTGTTCCTCAAAACACCCCTGAATTCGCTGCTTTGCCATCCACCATTGAGCAGGTCCAGGACAGCGAGCTGCCGGTTCCCTTTAAGAATGTTCTTACCCATTTCTCGACCAGGAATGTTGGCCTGGTTGTACGGCTCAACTCCGAACTGTACAGTCCATCGTACTTTACTGCACTCGGAATCAACCACATCGACATGATATTCGAAGACGGAACCTGCCCACCCCTCCCACTGGTAAAGCGGTTTATCAAGATGGCACACGAGATGATCACAATCAAAGAGAAGGGAATTGCAATTCACTGCAAGGCTGGGCTTGGACGAACTGGCTGCTTAATAGGGGCGTACCTCATTTATCGATATGGATTTACTGCGAATGAAATTATCGCATTTATGCGCTTCATGCGCCCGGGTATGGTTGTTGGGCCGCAACAGCATTGGCTCCATCTGAATCAAGGAAGTTTCCGTGAATGGTGGTTCGAAGACCAGCTTAAGGAGAAACTCTCACTGCCTACCCCTACCACTCCAGGGCGTGTATCCTCTAAACAAAGACTCAATGGCAGCCAGACAGCAACACCACCACACGGAAACCAAGCCAAGAGAGCTGCTCTTGGAGAAATTGATACCAATGAGAGTGTCAATGGCTACGCAGATGAGAACCTTCCTGCCCCAACTCCAGGACAACCAAGAAAGTCACATCGCAAAGACTCAAGACACCACCCATACGCCCGTACTCCATCTGCTAGTCTAGGAGGTGCCGCCGCATCCCCGAGACGAGGCCTGTCCAGAACCCATTCAAACAACCGGGCCGACAGCGATGAGGAAATCCAAGCTCTTGTCAACCGTGTTACTTCTCCACGGACCCCTGTTTCCAGTTCTCAGCGATCCCTTAGCCATTCTGCTGCTCTGACCCCCGAGATAGACATCCATGAAGACGTCGAGAACTGGGTTGGTGACTCCGGTTCACCAAAACCCAAGACGCCATCCAACACAAAGAGTGGAAGCGGAGTTCTAGGAGTGAGCAAGCAGCGGTCCAACCCAAGACGAACTGCCGACAGCCGGACTGAATCTCGTGGAGTCCGCAAGTCAAGTGGAAGAATCGGGAGTGCTGGCAATATCGCCAAGGCGAAGAACATCTGAGCTCCTTGCAAATCAAACAACCGGGTCCAGGCTAAGCTGGGCTTTTGATGACGTCTAATGCCGCTCTATTGGCGAAGTTCATCGTATTCCTCTTTCAAAGACGCAAATCTTGAGCTTCATGTTTGATTTAATCGTGTACGGAATCTTTTGATCTGGCCTTTTTCTTTTTTCTTTTACCCATTGCCCTGTTTCCCCTGACGCAGTGTGGTTTGTGTTTTTTTCGCTTGAGCTTCAGTTGATATCTATTTGGTTGTTGCTGCTCAATGATTGATGCATGGTGGGAAGTTCCGGAGTTCTATGCGTTCGGCTTTTTATGGGTGATTTTTTGCCTTTCTTTTTTCCACTATGGTATTGTTACTGCCTAGTTCTTGTTTAATGTCTTACCTTTCTCGCCCATCCCCGACGTCTCATGTTCCTTTCCGGAAGTGATAAAAAAGCGTCTGCTAGAGGCATGACATGGAGTTTACATAGCCAAGACAGATATAAAATGGGATTTACTCAATTTAATTCATTTCTCGCATTCTTTGAAATCATGATAGTCGTAAATCGTGGCTGTAGGGCAAGTAGGATCAACCTATGTAGGCACTTTCCAGCTGTACCAATCTTTGGTTCTACAAAGATTTAACACTCTCCATCGCCTTAGTCCAGTATTTCTTCCGCTCATCGGCAGCAGTGGTTCCAATGCACTCAGTCAAGTACTTGGACCATCCCTCCTCAGAACCAGACTGCAACGCAGTCCTAACAGCGGGAGTACACTGGGTAGTCAAGAACCACGCCGCCGATCCAAAGTCGTAGTCGTCCTTGGAGAGCAGCATATCCAAAACCGCGTCAACATTGTTCGTCTTAGGGCCAATCTTAGCGGCTAGCTCAGGGATCGACTTGGCATAAAGGGCGTTGAAGTTAGGCATTTGCATGTTTCGAGCTAAGGTCGATAGGTTAGTTCTGTGTTATTCCTGTTTATAACTAGAGAGACTATAGAGTATTCAACTTACTGCCTTGACCAGGTCTACCAGGGAATACGTTCTTCTGATATTTGAACTCTCCAGACTCTAGTGCGATAAGACTCAAGATGGCAGCCATCTCGGGCTTGGAGGTGATCTTGTATTTTTCAAAGGAGTGGATGATTGGTTCTGCAGCTTGGGAGGCGCTTCGGCACTGCCCTTCTGCCTTCGCTGCGGAGACGCAGGGTTCCTTAGCCGAGGCCGGAGCAATCTCCTTCAGGACTTCGATCATTTTGTCTTTGGATATGGATGATGATGGGCCAGGTGTCCCGGTTGGGTGGGAAGTAGCCTGTGACGGGAGCGGCGGAGGTGGTGCAGGGAGAGTGCTTGGAGCTGCTGGGATATCATTGCAGTCGTCCTTGGGAACAGGGTTGGCGGAGGCGTAAGATGCAAGGAGAAGGTATATCGTAGCGGTAAAGAAACGCATTTTGGATGTGCTTTATAAGTCGTTTATCTTTGTCTAAGTCTGTATGCAGCAGGATCTGTCTCTGATGATGCTTGTAGTTGTTGATGGAAAGAAGAGGGAGGAAGATACATTTTCAGATCCAGGTTAACTCGACCGGTATATATACCCCCTGACAACTGGTTCTTTCACCAGCTGGCCGCTTGTGACGGCGTTTTCCTCCCTCTGTGAACATCCATTGACTCGATCGTCACGCTAGGATGTGCCTCCTGCGTCAGTGACTCCATCTTATTCTTTGATGGCTGGCCTCTTCCGGGCCTGAGAGTGACCTTCGAGGCCTCTCGCTGGCTCCAGAGGCCCAAGGCTAAGCTTTCGGCAATGCTTGTCTTCACTTCACACTGGGCATTTTATGGGTATCGAGTGAGTTGCCCCTGGATATCAGTGGCCAATCTCTGTTCACCAGTGGCTCTCTTCATTTGGTATCCTGGGAGGTCGAAGCCCGGCATGGTGCGCCATCACGCTTTTAGTGGCAACGTGGGTATCGGACCTAGCGGCCGCATGTTGTCGAAGCGAAGAATGAATATGAGGGATCATGATTCTATTCGTGTATTCCCCTTTTTCACCCCGGGAAATAAATTTGTTGGTGGTGTGGAGTGACTCGTGTCGTTTCATGTTTGTCGACGGTGCGCGCGATGAGTGGCTGGCATTGCAGCCCCTGAGAACCGAAGCTTTTGATAGTCCGGGATGTGCATAGAAAAGAAAGCCACCGTCCCACACCCACACCCTCTTCTCTAATGCTCAGGACCGTACGGAGTATGGAGTAAATAATACATCGATTCGGGACAGCCAATGGCAGGGGGGGACAATATTCTCGAGTTAGGTCAGTGTTTGAGAGCATATGGGATGTCTCCGTTGACGTCTTTGGACTCCCCCAGTTCTCCTATAAGTTTGAAGGCCGACGCTGACGTCTGTTAATAGATAATAACCAGCTAGATTGATCGATCTTCCTAACCAACTGCCTTTCCCATCAAGCTATAGCTACGAGCACTGTGGTTGACATCTTTCTCATATTAGAACAACTTCCCTTCATTCAGCAAGGCATCCCTTTATACTTCTGCCACAAGATTCTCATCCCTCCTCAAGGATGGCCGCTCTCACTAGTGCCTGTCCATTCCTCGATTATTCAGTTAAATGATATATTAACTGGCGGCATCTTCCCTTTGCACTATCTACCCCTAACAAACAGAGCGGTGGATTCCACTTCTCATCGGATGGCCTGCAGTCTTTTCTTTCTTTCCGCTTGGCCGCTTTGTGACCTTGTGAGGATGCTCTCTGTTTCTCACTCGACGCCGCTCAAGATTGGTTGGGCCTGTCTGGAGTGCAGACAGGTCGACAGGGTCGGATTTCATCAGCCTCTCGGTGACTGCAGCAATATCTGCCACAAGCTTGTCGATGAGGTCTGCGGCCATGCTCTCCCGGACAACCACCCGCAGAATCTCCGTGTCCTGCTCTTTGGGAGGTAAAGGGTAGTCTGTAGACCCGAAGAGTCAGTTTGAATCCATTGCTATGCGCGATACACCACCAGTTTAGTTCAGGGGATGTGATATAACTTACTGGGAATTATATACTGCTTCGACCTCAGCAGGAGGCTTATACTCTCTTGCTTCACATGGGGATAATTCTCTTTGAATGCATCTGAGAATCGGAATGTTACCACTGGCAAACCAGCGTTATAGTCAGCAGACGTTTCGTCCTCCTTATAGGGCGTAATTTTGTCCAGATGCTGGTGGTAGAATTCCCCTTTCTTCCGGTGGATATCGCTCAAACAGACAAACCATCCAGTCCGTTCCAAAGTTTTGCTCAGCAGTCTTGCATTTGCCAAACAGTTTTCCATGATTTCTCGATACCCATTGAACCCAAGGCGGATGAAGTTATAATACTGGCCAATTACCTGTGCTCCAGGCCTGGAGAAGTTCAATGTATAAGTCTCCTCTCTGCTCCCGAGATAATCAAGCTCGAAGATGAGCTCTTTTGGCAGATAGGAGCGGTCTCGCCAGATTATCCAACCCAATCCTGCATACACGAGACCGTACTTATGTCCGGATGCATTGATTGACTTCACTCGAGGAAGTTCGAAATTCCTTGAAATCTCACATTAGCACGGCCAGGAAAACGGCCCTTTTCAGCAAGGCAAAGCCTTAGATCACACATACCATTTTGGCCCTCCAGCCCCTGCGTCAGTGAATGGTGCCACAAATCCACCGCTGGCAGCATCAACATGAATGGGGACATCTATACCGGTTTCGGACTGTATGCTATCCAGGATATTAGAGATCTCTTCGACAGGTTCATAGTGGCCAGTATAGGTGCTTCCAAGGATCACAAATATCCCAATGGTATTCTCGTCCACATTTTTCTTAACCAAATCTGGGTCGAGACGAAATTGGCTCTTCTCGGATACATCCAGAACTCGAGCTTCAACGTCAAAGTACCTGGCGAATTTCAGGAGAGCTACCTGAGCATTTGATCCCATGATGATATTTGGATTAGAGATGTCCTTTCCTTCATCCTTACGTTTCTGCTGCCAGTTCTTTTTCATGGCCAGCCCACCCAACATGATAGCTTCAGAGGACCCAGTTGTCGCAGATCCGGTGGCTTCTTCTCCTGGTCGTGGGTTCCATAGATTGGATATCATGGATATACATCTTGCGTGTATAGCCATTAACGCAGGATACTCATCTGCATCCGCTAGATTCTTACTGATATTCTCAACTACAAGTTGGTTTGCTTCTCGGTCCATGTAAGTACCAACGAAACTATATGCCAAACAATTATTAGCGGATTAGCAGTTACTTCCCTGAGGGGACCAACGGTAGCGCCGGGTCGCGTGTACCTTGCCATGTTCAGATTCGGGATACCATCTAGATCGAGTTCATTGCTCAGCATATGATGCACCGCATCTGCGCGAGCACCTAGCTTAGGGATTTTGAATTTAGGTATCTCCTCTTTGCTGGAATATCTCGTTGAATACGGCGTTACAGACGAGACGGCATTTGAGGTAAAGATGGCAGAAGCTTCCCGCTCCTGTTCTTTGTCGAAATCTTCTCGAAAGTGTTTGATGATATCATCAGGATCAACCTATAGGTATGGCCGTCAAAATTAGCAGCGGTCCTGTAATCCGTTTGTGGGGGAATGTGAATGAATGTATTGGTTTCATGTGCTCTGTATAGATAGACCAAAACCTACATGCGATGAGAGCGACATCTTCGATAGCTATAACTACCAACGCCAACATATATCGACCAATTACGTCCAATTCACCAACAAACATAAGTCCTCGGTGTTATTTTGGCCTTTTCCTCCTTCTCAGTCGAATATATATCTCTACAGTTTTATTATTTCCTGCATATTCCTGTTTTCGGTCTGATGAAGTCATAAAAAGCCAATAACTGCTAGCTACGTCATTGGTAGTACAGCGCAAGGAAGCACAGCATAGAAAAGAAGAATTCAATTAACTGTTCTAGGTAGGAATATCGGGCAAAGATGTAATGATTCCGCTCACAGTCGCTCTGCGTATTCCGTCACAACACTTTTGGGCTCTACGTATTTACCCAAGGGAACGTATTTGATATCCTTATATCCAAACGCCCCTGGCCCGCCAATCTCCAGTGCTCTTTCGGTATCTGACCATCGTGGGGAACATGCAATTCCCAACACAGTTACCATAACACCATATCTGAATTCGGGGACCCCAAGCGCCTTTCCAGACTGTGTGTCAAGGACGCAGATCAGATCAGGCACTGTTGCCACATATTTCTCGACGCCTTCGTCGGAAATGTGTTTGGCATAGATATTTTCGTTCTTGAAAGGGATCTTTAGGACACCCCCGGTGGCCACAGGTGTCGATGATCGCCTTGCATCTCCTGAGAGCTCGTCTGCTATACTTGACTCGACTTCTTTGTTAAGGACTTGTTGAATTGTGATTTCGCCATAAGAATGGCCCTTGAATAGTCGTCTTTCCACGGCAACTATCTTTCCTCTGAAGAGAATCTTACCAGATTCAGGACCGCCAACCTCGTCAATCATCTGTTCAGCCACGGTGCTAATGGTGTTGGTAGCATTTGCACGCGCGATGCAACGCCCAATACGCCACGCAAGGGACATGGTATTGAGTACACCGAACCTTAACATTTTGTCGCCTGTAGTAGGACGGGCGGCCAAGCCTACACTCGACCCCATTTCAGCACACGAGGCGCGTAGTGCTCGATCGACAAGTTCATCACTTGCGCACTTGTTCATAATAATTGTGCTCCCACTTCCGGAAAGGATGCAGCAAGGCACCAATTCGCCGGGCTGATATACGCATATAGTTGTTTGCCAGAATGTTGGGTAGGCCCGACCTACGCAAAAAACAATAAATATCAGAAATATCAAATGGAAAGGAAGATTGATACATACCCATCCAATCAGCATCGACTACAGGGCGATCAAAATGCTTTGACGAGCCGATAGAAAGAGGCAGGATACCATTGCCGCCACCGATTTCTACTCCCATTACAGCGTCAAAGCTGCCATGATTGAGATACTCCATAAGGGCATGGATGGATTGTTCGGTCTCGTTGTTTGCTTGTCGTTCTACAGAGACAGCTGGAGAACCCATGTGACCGCCCCCTTCCACTGGCATCAGTACTATCAAAATCAAATCGTGAATGCAAATGACTCAACTTACAATATATCACAGCATCCTTTTTTACGGAATATGGGTCAATGATACGTATAATGTGTCCTTGCCGTATCTGATCGCGAATTCGGATGTGTTCACTGAAAGGCGAGCCTCCACCAGCACATCCCAGGACGTAGCACCCATCAGCAAGCCAGGCAACATCTGTTTCGGAAACAATCCATTCGTCAATCCCTGTTTGAGGGTTTTGCACGACTTTCGGGCGGTAGGTTGCAACATCTATTGTGTTGGCGTTGAACTCTTCGGTCTCAAGATTCTGCTTAGGAACCTCGTTATATATTGTATCATCTCCTTCGTCATCATCTCCATCATTTCGTATGTTGTCGAGAGTTAGGACACCTTCAGGCGACAGCTCACCAACAGCACGCGCAATAACGCGCACTTGGTTTGCGACGTATTGAAGAGGCATCGAATCAACCTCGGCCAGGTATACTGTCTCTCTGATGGCACCAGAGGCAACCGCTTTTTCAATCGCCCTGGCTTTGGCTTCATCAACAACTTCGGCTACAGTCTTTTCAGCCGTACTCTCAATAGAGTCAACTGTGCCGCCAACCTTAGACATGGCAGCACCGACTGCGTTTGCAACGGAATGAAATGGGGGAAAAATGACCTTTGACACGCCATCGAGTTCCGCTGGAGCCAAAATTGAGCCGCCTCCGACTAGCAGTACAGGTAAAGGGGCTGGTGAAGTTTTCATTTGGTCAATAACTGTTTCCAGCATAGTTTTCACTCTTGCCTGCGCAGCGGAAACCAGCTCCTTGTCCAAATCCTTGACCAAGTCGGGGTTGCCAATCTTGGCTCCAGCAGCCACAGCAATATCTGTTGCTGTAAGTGTGTCTCCTCCGAATACAGTGCCTTTGGTGCTGAGATAATGGCCGACAGAATCCGGTCCAATGGTAGTGTTGGCTCCTTTGTGACGGACTATGGAACCACCCCCGAGACCAATGGATTCGACATGGGGCATGCCGAAATTGATCTTCACGCCAGCTACTTCGACATACGCAGAAGCCTGACGCGGGAATCCAGACGGGAGTAATACTCCAACGTCCGTGGTAGTACCACCAATATCAACGACAATCGTTGCCGTACGGTCATTTCCGGTATCATCTGGCCCGCTAAGTCCTAAATATGCAGCTCCTCTCATAGAATTGGTTGGTCCAGAGGAAAAAGTACGGATTGGAAGTCTTGAAGCAGAAGGAGCGTCAATCAAAGTTCCGTCGTTCTGAGTAAGGTATAGAGGACAGTTCAGGCTTAAGCGTTTCATTGCTGACTTAAAGCCTCGGATGGTGCGCCGTGCAAACCTGAGGATAGAGGCATTGAGAATAGATGCATTCTCACGCTCAAGGAATCCAATCTGGGAGACTTCAGAAGAGCAAACAATATCAACTCCAGGTAGCTCTCTTTGAATGATCTTTCGAACATTGTCTTCTTGGAAAAAATGCTTGTCGATTGGAGAGAATACACCAGAGATGACGACTGCGTCTAACCCTAACTCTTTAATTTTGGCACATTCTTTGACCACCTGAGTTTCATTTATAGGTGATTCTGCTGCTCCATCAATAGTGAGCCCACCGTCAACGTAGGTGTAGTAGCCGTTCATAATTGACTTGAGAACTGGTGGGAAGTCTGAAAAAGGGGGTACCTCTCTCGTGAAACTCTTGGAAAGCCGGATGATGGCCACTTTTGATAGGCGTCGAGCATCGTGTTCCACTATGGCGTTGATAAAATGCGTTGTCCCAATGGTTAGGCAGGCAATTTGATCTCTCGGTACCTTGGACTGCTCAAGGACATTGAGAACGGCACTTTCTATCCCATCGGTAACATTGGGACTTGTAGTTGGGGTTTTATGCTGAGCAATCACCCCGCGATTTACTTCATTCGTGGCACGAACATCCAATATGACGCTGTCCGTGTTGGTGCCGCCGACGTCGACACCGATCCGATAAGGAGCTGCTAATGATGACATTGTCGTGATGGACACGGCGTATAGAGATCACATATAATACGTCCCTGGATCCGGTGTAGCAATAAGGGGAACGTAAAATTTGGATGATGCGATGTACGAGAAACCAGAATCCTTCCACATGTCAAGTTCGGAGTGCGTGGCTTGGAAGCTGTAATTTATACCTCGTACACCCGGATAACTGAGTGTCCCGATAATTGATAACTGCATCAAACGTACGGAGTATCTTGGTATACAACCACCAGACTCAAACCCGGGGTAGTGATCATAAGAGCATACGGGGAAGATGAAGTGTTCTGGCCGTCAGATAAGACGTGCAAACCCCAGTAATATTCTCAATCGTCGAGTTCCACTTCACGCAAGTTATTGTCCTGATGCGGAACTAATTTGACACCCGGATGCTAAATTGTTGCATGGTGAGGATGACCATGTTGAATTCATGCAAAGAATTTCGGGGTCGGAGCCAGCTGATAGGCTGTGGTTATGATGGCTTCAACAGGGCGGAAGGTTAGGCTTCATTTCCACCAACAGGTGTAGAATTTGGCCGATGGGTGTCAACATTGTTTCCCCCGACCCCCAGAGTAACCTGCTCAAGATCGTCCCCGTTCAAGCTCGGTAGTGCAAGTTGATCCTCCGTAATTGCAAGACAAATCATCGGTAATAGCTTCTCGGGCGAGGGGGGGCGTGTCAGTATGGTATGGCTAGACCGCTCAATATTATGCGATGTTCCCAAATTCTACTGAAGCCCTCCAAGATGATGAAGCGGGTTTCAAGAATCAAAGGCCGAAAGGATTGGATGATGCGCTGCAAGCAAGGATGGCTCTGCAGTTCTCCAGAAATGGTCATCAGGCCCATACACTGGACTGCTGAGGAATTGTATCAGAGAGAGAGAGAGAGAGAGAGAGAGCGAAAGATGAATAATTATCCTGTTGATAATGCGCCCAAAAGAAAAAAAGGTATCCCTATGTAAGACAAACATCCTCCAAGAAGAGAAACAAAAATCAGAACAAAAGAAAAAAGCAAATGCCGTTATTACTCAAACACACAAGTCATAAGATCGCTCTATATAGCTTCATTTCCAAGCACCCTGGCTCAAGGAAAGTAAACCCTGGATGCAGTCAAGATCCTCTTCCTGGTTCGAACTTGTGCTGGGGAGAGATGGCTTCCCACTAAGTCCGTCGTCCTTGTTTTTGTCGTGGTCCTTTCGAGGAGATGTCATTCCCCGCCCAATAATTCGATTCCCCTCACGCCGAGCGTCCCCTGATGTCTGAAGAACACGATTCTGCGGGTGGGCGGTGGGATGTGGTCGACGGCGACGAGGGCCAACATTCTGTGTACCTGGGAGCCAGTTTTCCTTGTCGGAGTCACCGTTGTGAAAATCTGTTTTGGGCTTCGTTTTTTGGCTTTTGTTGCCCTGAGAGCTGTTAAGTTTGGCGGTGCTAACAGTTTCTAATGACGGTTCAGTCTCCAGCCGGCCAAGGGAGGACACAGCGCGGGATAGTTTCTTTCGCTTCTGGGGTGGGCTAGTGGGTAGCAGTGAGTTCGGGAGATTAGCACATGGCGACAATATACGCGCATTCGCGTTGGAAACCCTCCTGCAAGAGGACCTGGCGCTTCCACTCCGGTCAGACGTAGGGCCCGTTCCGAGTTTGGGTGAGGAGAGAGCGCTACGCGCGTCTGTATCACAGTACAACTCCCATCTGCGTGAATCTCGAGACCGGCCAAATATATTAGCAGCGTCTGGTGATTTAGATCCAAATGAGACGGCACTGCTAGTCCGTCGAAGGCTTCTAAGTCGGGACTGAAGAGAGAGGGGAGTCGAAGTACGGTTTCGTGAAGGAGAGGGTGACGGCTCTCCTGCCGTTCGAACAACTGCTTCACCGTCTGCAGAGAAAGCAATTCTCAAAGAATCGCGAATCTTCGGAGGAGATGGGGTCTTCTCATCTTCGCCACGTACCACTGCCTCGCCATCAAAGGAAAGAGAAAGACGAAGAGATGGCGAGTTCGTGGAGCCAAATGATCTTCGTGCATTTTCAAGTTCACCAACTCCTAGTCCACTGACGCCTGAATCCGCACGCTTCCTCTTACCGGAGGAAAGCTGAGCACGTAATCTTGGTTCACTGACGGCAGAGCAAAATCTACACTGGTTGTCTTGAGATTTGGTAGATGTAGTAGAAGTTTGTGAGCTTTCGAGCTGTGACGATGCGACATTGTGTTCACACTGGCAGCTGGAAAAAGACTGAGAGGGTGTGCCCAGTGTATTACCGTAGGAATCATCGGCGTTTGAATTCAGGTTTCCATTCTGCGTGTTTGGTGGACTAGCATCTACGGTTTTTTGAGAGTTTTCGAGTTCCTGTGTATTCGGGGATAGTTCATTCGAATGCAGCGGTTTAGATTTTCGCCTGTCGTTCTGCCTTCTGTTCTGAAACCATATCTATAATGCGGGGATTGTTAATGTCTGGCAGGTGACGACGAGGCCGACCGACTGAGACCGTACCTGAACTTCCTTATCTCCTAAAGAGACTCTGCTGACGATGCTCGCTCTGGTGGCCTTGTCAGGCTTTGGATTCAATCGGTATTCCGCTTCTAAAATAGCATGGTCCTCGGGGCTGCCGGTCTTGGGGTTAGTTCCATACCCTTCGCATGGTCAGTATAGCCAGGACACGTACCTAGTGCGCCGACGGCGCTGACGGATGTACACCTTACTATCGACTTTAGGTGGAAGATCCTGCGTCAATGTCTTGTTGGAATGTATTAGAAAGGAGTAGTTGTTGCCAGACTCTGGCTCAGTCGCGACGGCGGAAGCAGCTGTATCGCCCTCATGGCCCGTTTGACGCGAGTCATTCATGGCGTAGATATTATATGCAGGCCAGGTCAACGGAGAGGCGTAGCGAGAGAAGAGGGAAAAGGAGAAGAGGAAGGGAAAGGGAGGAGAATATGAAGCGTCGTCAAAGGCGAGACTCCACTAGTTAATAGTCGTGGTTCCTCGCTTGCTTTCTCGTGTCGCGATAGAACACGCTGAAAACACAAGACGGTACGGGCCTTGAGTGAGGTATTTGGGTTGGCGCCGATAAGCCCGCTCCGTGCAGGATAATCCGTCCTTTGCCAGCTTATCGTCAGCGAAAAAAAAGACCCTGGCGGTTTGTTATCTTGGCCGGTCTCGATAGCGCGTTCTTCCGAGGCAGACTTTAGGCCAATAAGCCCCGGATCAGGAGATGAGAAACAACCCAGGACTTTCGCGGGCCCGGTCGTATATACTCTTTAAGCACCCCCAGGTATCCTCCGCCAGAAACCCCCTTTGTTCTGATCTTCCGAGGAAGTGCCCGATGTCGTTCGTCCTTGGTTGTCTTGTTTGCGTCAAAATAAAATAAAGTCTAGACGCGCTAGACGCGCCCGATAAGCGCGAAAGACAAACGCGGTCGGGAGATCTAACAGTATCACATGACGAGTTTCTAGCACACGGAAGCAGCGCTTCGAAAGACACCAAGACGCGTTCTGGCGCTTTCAATACTGTTCTCTTAGAACGAGTTGACTGCATTAATTCTTGAACTCCACCCATACTTCATTTACTGCCCTATGAAGGTGAGCAATATTTTTGGAATAGAATTATCTTGCTAATTTCCCGGGCTTAATCCATGATTGAAGACCTTTGTTACAGTCTTACAGAGAGTGCTCCATTCTTGGAAATGGATCCCAACGCTACCATGCAATTACTCCGTTTCCTGCGAAAGATTTCGTGCTCCTTTCTCGATATCCTGCTTGACACCTCCATACCTAGGGCAGTGTCCGTCGCCGCTGTTCACCGATCAGTTTACCTACAACACCAGGTGCTAGACATTCATCAGTTCTCCCTCGGTTCCTGCATAATGAGGAAACGTACTTGAGCTTTGCTATAGAGTATGGGGCATTTACTTGCCCGCAAGGCCGACCGTGCTTCAGCAAAATTTTTAAAGGACACGCCGGCATGGAATACAGCATACATCCCTATTGCCTCTTCGTACTACTCTGTCAGAGAAACGGTGACAAGATCATTGACCGACTGACCAATTCAGTGGCTCAAGTACATTTCCTCTCAAGACGCAGACTATCCCTCTCGAACGCCCTGTATTATTATCCGTATCGCGCTCTATTCTGGCATAATAGCATTTCTGATGAAACCTCTCAATGCACCGTGAAGGACCAACTGACAAAGCTAGTGCACATGCCAGGTGTATACCCGATAATTAACGACATTTCGGCCCAAATGTACGCCTCGCAGACGGTAAATTCACATACAAAAGATCTACGTCGTTCTAGTCTTTGATTTGATGGAAGTTTTTTTTGACACACGATTATTTTGACTAAAAAAGCTCGAGCGCTCACCATGGTCACGCCAAGAGATGCCCAATAATTGAGAAAACAATTATATCCTGATATCGCTTGTTACTAGCTCGTACTAATAGCCCCCAAGGTTTTATGTGAATAATTTCTCCATTCCCATGATCTGTTTTTATTGTCATCCTCAATATATCTGGTTGAGAAACAATATTTATTTCCCGAGTCCCTCAACCACCTAGCTGTGCCTTTGCGACAGAATAAGCGTTCAACCTTTCCGCTTCCGGCTTGGCAGGGCCAGAAATTGTGGGTTCAGAACCACTAGCGTAGAGTCTAACTAAAGGGGAAAGTTGATCACGCTCGCAACAAAAGCTAAGATGATATTTGTATTGAGTTACCTCATAACCTGGCTATAATCTGGTCTTAAGTGGTTTAACGTCTCAACAGCACAAGCGTTCTAGTAGGATCTTTTCTCATGCTCACTCACTAGTTGCGGAAATGCCAATTCTATAACTGGCTAATTTTCAAGCAATCAAGTTATTTGCCAGGTCAGACAGCCACAGAACTCTCTGTTGGCTAGCTAGCTAGTTATTTAGGTAGCTTGGATGAGATACAAGCCAGTACTAGTCTAGTTTAGTAGCCTATCATTGCATATCAAGTCCTCAAACATTCGTGTTTGGCTCCACCGTAATACAACGTGCATATTCTAGTGATTGAGGAGATTCAACCTGCAGTTGAGTTGTTCTCCATAGGTTGCCCAGGAAGATTTCTCCGCATTTATTATCCATTAGGGCTGTCATGGTAGCATGTAAATTGCGAAGAGACCCTTTATCGCGCTGTTGAGATATCTTCTATTCTCTCACAGGGGGAGACTTCAAGGAAGAGATGGCCTTATTCAAGATATTTAAAAGAGCCAAGAAACCATGGGGTTATAGTTGGCGGTCCTCGTCAGCTTTCACAGTGGTATGTGTCGTCGTAACACTGTTTGCAGGTATGGCCTTTGTTCCTGAAATCGACGTTAGATAGCAATGTTTTTCACAAGCGGCAGTGAGAACCCCCTCTGACCACAGTCTGTAACCTTTAGAAACGTTCACCCACGGTTTCGTGATACCTATTCTTCCGTACATTCTCGAGAAGCGTAACAATGTCGACCCTAAGGATACTCAGCAGTTTACGTACTTGATACTCACAACTTACGGCGCCACGGCAGTGGTATCTGGACCTGTGATCGGGCAGTTGACGGACAGGTTTAAGTACCCCAAGATAATTCTAGCAATTGGGCTAGGAGTCGCGTTTCTAGGGACAGTTATTCTTGCAACTTCCACAAATCGTATGAAAATATCACCCCAGTTGGCACTTAAATAGGCACGAGACTGACCATTCCCATTAGTTATAAATGTTTTTCTCGGGCGCATCATACAGGCCGTGGGAAGTACGGTATCCCAGGTTGTTGGGCATGCAACGCTTAACGATGTTGTTAAACCACAGAATATGGGTATAATATTGGGTATGGTAAACGCCTTTATCAGTGCAGGGGCATTTTCTGGTCCGGCAATATCAGGTTTCATGCTCGAATACTTCGGATATTGGAAAACCTGGATGATAGTATTCGGGATACTTTCCCTTGATATCGTGCTGAGGTTGTTGTTGATTGAACATCGAAAAATCAAAGATAAGCGGAAACAAGCCAAAGCCAAGAAGGATGAAGAAAGCAGAAACGCTACTTCGTTACCGGAGAGCGTAAACGAATACACCTCACTTATTTCCAACGTCTCAAAGAAACCCTACAATCTCACTAAGGGAATAAGTGATGTGAAGAAGGGCTGTGCATCCATGTTCTCCTTCTACTGGACACTGCTCAGCCAGCCTATGATCCTTATTGGACTCGTGTCCTATATGACCCGCTCATCTCTGATGGCCAGTTTCAACACTACACTCCCCACGCATGTGCGAGATCTTTTTGGGTGGGGTAGCTTCCCCGCTGGCATGTTGTTCGTCGGGCTCCAGGCACCAGGCATGGTCCTTGACCCTCTTTTCGGATGGATCCGAAGAAAGGGTGGAAACAAGATACTCACAGGCCTGGGGTTTATTCTCCTGGGTCCACTGCTCTGGCTTCTCGGGGTAGTGAATCAAAAATGGATGCCATGGTCCGGTTCCGAGGATATGGTTAAGCTCGTATATGTCATTGTCATTGTCTGCATAGGATGCATCCAGAATCTCCCAGCAAGCGTCGGGGCAGCGGAGATAACCGGTAATTAACCAGGAATCATAACCATCACCCCATTAACTAGTTGTGCTATATGCTAACTTTGTGGGTGCTATCTTAGCCGTAATGGAGCATCTTGAATCGGAGACTCCGGGAATATTCGGCATCAAGGGTGGGAATTCGCGAGGCCACTCCCTTTCTAACGGGAGTTTTAATCTGGGCCAGTTCATAGGACCACTTTTATCTGGATCTTTGGCAGATAATCTGGGATATGATAGTATGACTTCAACTTTGTGTAAGTTTCATTCGAAGGTGATTGCTGCCATCAAACGCTGACCTACATTCAGGTGGTATCTGCTTCGTTACATCAGTTTTGACAATTGCTTTTATGAAAGATAAACCATCAAGGAGGAGCTGGTGGGGGTGAAGGTAGGTAATTGGCATCATGATGCAAGAGTTTCCTTGGGAGGTTTCTGTTCTGGTGGTTGATGTTTTAATGTTGCGGTGCTAGCCCACTCAACGAAGGAGGGGAAGTTGGCGCCTGGCGCTTCGAACCTTAACTAACTAGCTAGTTCAACCTAAGCGCTTATTAGTTACGCAGAGTAATGACTCCTGTGTATCCAGGTGGGCGATTTCGCCATTTCCACTGTTTAATGGAATCTGGGACACAGGTTAATAGGCATCAGAATAATTAATATTAATTCACATCTTTATTTCTTTCGTAACAGGTACATCCCTGTAAATCCTTCTCGTTTATCTACGCCCGATAACTACCCATGTTCCAAAACAAATACTGCTGAATAAAAGAAAACAAATAAGAAGGAGGGATGGGTGGAAGAATCAAGGTATACGCTAAGGATGACAATAGATAAAGGGTATGGGTAGGCAGTCTATGTCCTAGTCGTGGGGTATACAATACATTATGGGGGTGGCAGCCGTTCAATCGTATGGTAGTTGGGGTATGATGGTGTTTTCTGTCCCGGTGTGGGGTAGCCGTGATGTACTTTCATGCTAATTCGTGTGAAAGCAATGATATTTTTGGGTTGAAAGTCAAAGGTGGAGGGAGAGTGGTGGTTAGAGCAGTGAAGGCTCAACCAAGGAGGACTATATTCGAGAGTTAGAAAAAAAATACGTTCACTTAACCACCATTATAAGACATGAAGTACGAACCTTCCCAGCCCCAATCCCCCATAACACTGAGCCAGTGTAGATTACCTCGAACAGTCCTTTCGTACTCGGGGAAAATACGACATAGGCCTGAAGATCCATCGCCGCGGCTAGATGCTAAGGATACTGTTGGGCTGGGTGACGGTGTTTGATTAAATGTTTCGGGAAGCGGTGTTGATGCAGCCGCATTGATATCATCAGCTGAGAAGACACGAGAATCTTGCCTGCCAGCAAAGACAAGTGGCTCTATTACACTGTCATGGCGGCTGCAGGCCCCTGATACCGGCGTATCAAGAGGTAGAGAGTATATATCAGATTGGTGGTTCATCATAGCAGCTTTGCGAGCGTCTCGACGCTTCCAAACCTCGCAGACAACTTCTATGCATCGGTCGATATTTCCAATCGCCATTCGTTGTTGCATTTCTGCCCAACGAATTCTTGCCCAGTTTCTATCTTCCTCGCTATCGGCTTCACAGCTGGCGACTAGAAGTGGGAAGATCTGGACCACAAGAGTCCGGGACCCCAGAGGGATAGTGGCGAGAGTGACAAGAATTCGGTTGGCTAGTTCACTTGTAGATTCTGAAGGTATTTCAGGAACAGCTAGATGCAGGTGGAGCAGAATCGCCCAACGGTAGGCCTGGGCGGTCTGGAAGCTGTCCTGGATATTGGATGTCGGGTCTTCTGGCGGTTTGAAATACCTCGGAGGAGCCCATTGTTCGATGAGTGTTTTGAGCTCCATCGCCTGGGAGACAATAGCAACCGAATTCATTGGGACCTTGCGAACGTTTTGGACTAAGACAGCAACACGGCCGATTAGCGGGAATAAGCTGGCCGCGCAGCCTAATAAAGGGTCGACTTCGTGGACTTGTGGGGTGAAAATGGGAGGAAACGGAATCTGGTCGAACCCGGTGTCTTCACGGGAGGTTAGCTGGGCAATGACTGCAATGTACATCCAGCCGTTGTATAGAAACATCAGGCGGGACTGGTCGCTAGGTGAAAGTGGCATGTGGGTATGCCTGGCGACGGCCCTGTCAAACAAAACTTTAGCTCCACGAAGATGATGTACGCCAGTTGAGACATGCGTATCCCATGTATCCGCAAATGCGAGAGCGAGCGTTGTAGCCAAGGCCGCATCTATATTCATGCTTTCTATATCGACAGCTAGCGTTCGGACGCTCTGGCGCATGTGGTCCATCCCAAGGTATTTGAATGAAGCATTTTCCTTGGTTGAGTGAAACGCAGCCATCGCACATACTGCATGGTATAGTGCGGGTGTATCTCGAATTAGAGGAGTCACCGCTGTCCGCCACGGATTCTCAGCTACGCCATCTTTGATTGAGAGAATACCACAGGTGCGCCGGTCGAATCTAAGGAGGAGCATTTCGGCACTGTCCGCTGCGAAGTTTATCGGTGAGGGGATGGGTATGCTATGTATCTGGGATAGTGATCCCGGTCGTTTTCTTTTGAGAGTGATGAAATCGCCGGGAATGTCCTGTCGAATAACTCCTCCAGCGTTGTCATCCTCAGAGTCTGCGAGCGGGGTGTGAGATCTTGATGTGAAAGGTTGCGTTTCTGATGTGAAGGTTGGAGTAAAAGCCCCTGAAGATTGAGGGAAAGGCACGGCCTCCCTGGCTACTAGGCTCTGCTGCAGCTGGATGCCAGATGTAGTCTCAGGGCTAGAAGAAGCTTTCCCCTGAATATCCAAACCCTCTAGCAGCGGCGTTACCCGGCTGTCAAAACTTGCACAAGATCCGCTCGCTGAAGGCGGGGCCTCCACTGCTGGCGGTGCACGCGGCATGTCCTCGGCCGTGACGTTGATAAAACGGCATTTGTACTGCCTGACACATTGCGACTCTCGTTCTTCTGGGTCTGACCTTTGGGTCTTTGGTTTTGATTTTCCAGTATAGCTAGACTCCTCGAAGGACAGCCATTTGTAGCTTTTCTTGTATCCGCCGCAGGGGACGTTTCTCTTCTGGCATTGAAGGCACGTAGGTTTCGTCTCGTCACATTTAAGTCTCTTTGCCTTGCAAGTTACACACCCTATAGGAGTAGAATTAGCACCGGACGACGACAGGCCTTGTATATAATATATCAGAAAGGCAAAGCTGGTTCTTAGCCCCCTAGTAGTCACTATTTGGAGGGGTATACGTAGTATAACTCCCAACTTTCTGGGAGAAGGACTGGGAGAACATACCGTTGCGGCTCTTTGACTGCTTCGGTTTGTCCTGTGCCGGACTACTAGGGGCAGGCGGATCACACGATTGAGCAGACGGGGGACAGCTAGGCTGCCCGCGGACGGTTGCAGCGTCCTGCTTGAGGTCGCAAGGTCGAGCAGCGTCGCTTGAGGATGTGTCCATGGAGCATCGGGCGGCGTTCACGCCAGTCCACAGAGAGATAGAATAGGAAGACACAAGGCTTATATCTAGCTACATGGTCCTCTTCTCCGCAGGATGCCTGGACAAGGGGGGAGTAGTAGCTCGAACGCAGCGCCAGCAGCAGCAGCAGGTTTCCTAGCGCACAGCCGCCTGTTTCCTCACACTGTACGCCTTTCTTTCTCAACTCTCTCACTCACTCTCTCTCTCGTTCACTGTCACTCGCTCAACCCTCCCTTTTTTTTTTTTCTTTTTTTTTTTTCCTTTCTTTCCTTTCTTTCTTTCTATTTTCCGGCCGTCGTCCTTCGTCTGGCCTCCTGTGTCCGCGTTCATATGCCTGCAAGCTTGAAGATCCTGTGGAAATCGCCCTTTTGCTTCTCCACAAAGTGCCGATAATTCTCCGCATACGAGACGTGACGGGGACTTTACAGCCGCCACCAGTCGGAGCAGGCGTATCAATACAGCTGTGTTACACCGACATCAGTGACTTTCTTTTCTTCGCCATCGATCCCAACGCTTTCTTTTTCTTCTCTTTGGCGAACAGAGCCAGCCCAGGTCAACGAAGTCCAGACTCTTGGTCGCTGGCGGCGAGGTGTGCCTGGAAGCTCGTGGGCTTTGCGCTTTGCGGAACCGTTGGCTGCAGTTCTAGCTTGGGTTTCCATGGGAAGTTACGCCAGCAGATCATGGCGTCGGCTGCTGATAGTGACTGATATTCCTCAACCTCTTACCACAAGGCGGCCAGAAGATATTCGCCACGGCTTCACTTTCCACAGAGCGAAAAAAAACCTGGTTAGGAGACGAGGCGATGGGACGAGACGATGGGGCCAAGCGATGGGGCCAAGGGGCTCTCCTAGGAAGCATATTCAATATTATCTCTATGTTTCTGCCTAAAAGTGGGGAGAAATATGGGTTTATATTGGCCCCCTGAAAGCGTGCAAGATACCACCACCTCCTCCTCCTCCTCAGCGACAACATGCCTATGCCTGACATCATTGAGAGGAGGAGGAGGGGGGAGGGGGCCGCGGAAGCTAGGCATGGACTGGCTACAGCTAATTCCGTCCGTGAGGAATGAATTTCGTTTTCAAAAGCCGCTGTCTGCTCCGGCTGCCCACGTCACCATTATGCTTACATTACAGATTACAAGGACAAGGAAAAAAAGCGCCTGCAAGGCAGTGTTATAGTGTACGTACATGCGGGAGAAAAGCGCTAAACTATAACTACCTCGGCACGGGCTTGACAAAATTTCGCTATTTCAAACCCTCCTAGTATCATCATTGCTACAAGGGACCCGGCCAAGGTACCCATCAGGATCTGTGATTCAGGGTGTAACATCACCCAAGACAACTGTCATATTCTACTACGGAAGACTCCGGAAATAAAGAGTATAGATGACAGTCAAATAGTGTTTGTTCTGTTTGTGATCGGGTGCTCTCTGCACCTTGTGGATGTCCATCTAAGTACTTAAAGGTCAACCTAACTTTTATATTAGTGACCCTATCGGAAAATCACTAGTTACCGATGGATCGGTTTTTAATATCGGAAATCGGTTGGCTCCAGAGGGACCCTTTCCCGTAGCCAGCCAAAGATGCTAAGAGACTGCCTTGTGCCCTCTGCCATGGGCACAAGACCCTCCTCTTCCCATCAACATGACGAATCGTCTGTCGATTCCATCTTAGCACGAACTTCTGCATGGGTCTAATTGGCAACCTGCTGTTTTCCTATTAGCTCGGAATAATCACAGGGACCACTCACAAGGTTGCAAGTGGCGACTCAAGGAGGCATGTCCTTCTTGTGCCATTCACTGTTTACGGGGCTAATAAGAAGTTTGTCCCGCTGAAGTTGAGACATGCATGGATCGTTGGATAGAACCATGAAGCTGCCGGGCTGAGTCGGGAAGTGGTTAAAAAGAATAATACTTACTTATGGCGGATGGTAAGTTTAGCCCGGGCAATTCCGCAATACTACAAAGCTAATCTAGAGTTAGTTACGGAGTATGCCAATGCCTGGGCACTGAAAAGTGTGTAATTCCTTGGGTATCCGCTATGGAGAGGGTTCACTGACCAAGACTCCGACTTTTCTAGATCTGTGGAGTTGACATTACCGCGAGATAACGGAGTTCAAAGATCTGCATGGCCTGATTAGATCGGGAGTATGGTTCATTATTCTCAAATAATATGCCAGTACGACATAACTAAGACATGCCAATATTTACGCCAAATTAATGTTGATGGTTTCGGCCTAGCACCAATCAGGGGGCAGGATTGCAGTTTTAATAGCATTTTGACAAGGACTTAGTTGATGTGATAATGCTGTTAATGGAATCAATTACCGGTTATTACTATCTTCCCTGTCTCATCCAACTCTAGTTCTCTACCGCTGCATCGGATAGTGGTTGTACGGAGTATAGCTATTAATCTCGACAGCCACAGAGACTATGCTAGAGTAGTTAGCCTTGTGAAAGCATTAGATAGCATACGCATACTTCCAACTATTCACTTCCCAATCTCCTAATTCTGCGCCAATCTTGCCATACACTCCCTTCCCTTACCCCCTTCCCTTACCACCTTCCCTTACTCCCTTCCCTTACTCCCTCTCCCCTCTCTCTCTCTTCTTACCTCGCCGTCCTCGCCGTCCTCGCCGTCCTCTGCGTCACTTCACTCCTCCGTCTGTGCGCTGATATGATGACTAAGATCATGACTAAGCAAGTTGCCCTGGCAACTCCGCCCATCGACTTGCAGCTTGCGATCTCAAAGCCAACTTTTAGTGCACGAATGATAACCTGACCCTAGCCAGATCGCTGTCGCTAATACAGCCAGCAAAGATTAGTGACTCGAGCTAGCTACCTTATCGATCTAAGCTGCGTGCAACTGTTTTTCGTGGCAGCCACACACGCAACGGACTGCAGCGCGAGCGAGCGGGCGAGCGAGAGAGCTAGCGAGGCCAATCCTCCTTCGCGGGGCAGAGGCGATAAACATCAACATTCACTCAATTCCGCATCAACATCAACAGCAACGCCCATCCTGTTTACTTATCGACCCTGTGATGGATGCGAATAATATACCACCATACTCCCTCGGAAAGCAGACAACCCCCCATTTCCCACCGATGCTCAATACGCGGTCTGGCAACGAGCCCTATGAGCGGCCGTTGACCCCCCCTCAGACTCAGGCTGGCTTTATCAGTCCCATCAACACCCCGCAAGGCAGCCCGAGCAAAAACAAAGTACCGCCTGGTGCCACAGGGCTAGTCAATGTGTTCGACAATGCCATGAGGCTCACCCCGTCTTCGCCGTCCAAGTCAGGTTTCGGTAAATCGCCACTGTCACCAGGACGAGGCCAGGTTGATGATTTGACTGCGTACAATGAAGGAAGGGAAGAGTCTGTGAGGCCGGGGAGCCCTACTCGGTTGTCAAACAAGGAGAATGCCCCAATACCTGGGCTGCGGCCAGGAAAGGAAGCGAATACTTTAAGCCATGCTGCTATGTCGCGTCGAGAGCAGTATCAGACAGGCGATCGGATGGAGGCTGGCCTTCGAAAACCACAAGCTCAAATCAGGGGCTTGACCGCGGAGGAACTGGAGAAGTTACAGCAGCCGAAAGTTAAGCGCCTTGCCAATGTCACGCAGCTCTGTTAGTTATACTGTTGACATCCCCTTTGGTTCCTGGATATGTGCTAACCTAGTGAAGATTTCCTTGACCACTACTTCAACCTTCTCAGCTATGTTCAGAACCGACAGATACGCAGCGCCCAATTTGCTGCTGCCTATCCCCCTCCACCTGAGACAGATGAAGCAGAGTACGAAGTCGCACGCCATAAATATTTAGGCCGAGAACGTGCCAACCTTCGGAAACGGAGAACCCGTCTGCGACATGGCGACTTCCAGATTCTTACCCAGGTTGGTCAGGGAGGCTATGGGCAAGTCTATCTCGCACAAAAGAAGGACACTCGTGAAGTGTGCGCGTTAAAGGTCATGAGCAAGAAGCTGCTCTTCAAGATGGACGAGATCAGGCACATCTTGACGGAACGTGACATCCTAACAACTGCAAAGAGCGAATGGTTGGTGAAGCTACTTTATGCTTTTCAGGACGATACTCAAATATACCTTGCCATGGAATACGTCCCTGGAGGTGATTTCCGTACTCTACTCAACAACACAGGGGTCCTCCATAACCGACACGCTCGATTCTATATCGCTGAGATGGTAGCCTGCGTGGATGCTCTCCATGTTCTTGGATACATTCATCGAGACTTGAAACCAGAGAACTTCCTGATTGACTCTACCGGGCACGTCAAGTTAACTGACTTTGGATTGGCAGCGGGCATGCTTAATCCTACCAAAATTGAGTCTATGCGTTTGAAACTGGAGGAGGTCGGAAAGACGGCCGTGCCATTTGGTCGGCCGATGGAGCAACGTTCAGCTGCTGAAAGACGCGAGGGTTACCGATCACTTCGAAAGCTAGATGTCAACTACGCCAAATCAATCGTTGGATCGCCTGATTATATGGCTCCAGAGGTGTTGAGCGGTGAGGAATACGACTTCACTGTTGACTACTGGAGTCTGGGGTGCATGCTCTTCGAAGCTCTGACGGGCTACCCTCCTTTCGCTGGAGCGACTGTGGATGAAACATGGCAGAATCTCAAAAATTGGAAAGATGTGTTGCGCAAGCCACAATACGAAGATCCGAACTACTATCTCTCCCGACGTACTTGGGACTTTATCACTCGACTTGTTGCTTCGAAGGAACATCGGTTCAAGAACGTTACTGAAATTCACAACCATGACTATTTCGCTGAAGTGAACTTCAACACCCTGAGAGAAGAGCAGAAGGCTCCGTTTGTTCCTGACCTTGACTCTGAAACGGATGCTGGCTACTTCGACGACTTCGGAAACGAGGCTGACATGGCTAAGTATAAGGAGGTACATGATAAACAGAAGGCACTTGAGGATATGGCTGATCGTGACGAAAAGATGAACAAGAGCGTCTTCGTTGGGTTCACTTTTAGGTATGGGATCTTACTCTAGAGATTTCTTCTACGCGATTGTTTTGCTAACGGTGAAATGAATAGACATCGAAAGCCGGTCATTGATAGCGACGGACGCAGCAGCCCTCGGAAGGGTATCCCGACCGACGGGTCCTTTGGAACCATGTTTTAAAGAAATTTGACTCGCCGAAGCCACCGCTTTCACCGACGTTGTGTGTTCGCCACCGACTATCTCCAACATATCCATCCCTCCTTCTTCAACCCCTTCCAGAGCTGGCTCCGTTAATTTTACTCATTCACTTTTCCTTCAACCACTCGGCAAATAAACTTATTGTAATATCTGTAGCTGTTTTACATGGCGTGGTGCAGGCATTCGTTTTCACTCTCATTTTTATCCCACCCCCTTGACATTCAGACCTTGCCAAACGTACTACAGATATGTCCCAAACCCCCATACTCTGGTCCATCTTTTCTCCTTTTCCTTTGACTGTGTGAATCCTTTTCTTCTTGTGCATTTCTTTGTTGCATACACTCTCATCATCTGTTCCCGGTTTCTTTAGGGTGGGTAAACGTTTCTCTTTTCTTTTGGTACCGTAGCCTTATTATAACATTACGAGTATAGTTGACTGACGGTTCTGTTTCTCTCCTGTAAATGTCTTGGACTACAAAACTTGTAAACATCTATTGTAGTTGAATGTATGTAAACAAAGGAACTGACTGGCTGGTTTAAGCGTGGAGGCGCCTGGGCGGGATGACGTAACGAGCTCGTAAGTTTAGAGCCGCATAACTAACGAAGGATTTAAACCTTCAATCACAGACCGGAGCTTCTTCCAACCTTCCCTCTACCATCGACCTCGCATCCAACCAACGAGCTCAACAATCACGAAGCTAACTGGGCAAATACACCCCAATCGTCCTTTCACCATGTTTCGCTTTGTAAGTTCTTTCTGTTTGACTCTCCAAGTTACCAACATCGACTAACAAAGCACCTTTACCGTGTCTAGCATAAAACCTTAGACATCATCACGCTCTTCCACAAGCCCACCCTCGCATCATCCACAAAAGCACTATCTGTCCTGCAGAGGGCCTCAACAGCCATCAAAGAAGGAACAGCAACATCTCCTTCCGGCTCCCCACTACGAAATTCTGACTTCGAACTAAACGTTACGGAAGAGCCGCCAACTACGGACCAGCTCAAGCTTATTATGGATTACATGACATCCTCTCCTCTTGCGAGCGGGGGTATCGGGGTGGGCAAGCCAGGTGACTTGGTGTCTGGAGCTACAGACCGATCTGATGCTGTTAAACGGCTGAAGGAGAATGGTGACAGTTTCATAAGGCCTGTGGTAAGTTGTGAGTCACTGGGTTAGATGTGGAATGGGGAACTGACTGGGTTGATCTACGAATGTAGGTTGTGGACTGGAATAATGGGAAAGCAGGTATGTCCCGTTTCAGATATGAGAGGTGCCTTGTAAATTATGTGTGCTAATTGGGATCGTTTCATAGTGCTTGCTACGAGTGAGTCGGCGATATTGAAGTTGCTCTCGGAAGAGACCTGAAGACGCGAGTGATCATGAAGACTCCTTGCCCACTCTTACGGTTTTATTATTTACTTTATAACATGAATGAAACGAGTACGTTAGTCGTCGAGGAAAACATCGCTGTATTATTGTTGTTTGTATATTAGGTATCGAGGCTCTAATGACTAAGAAAAATCTACGCTGCTCTATACGAAGAGCATTGAGTACGCTACCTGGATGCTACATCATCGGTGTAATGTAACGGACGAACGACGGCCTATATATCTTGCCAGCCAAAGAGCGAGGAAGACAAAGAAAATAAGCCCGAGAGCCGAGGAGAATATCCATTGACGGTCGTTGCTGGGCTTACCCACACCGAGTCATAACTCAGAAGAGGCCGCAGTTCCCTCAGCGGGGATGACGCGGTCAAGGAATTTCTCGAGGTCCTGAATCTCATCTGGATCGCCGGAATGGCCCAGTCCGCTATGAAAGGAAAATATTAGCACAGAAATCACGTAGTGAGCCACTTCAAGATATTTTTACGCACTGATAAGTTTTAAAGTCGACGTCAACGCCCATATCCTTCAGGATGGAGGCAGTTTTCTCTCCATACTGGTGCTTAACCACCTGATCGATATCTCCATGGCCCATAAAAAGGGGTGTCTTCTGATTCGGCCAACCCTCTGGGATATGCTTCTTGAGCTGTTCAGAAGACAAAGGAAGGTAGCATGACAAGCCAAAGATACCACCTAGCTTTACAGGGGATGCGAAGCCGGTGACCAGCGCCATAGCTCCTCCCTGAGAGAACCCACCGAATACGATGCGGGAGGGTTTGATTCCCTTGTCTATTTCTTCTTTGATGAGAGTGTTGAAGTAATCGCGGGACTTCAGGATGCCTTCCTCGTCGCGCTGGGCAAAGAACTCCTCCATGGTTTGCTGGTGGCTGTTAGTGTTCAAGTGTTCATAGTGGGTTCAGGGTCGCGGAGGGAATCGTACTGTAGGAGAGAGGTTCTTGATATCGTACCATCCCGGCATGGACATGCCGAAGTTCTAAAGCAGATGATTGACAGTCAGCAGAGGGAAGAGTGGAGAGAGGACAGGGACAGGGGAGATGAGGGCAGACATACCACAGTGATCGGGATGGAGGGTGCGTTGGGGAAGATAAAGGAGACTTCATCATACATCCCGCGTCGGCGCCAGTTTTTGGCCATCATCATCCTTCAGTCAAGGCATATTAACAAGTGTTCAGCTGCATATACGGAGTATAGGGCGCATCGCATCATACCAGCCTTCTCCGCTGTTAGGGTTCGGTTAGAAGTGGTAGACTCAGCAGCTGTTGCGCGAAGGATAACTCACGTGTCACCCAGGCCATGGGCCATGATGACGGTAGCAGTGTGCCTCTTAAGGGCCGGGACAACAAATGGTGCTTTCGTGGCCATGGTGACGGCGCTGTCAGTATGGGATTTGGTTAATGGATGAGTTGCTTGCCCTTGATCTGGCCTTCAAGGATGGAAGAAAAAGGAACAAAACTTTCCTCGGCTCGCGATAAACCTTATCTTTATTACTAATATATTCCTAATCAAGGACATCATGGGTTTAGTCACGTGCAGCGCGAAGGATGGACGGAGACGAGGAAGACGAACGACGTCAAGAAGGAAGAAGAAGGAAACACTTGGGAGAGACAGAGGAAGAAGTGAGATTGATCGAGTCATATTTCGTCATATCCGCACTAAGTTATCCATCGAGTGATGTTGGGGGGTATCATCTATTGTACATATTTACAAGAGAGCAACGCCTCCAGCGACGGCAGCACCAAGAACGCCCCAAACAGCGGCTGTCTGAAGCGGTGCCGCGTTGCCAGTTGGGCTGGGACTCTGTCCACCTGAACCTCCAGAACCTCCAGAACCACCGGAACCACCCTGTGGCTGACCGTTCGGCGTGGACTCGTTGGCGTTTCGATTCGCAGCCTCGCCGCTGAAGGGCATGGCCTCGACGCCGGTGCCGTTCTTGCAGCTCTCCGGCTTGACATATCGTGCAGACGTGGTGTATACGGCATCGATGCACTGTGAATAGCTCGTTAGCATATTGGCCCCAAAAAACAACAAAAAGATGATAGTCATGAGGGCCGAGGGGCAGTTCATACGTGGAAAAGACCGCCCTTTGGATCACCGTTGCTGAGAACCTGGATGGTGGCCTCCATGCCATCCTTTGGCTTGAAACCGACGACGTCCTCTGAGAGGGACACTTCTGGGAGACAGAAGGCCCCGAGACCGACTTGTCTGAAGGTCTTGACGACGGAAATATTGAAGTTGGATCCCGGGTTAGATCCTAGGCCGAGCAGCACCTGGACGGCTGCCTGGTCGTGGCCCATCTCCATGGCAATGGCAAGTTTTGGGTCGTCGAGGGGAATCTTGACTCTTTCCCGGGACGGCTCTGTTGGGCCACCGCATGGGAACATCGGCTGGGTGTCTTCGCTGCCGCCGCGAGTTGGAGGCGCCTCGACGTTGAAGTGCGCAGCGACGAGCGGCAGCAGGGCGGGGAGGATCGCGAGCAGCTTCATCTTGACCTGTCTTGACTCGTAACGGTCTGTCACTATCACAAGCGGGAATTTCAACAATTGAGCGTGTGATAATGAGACTACGACCAAGCAGAGGCAGAGGCAGAAGCAGAAACGAGGAGGGCCTTTTGCCCCTTTATACCAACCCAACCTTCTCCTTTACTCTGCCCATTGCTAGGCACTTCTGTCCCTCCGCGGATGTTGCCTTCGCCCTTTTTTGCTTCTGCCGATACCCGGGCATCCTCCAGCCAATGAGACGCCGGCTAATGGCGAGTGACTTCGCTTCTCCCGCAAATTTGGGCGCAGCGCAGAGTTACTCTCCGCAACCTTTTAGACGCAGGGGAAGCCGCTCTGCGCTTAGGTAATATGCTCAATCCCACTCAAGGGGAAAAAGCAAACAACGTTTGGATGTCGAAGTCGATACTCCGTACGGAGTACTCCTACCAGGTTCTATAATTAGGTATGGATATGATGGACACGGAGATGGAGATGAAGATATATACAGATGCCGATGGTATAAACATGAAGACAAGAAAAGACAACGAAAGACAACGAAAGACAACGAAAGGATGAAAGACGCTAATGCTCCTCGAAACGATGGGCATAACGCCCGACTGCCAGGTCGCCGACAAAGATGCCCACCAGGATACACATGAAGTAGCCGACGTTCATGGTCATCACAGCCAACATGCTATTTCGGTGTCAGTATAAGATATATCACTATAAGGACAAAAGAATAAGAATAGAGAATGGAGGAAATTGCGTACAGGAGATAGCCGACGCCAGCGTTGAGAGTCACCATGGCCGCCCGCGGCAGGTCAACGCTGAACCTCCAGGGCATCACCGGCGGCCCTGCAGTCGCGTTGACCACTCGAACATTCTCCTCGACGCCGTGGGCGCTTATCAGCCGGCCCGTCTTCTTCTCGTCTGCGTCCTCGCTGCTGCGTTCCGACTCGGGCTCTGTTGGCGTCGTCGGCGATCCAGGCGGTGATATCGATGCCCTCCGGCCCTGGACTATGACATATCGTCGTGCTCTGGCGGCGGCGAGGAAGCGCCGGTCCATGATTGATTTGGCCGTGAGCAGAACTCTGGCCACGACTCCGAGCACAATGAGGAAGATGCATGTTCCGGCGTATGCACCACTGGTCCGCGGCGTCCAGCTCAGCGTGTACAGGGGCGTTGCGGGTATGTTCTGGAAGACCATGGCCACCGCCATGTTGGGGTCTGACGAGCCATGCGAGTGAGCCATCCTGCTGTTCGAGAATCGAGGACGGCGTCTGGCGATGAATGCTGGGCAATGGAGGATGTTGTTGATGTTGCTGTCTCCTCCTCGACTTGAGGCTGCGACGCCGATGATGATGTTGAAATAGGGAGCGACGACAAGCGACTAAGCGAAAGAAAAAAAAGGACCCGCGGGATGAGCAGATTATTAGACATAAGCTTGTTCTTTTGCTAACCTTAACCTTGTCTCGGTTGGCTTATGTAATATGCTCACCCTCCAACTCCCGCGGTTGCTATTAATACATTATTTTAGGGAGATTTCAACTCCTACCTTTTGGCGCCTCCTCGAACGACCCCGGCTATCTCGATTACTGTCGCTGTCACTGTCACTGTTACTACCGCGGACAGTGGGTGCCTGGTAGGAAGATGGCTCACAACCATGGCGGAGGCGCGACGCCCACCGGGGACGGCGTGCCGACGTACTTTGAGATGCAGCGGATGTACTGGGCGGTCGTCGGGACGGCAATCGGCGTCGCTACAGCCTGCAACATCCTCAACAAGATAGTCGCCGCGCAGAGGTATGTAGGAAAAGAGTGGCTGCATGGTGATGTAGAAAGCTGGTTGTTATATACAGGAGAACTTGACTGACAAAGGGGTAGATCGACCGATACGACGAGGACGCCAGCAAAGCCCAAGTCGCTCTTCTTCAACATCTATGCGACGCTCACAGCCATGACGAGAGAATACTCGTCAGCAACCCTCAGCCCGCTGAAGATGGGGCGCTGGGAGCTCCAGCCGTCGCCGCTGGGCAGAGTCAGCGTTGTCCTGGCCAACTTCATCGCCGTCATGGTGTTCTGCTTCTACAAGCTCAACACCTTGGACAAGTGGTCGTGGGAGACGGTCGGGTACCGGACCGGATTCATGACCGTCGCCCAGCTGCCGCTCATCTTGCTGCTGGCCGGCAAGAGGAACATCATCGGCTTCCTGACGGGCTCCAGCCACGAACGGCTCAACTGGCTGCACCGATGGACCGCCAGGACGCTCTGGATGTCCGCTACCATCCACATGGGGTTCTGGTTCCGCAGCTGGGGGCGCTTCAACTACATTGCTACCAAAGTCAGAACGGATCCCCTGACGCAGCGAGGGATAGCAGCGTGGTCCATCCTTACTTTCATCCTCTTTGCCACTCTTTCGCCCGTCAGACGCTGGAGTTATGAGCTTTTCTTCGTCTCCCACGTTGTTACTTATGCGGGCTTCATTGCTGCTGCATGGCTGCATGCCGAGCCCGAGGTTAAGATGTGGGTTTGGGTGTCTATTGCTCTCGTTGTCTTTGATCGAGTAGCCAGGTGGGCGATGATGGTTTGGTCGAACCTCGCTATTTTCTCCAGGTCATCTTCCCGTAGTAACTCCTCCTCCTCCTCTTCCTTATGGGCAAACTATGCTACATTCACCCCCTTGGCTGGAAATGTTACCAGAGTCACCATCCGCAACCCAGTCATCTCCTGGAAGCCGGGCCAGCATGTCTTCCTCTCCGTCCCTGCTCTTGCCCCCTTCCAAAGCCATCCGTTCACCATCTCTTCCCTCCCATCGGACAACAAGATAGAGTTCCTCATCCGTGCCGAGTCAGGCGCTACTAGAGCCATTCTCAACCACGCGGAGAAGTGGAATACCGCCATCGACTCGGACTCAACTCGTCTTGTTGCCCTTGACGGACCATACGGCGCTATCAGGCCCCTTCGCCAGTTCGACAGCGTCGTCTTCTTCGCAGGCAGCATGGGAGTAACTTTCACCATGCCATTACTGCGTGACATTGTAGACGGCTGGAAGGGAGAATGCAACGGCGGCTCCATCCCCATTACCAAACATATCCACTTTGTCTGGGCCATTCGCTCCCATTCACACATTTCATGGTTCCAGAAGGAGCTGGAGTCTCTCATGCGGGACGTGGAAGACTGCCGAGCAACCAACTCCAAGTTCAGGCCAACCTTTGAAATAAGCATATACCTCACTTCCGATCCTCATATGTCTGCTACTAGCCCTTCGGCTCACGGTACCGGTCTCCATATACAACGTACCCCGTCGACAGCTTCCGACTCATCTCAGACGACATCCCTTTCCCCCCTTGTTTCCTGGGAAAAGGGTGTATCTTCCAAGTCCCCAGTCTGTCTCAGGACGGGTAGACCGAATATCGATAACATCATCCTCTCGACTCTCGAAGTGGCAGAGGGCGAGAGCGCTGTCGTCGTATGCGGTCCCAGTGGGCTCAGCACGGATGTGCGGCGCAACGTCGTCTCTTTATCTGACGAACGAGCAGTACATAAGGGTACAGGGGCCCAGGGTATATATTTACATGTCGAAGAATTCGGTTTCTAACGCCCTTTCCACCTGCCCCGTTTTCTTCAAGTACATAGCCAGTGATGTCATGAGTATATAAATGAGACGCTTTTTTTTCTCTTCATCTCTCGCATTTAAATTCCCCGTCTACTTGTGCTCCTGTCCCAGCCAAATACAGCCCTCTAGAAAGCGTCCTATTTTATTAACCCCCGTCTCGCCCAGGCATGCCACTCCACCAACATACCCATCTGGTCTAATTACAGCAATAGCGCCTTCATCCTCACTCACGCCATAAAGCCGGTATGCATCCTCACTGGCAACAGCAGAACAATAAACGTTCATTTCCGCAACTTCACGCAGGGAGCTAGGCACATCACTCCAGACAAAGGATGAAGTAGGCAGTGGAGCCTTTGGTGGTGACGTTGGCGTTAAACCTACTAATGCGCGCGGGTAGATGGTGATAAGCTGCAAGATATTACCGGATGAATACATGGAGGATACCCGTTTGACCATCTCACAGAGTCCGGTTAGAGTCTGACTTGACATGCCGTTCGGATCAAGTAAGTCACCTGATGTAAGGCATAGGATCCGAAATGCGCCGGTAGTTGGTATTTCTGTTGCCAAAAAAAAACATACAAGTTAACCCACTTGATCTAGTTATACGCCAACAGGTCGGCACGGTAAAGGACAACGAACCGTCGTGTAAGTCCACATGGCAGCCGTCTGCATGTCTCTTCAGCTTGATATTCAACAGCCGCCTACCAGGCCTCAAGATACCAGCCAGATAATCTGTCCCTCTGATCACATTGTGGTCAATGGATTTATCGACCAAGATGCTCTCGGGATACTCAATTCCACATCCACTAGTGAACCCGTTGCCGGTCCTGAATACTTCCAGGAACTGGTCATGTGTCAGTTCGGAGCCAGCTGCACCTGCAGTGCCGATTTTGCCCGAGAACATGGAGGAGAATGACCGGTCGAATTCGATTAATTGTTGTGCAATTGTGCGGCGTTCTGTCTCGTAGGTATCAAGAATTGTATCCGGGGAACTTGCGCTCTTGTGTGAGACGGGAGACAGTCCGTTCACAGAGTAAGCCAGTTTCCATGCGAGGTTGAAAGAGTCCATCATTGAGACATTCATCCCTTGACCAGCCTGTGACATGTTAGGGTACAACCTCTGTATACCACCTTGGAAGAGTGCTTCTTATCAGCTTACTTACCTTGGGACTATGCGTATGGCATGCTATATACCGTCAGTCAACACATTCTTTGTTCCAAAAAAAGGCCTCTGGAACGTACCATCTCCAACAATAAACACTCTCTGCTTTCCATTCACGCCCCTCACTAAGAAGCGGTCACTTACTCGCTGTCCAATCTGGTATGCAGTCCACCATTCGACCTTCGTGCCCTCCCTCTGCTTAATATAGTATGGTTTGATAGCCTCCTGAGCCTGCTTCATGATACTTTCCACGGTAACTTGTCCCCGTCGAGCTCTCGGGTCATCATACCCTTTCTTAAATCCTTGAGCTTTCGTTGTTCCTGCAATATCAGCTTCATCAACCTTGACGTCACCGGGAACCTGCACGTAAAGACGCGTAATGAAAGCTCCCGTCATGGACCGCTCGCGAGGGATGATCATGATGGAGCCAGCATCGGAATGAACAGCAGTTCGCCTTCGAACATCTGGGAAATCTGTATCAACTACCAGATCAATGACACCCCATATATGGTCTGTCATCTCCCCTTCTAGCTTCAACCCCATGCATCGACGAACAGTTGAGTGTGCGCCATCTGCACCGACAAGGTACTTGGAGCGAATAGTCCGTCTCCCGCTTGTTGGAGATTCAATTTCAGCAATGATTGGGAAAGCCGGGTCTCCTTTCTCGTCAATTTGCACGTCGAGCAGGGTCGTGGATCGTCGAACGCCCCCTGAGTACCGGAGAAGGTCGTCTTCAAGGATACGTTCCACTTTCCCCTGATGCGTAGTAGCTTCATGAGGATATCTAGCTGCGAGCGCAACATCGTCCACGATGGCAGTCCGCTCGATGCCTCTTGATCCAGTATTCAGTTCCCCCTCTCCCCCTTTCTGCTGAACAGGGTTCCAAAACGCAACCTCCCACACTGGGCAGCCGTCTGTAGATATCTCGTGCATCAACCCGAGGCTTTTAAGTACTTCCATTGTCCGCGGCTGTATCCCATCTGCCTGGCCTGCTCTCAGGATAGTATCCCTGGATTCAATGCACAGAACCGACTTGTCTCCCAGTCCAAATCGCGAGAGAAGCAGCTTGAGCAGCATCCCAGCTGGGCCAGCCTATACTCCATAATCAGTCAATCATTTTACTTCTTCTTGTCTCTCCAAGCATTATCTGCCATAAACTGTCGTAAAGATCATGTCCTGGACTTACCCCTGCGATCACAACTTCATATCTATCCTCCTCAGCGACGGGTTCAGGCGCGTATCTCGGTAGCGGGGGAGCAAGAGAAGGCATCACATTAGGATCATGGTGACGATAGCCAGTATCCTGATAGCCTATGCTGCCCATCTTGCCAGTCGTGGTCCTTTCACTGGCTCTTGTTCTGGTGTTGGCTGTATTCCAGTCTGGGCGGGCCCTTATATAGCCGCGGGTTGGTGCACCGGAACACAGGTGTTTGAAAGGCCTCCGCACGAAATCCTCATGTTTATATATAGCTATA